CCCCCCCCCCCCCCCGCGGCCCGCCTCCCCTTTGGTTGGTAAAATGTCTACAGAATGCACCTTTTTTCTTTCTTTCTTTCTTTCTTTTTCTTTTCTTTTTTTTTTGAAACAAAAAAAAAAGGTAAATAATTAATGGCCGTTCCTTGTGTGATCGCAAGTGCACTGCCGCAGGGGTTTCCCGAATAGGCAAAAAAAACCACAAGTCATGATTCGTGAAGGGAGATGTTACTGCAGGTATAATATATCAACCAGACATGGAAAAAAAAAAGTACTGCATGCCTTGAACGAATGGAGGGTTACAAGATTATATTTTATTTATTTTACTTTTTTTTTTGTCAAGAAGTTCATGTAGAATACATATTACATTTCTGTTGAACTTCAATGTCAGCTGCATTCCGGAATCATCCGGCATGTTTGACGGAAGTGGGATTGAGATACTGTCGAGATTGATGTTGACTCTAAGATAAGAAATTGAATTGATTGAATTGGGTTGAGTTCTATCTTCTTTCTCCTGGATAATAAGGCTCTGTGGCAACGGTAGGGTGAGGTGAGGCGAAGACAAGGTCTCAGTCCAGCGACAAGTGTGACTTAGTGACCAATAATCTCTCCACGATTTCCATCCTAAAGAGTAAAAAGCAATGGAAAGTCGACCAATTGAAGGATATGAGATTCGATGATCTCAGGTGAACCTGATGGTGTGTAGTGACGGGTTGACTACCTACTTTTGGTAGGAGGACGAGGAGCTATTTAGACTAGGTAGTTTGAGCGAAATAGAAAAGGTCAGGGTCATCCACACGGTAAATTCCAAAACCATGGTCAAGAATAATCAATATTTTCCAAATTGAATTTTTAAATCAGGTGTGGATTTCGATGGATGCCTGAAGTCATGTGACGACCTCGATGCCTTCACTTCATTTTCTACGCGACTTCTGGAGAATTTCTCCTTTTCACTTCATTTATTCTTCTCTGTGCTGCAGTCAGGCCCAACCCCTTAAAGATGGCAGGCAGGACTTGTCGTTCGCAGGCATCACAGAGGGTAGAAAACAGCCCCGCTTGCCCAGGTGTCGTAAAGAAGCGCGACCAAAGTTCTCTATCGAAATTGCCACCAGGGTCAGATATATTTGATGCCTTTGCCAAAGTCAGAGCCGATAAACAACTATCTGACGAGGAAGCGTTTCTCGAGTTTCTTGCATCTTATGATGTCCCCCTCACATCAGTGGCAAAAATATAGGGTAACCTCTTCTTCTCCCTAATTAAATTTTTTATTATGCTGATGTGACTACAGCTGAGAAGCTTAAAGTCTCCTTCTCAAATGTCACTTACAAACAAGTTTCACCTTATGTTTGGCTGAATCCAAATGATGCCGGTCGAGACAATGGTTGTCTAGAAGTCTTCCGTTCCCGGATTCCTACTGGTATGTTCCAAGACATTGTCAAGGATGTTGAATTAGCTCTCAAACAGTATGGACAGTTGGAGTCTCATGACAATGAAGAAACCAGGTCTCGTTTCCTTGCATCAGTAGGTGGAAAATTAGCCTTTTAACTTTTTGAGAGCTGAGATTGCTAATGGTAACTAGTTGTTCAATAGAATCATTGGTCTGTTTGAGAGCATCATAATAAACAAGCCTGAGGGCTTGCTCGAAAGTGAGTTCAGCAAAAAAAGGCAGGATTGAGCATCACTTTGTTGCTGTTGATGCAATTAGTATTATATTTATTGAGGTGAAGAAAATCCTGACGACTGGAAAACATGCACTTGACACAAAAGGTCAGGTTCTGGCTGAATGCGCTGGTATGTTGAACCTGTTTCTCATTTTGTTAGTATTATAAGAGTTCACTTATATAACAACTGTATAGCATGCGACTATGCCAACTATAAGGATGGGCACTGGGTCCCTATCCTTGCAATTCTATGCGATGGCAACAATTTTGAGTACTTTGTTTATGACTCTGGAAACAAGCGCGTATACACGTCTGGGAGGGTAACTGGCATCATTTCTGACGAACAGGAGAGCACAGCAGAGTTTCTTTATCCTACCAAGAAAAGTAGGTTATTCCATTATTATGCTCTCAGACCACGGGACCATCCAGCATGCTAACAATGATCCTTTAGCAACAGAATACCTGTTTGACTGGTTTATCATGGCTTACATAAATGGCATTCGCTGGTGATCGGTCATCTAGTCGGTCCAAGGTGAAGAAAACGACCATCAACTGAGAAATGGGCGAGAGCCCTGGCCAAGGAAGAAATGCACACTGGCTTCTGAGAGAAGCTGCTAAAGCAGCTCAAGAAGGGCGCTTCAAGGAATCCGAAACCATGGCAAGCAATGGTGTTGAAAAGCTGAAGTTGAGGTTCGCGGTTTAAAAAAAATCTTTCTCCAATTTAAGGCCTTCCTACTAATAATGACTTATGAGCCTGTAGTGTTTCCGAGTTGCCGCGTCAGCTGTATAACGCAGGGTTTGATACCGTATGGGATGGAACTACGAGCTTAGAAGAGGCTCTCAAGGATCGTGGCCTCTTGATTTAATATCGAGGTCTACACAGTGCAATCCTCCAATCCGCGACAAGCTATGCAAACAGGAAAGCAAACAGGAAATAGAGAGGAAGCAGTTGCAAGTAAGCGGCAGTTGGCAAGAATTGAAGAGTAGCCTGAGGAAGCAGGAGGCAGCAGAGGGAAGCATCGGGCTAGCACAAGGTAGCATGGGGGGAGCCGGGCGGTTAGGGTTTAGGGTTAGGCGGCCGCAGGATACCTGTTCGAGTCATGTGGCAGTTCAATCCAGCAGATTAATACCTTAAGAGTAATAATATAATATAGGAGTACTAATAATGGTGGTTGTTTGTTGCCCTGTCTGATCCATTGCAAGTACACTAAGGTACAACAGGGGTTTTCCCAAATAGGCAAAAAAAACATCTGTCATCGACGGACGATATAATAATCTATCAATCGGACATGGAGAGAAAAAAAACATTATTGCACGCCTTTAAGGAACAGACGATCACAAGATTATATTTTATTTTATTTGTTTTGTTTAAGAAGTTCATGTAGAATATATATTTCTGTCCTTGATACTAGGTACTTACTACCTCCTTATCTAGCAGAATACTACCTACCTACCTACTAGTTGTGTACTGTACTTTTTTTTTCTTTAGAAATGCACAAACCTATCTATTTTGACGAGGTATGTATGTATGTAATTTCTGATTAATGTCACTACTGCAGTAACATTATTTTTCGTTGTTACTGCCACACGAGAATGAAACGAAACGAGTCCAATCGGGCAGTTTTTGTGCCCGTCGGCGACTTTTTTTTTTGTCTTCCTTTTTTTTATTCTCTTCTGTTCATCAGGACAGATGATTGATTGGTTAATTGCGTTTGATTTTATTCGATTCAATTGATAGATAACTTGATAACTTGACTGAATGAATGGGTGTCAAAGTCACCGGTAATCTATCTGTCCTTTTTGTGGTATCTATATGGAGTATCTCATTAAATATAGTATATCTTAGATCAAGACACGTCAGAACGTACGATCAGTGCTTATTTTGATATTAAAGCAGATAGATAGCTGGTAGTAGGAGACAATGTAATGTACTACACGTGAATTCATTGCCTTCAGTGTTGAATCTACACCAGCTCTTTCTTCCTCGTCCACAATCCTATCGATCTATCTTCGCTGATAAATAAGAAAATGAGTCCACACAAGGACAAAAATGCCAATACCAACACCAAATTCAATGCCGTCTCCTCCACTCTGTTCAAGATCGCTGCGTTGATTAATGCTGTAGGTGCATTCTTTTCCTTTCTTTCTGCTGCACTCTGTACTATCTCAATTCGCAGCTAACCAGTTCGCGAAAAAATAAATCATTTACAGATATCCATTCCCTTCCACGAGGTCAGTAACCCCTATTAAACAAGATAGAGATAAAGAGAAAGAACCCTAGAAAGATGTTTATGTCCACTACAGAAATACGGCCACGACCACATCCACTCCGCGCTGGCCACCATCGCCGAAACTCCAGACCTGCTCATCGGCAAGTACGGCGCATGGTACACATGGCACTATATCGATGCCATGTTTGCTGTTGTTGGTAAACCCCCTTCCCACAAACATACCCATCTCTCCGGTTCTGACTTTTTTTTTTGGGCGTATGTGCAGCATGCCTAAACTACCAATGGTCCCAACAACCACCTCACGGACCCCGAACGCTGCCAGAAAAGCTCATCTTTGCGATTCTCGTCCTCATGTCGGTGGCCGGTGGGTACAAGTATTTCCTTCTCGGGGCGTATCAGCCGCTGATTCCGCTGTGGGGGGCGACGGGGTTTATGGTGGGAGGTTTGGTGGTTAGTGTTATTAAATAAGTAGAAGAAGGTGTAATTAGAAGTAGGGGATGAAATAGGGATTTTAGTTGAAAAGAAAAGATCTGTGTATATGGAGATAGAGAGGGATCTATCTATCTATCGATCGATCTATCGTTCTATTGACACATAAACTTCATTAATTAACTAACTAATTAATAATTAAGTATTGATTATATTACTCATTTACTGAAAATTAACAAACTAAATAAATCATCAATCAATCCCTGATCAATCACTGTCGATCGATCGTATCGGAGCATATAATGAAAAGTTTAATTAATTAATTAATCAAAAGGAAAAACCAAAGTGATTTGATCGATCCGATCTGTGATGATTTCTTTTTCTTTCGCCTGCATATGTACTACCTACTGTTTTGGCCTCGTCTGCGTGGTATGTATTTATTATCCGGGCTGTCTTGTGTGTATATCGGGTTTATCACGGATTTATACAGCAGTCCGTATAGTATAGTGTTTTATCCAGCAAACTTGCTCCGCGCTCGCAGCTTCTGCCCATACACATACAGAAAAAACATGCCCAGAATCCCCATGATCGACAGCCCCGCCAGCACCGTCACCCCCCGGTCGATGCCCAGATTGACGTACATGGCCCGCGAGAACATGACGAACCCCGCCGCCGCCATCGACCGCGTAAAGTCGTTGGCCGCAAACAGCGACGCTACGTACCGCGGATACGACAGCGGCACGTAGCAGATGATCGCCTGGAACACGACAAACGACGCCCCCGCGTAGACCGTCACGCCCAGCGTCGGTACCAGCCAGTGGATCGAGGCCCGCGCCGTCCACGCGTAGAGGAAGAGCCCCGCGGGCAGGAAGCATACCGCTGGCAGGGCCGGGATCAGGCGGGATTCCTGAGTCGGGGGCTGTCTCGTCGCGCGAGGAAAGAAGACGTGATACAAATATCCGCAGTACAGCAGCCCGGCGCCGACACAGCCGACGATAATACACAGGAAGATGAGACACACGGACGGTAACGACATGGCGTACGTCTCCCCGTACGTGATGGGAAACGCCTCGAAGAAGGAGTAGTAGATGGCGTAGACGAAGGAGCTGTACACGCACACAAACGCAATGGCCGGATCCTTGATCGCGATCTCCGTCGGCTTCACGAGGGCATCCACCAGGATGGCGTGAAAGTCCAGCGTCTTCGTCTCGCTGAGGGCGCGGAGGGCCAGATTGCCCGTGCGACGACGCAGGCGCTGGGCCCGGCGCAGGAGCAGCGTCTCGTGCGAGGTCTCGGGCAGAAAGGCCAGCAGCACGATCAGGAACGGGGCCGACATGATGACCATCTCCCACAGGGGCCAGCGCCAGTTCGTCGACACGGCGTAGCCGGCGAGAAGCGGCCCCAGGGCCGGACCGCAGTAGAAACCGCCGACCCAGAAGACGAAGCCATAGGGCGCCGTGGACCAGGAGAAGATATCCTGGATGGAGGCGCCCCCGCTGGCCAGGCAGGGGCTGCCAAAGAAGCCCTGAAGAAAGCGCAGCACGAGGATGGCCGGGAAGCTGTCGACGACGGCGAGAATGATGGAGACGACGACGAAGACGGTGAAGGAGACGACGTAGGGCGGATTGCGTCCAATCACGGCAATCTCACTCAGGGGCGAGAAGAGCATGGGGCCCATGCCATCTGCATCAACACGACTGTTAGATACATGCAAACTTCACCTGTTGTCTGGGGTACGCACAGCCGATGATGTAGACAGCCAAGGCCAGGCTCACAACCTCCCCGGACACGTTATACCGGGCCATCAGGAACTGGTAGCTGGGCACAATGATGGAGGATCCACAGTAGACGATGAACGAGTAGATGCTGCCTCTGTCAGCGGAGTTTGGCCGTGAGCGTTCTACCTACGTGACCAGCGCGGTGACCCAGATCTTTCGTCGCGCGGACCAATTCCTCGGATTCTCGGGGTCGTTTGGACCGTACCAATCGACGAGGGCAGCGAAATTGCTGTCTTTAGCAGCCGAGACGTCTTTGCTGGCGAGAGAGCTGCTGGAACGGCGCTTGGCCGGCTGGAATTCAAATGTGGGCTCCTCGTCGGGGAACAGCAGCCACTGGCGACCTCCCAGCCCCCGGATGGCCTGGCTGAGCGTGGTGTCGCGGAGGAGGGACATAGATGCTGCCGAATGGTCAGGTAGGCGATGAGCAGAAGTCTGTCCGCAGGGTGAATGGGAAGAGGAGGTGCTGTTTTGAAGTGGTCAAAACAAAATGAAGTCCGATGTGCTGACATTACCCAGATGATATATCACGAGCATCGCATTTCGACATTTACAACACGGCCGAATGAAGAGATCCATATCCTCTCGTCTTTCCAATTAGTGGATGTGATGGAGTGATAGTTCCTCCGGCCCATCGGCCTTACGGACGAAAGAAAGTCGCCGATAGCTGGCTGGCTAGTAGGCACTTGCTTTTTCTAAAAAGGGAAATGAACTGCAAGGCTGACAGGGTAGGAGATCTGAGATCGATCGGAGTTAATCTCGACTAGTCGACTGTAGTCATGTTGGAGATCAGCGATAGGATTGGTTGATTGAATATTCTAATTCAGTTTATACTCTATGCCATATACTTACTATGCTTCATGTCTATCTAGCGCTAGTACGGGGTCAGTACTGCCAGATGATCAATGAACAAAAGAAAGCCATTTCCTCCATTGGTTAGCTATCCTCGTAATGGTTACACAGCTAGTATTAGTGGATTTCCCTATCTCTCTGCACTCTTAGCGAGGATTCTACCTCCAGTAGTGATTCCTCAGCAGGGATTCTATACCAGTCCGGAAGACCCGTATTGTCATGGAGCTATGGCCAGTCATCCTTTGATATATTCAAGTTCTCAATAGAGACTGCAAGAGTACTGGACAACGCTATTGAGATGCCCCTTTCATCGAAAGTGATCTGGAGTCGGTCCCCCTCACACGGAGTGAGATTGGCCTGCAGCAATCGCTTGAACGCATCAGTCTGAGTGTGGACTTATCAGTCTACTAGCAAGGATTGATGCTACACATGACATCACCGTGCAGAACTGAGCCATTTTGAAATCCTCGCGGCTCGACGATCTGGCAAACTCTGAGATAGGTACGCCCATCTGATCCCTGGTCCAGGCTGGCAGATCGGCTGGCAGCCAGTTCGAATCAGCGACGCAAGCCCACGTGGAGGCACTCGCCAGCAGTTCATTGCCTATCAACGCTATTTCCATCCTGTCCTGCAGGCAGCTGGCAAGGAACCCTCAGCTAGCCCCGATCTGCGATACGAATACGTACCAGGTCTGATCAGTCCAACGATGCCTGAGAATGGGGAAGAAAACGGAACACGCTGGACGGTGGCAAAGGCAGGCGAAGACTGGACTTTTTGATCAGTGTCCACAGAGTTCTTAAGTTCAATCCGTCTCCATCATCTGGTCATCAAGCATGGAGAATCCTCCCAGAGCAGCCGAACTACCGCAGCCGCAGGTCTTCCGAGAAGCGTGCGAAGAATGCCATCAGCGCAAGATCCGATGCATCTCCGGCCATGGAGCCTGCCAGAACTGCGTTGTCTGGGGGCGCGACTGCGTCTTCCGGCCTCGTAGCGTCATGGGCCGTCCGCGAAAGCAGAAGACGAGCTCTTCGACGGAGCGAGGGACTACATCCAAGCGGCAGAAGCAGCAGCAGCAGCAGCAGCAGCAGCAGCAGCAGCAAGAACAACAGGAACAGCAGCAGACCCTGGACAGTTCGGCGCTGCTGTCTTGTGCCAGCAGACCAACTCCCCCTCTGGATACGGCGTTCTCCCTCCCCCACGTATGACTTCAGCCTGCCAAAACCCAGCAGCTTCTTCTTGGATGCCGACCCCAGCAGCCTCAGTAATCCGCAGCTGGAAATCATCTTGACCTCGTCCAAGATCCTGTTCCGGCTGTGCCAGCTCAGCGATCGACTGTTCTCACAGGATCCCGCCTCCCACGAAGGCCTGCTGCCGAAGATCTTCAAGCACGTCTCGACATTCTGCGAGATGCAGGCCATGGACCTCCGCATGCAGCCGGAGAGCGAGACGCAGTCGATGGTACAGCTGGCCCTGCTGATCATCTCCTCCGTGCTGAAGATCTACAGCCTGCTGGTGCAGAACCGCGACGCGATGCTGACTGCGCGGCAGCTGGAGTCGCTTGTTGGTGTCGACGAGCCAGTAGCCAGCAGCATGCCACGACCCCCGACCCCCAGCACCATCTCGTCGCCTCCTGCCAGCAGTGGCTTCTGCCAAGACGTCTTCCAACGAACGCCGTTCCGGCGCCGACTGGCCATTCTGCTGCACCTGACCGTGATGGACTACCATCTGGGCCAATTCCAATGCATCCTCTCGCACTTCTCCTCCACCCTGGGCCAGCAAATGGTTGCCGAGGAAGTCAAGAAAAATAACAGCGACGCGGCCGGGCTGCGAGCGCAGATCCAACTTGTGGCGGAAGGGCTGAAAGTCACCTACTTGGAGTAGTCTCGTCTTTCTTCTTTTGTTCCCCGTTTATAACCAAATTTGGTTATATACTTTCTAGCGGTATGGGTCTAGACAGCAGATAGCTACTAATAGCTACGGGACCTGATTTTGGATTTCGGTATGGTGTTTGGCTTGCATGAATCATGTTTCCAGTTCCGGCTTTTATCCTCTGCTAGACTATAAAATTCTAAAGAGAGAATTTATCTGCCAGTCATCCTATTCTTCTTTCTACCCCACCATCACCGCATGCAACATGTTCTGAATACTCTGCACCATCCGGGCGGTCGTGCTGCGATCGCGGGGAATGTCATGCCCGCCACGATGTTCGACAACCTGCTGGTGCTGCGGCAGACACAGCTGGCGCAGCTGCATCGACTGCTGGCGGTAGGCGCGGTCGTTGGCGGCCCAGATGTGCGTCGTGGGGATGGTTATGCGAGGCTTGATCGTCCTGCTGGGCTGATACCGCCAGAGGAACGGCGTTTCAGCGTCCCAGCGTCCTGCATATCCACCACCAGCGCTGGTAGTGGAAGCTTCGGGGATGCTAACCCTGACCTCCGCGGCAGAGATACGCTGGTTACTACCGACAAGCCTGGCAGTGCCATCCGGCGCGATGGTGAAGGGCGACGAGTCGAGATCGAAGGGCATCGAGGCGCAGAAGAAAACGGCACACTTGAACGGATGCCGCGGCGAGACTCTCTTCGCGTCCTGCAGCATGTACGACGCGGCGAGGGCGGCGCCCTGCGAGAAGCCGATCACGCCGTCGAAGGGGCCTTCGTCATCAATGGCCTCGTCCAGCAGGTCCAAGGCGGCCGCGACTTGGGGTTTGGTGGGCAGCTCGTAGAAGGAGTAGTAGGGTCCGGGGTAGAAGGAGTCGATGCCTGAGTCAGCGTCAATTATTCGTTCAGAGAGAGAGAGAGAGGAAAGTAGATAGAGAGAGATATACGTACCCGGCGCAGTATCAGTTTCGACCTCGCCTTGGAGAAAGACAAACTCGTGCTGCCCGACCAGTTGGGTTCGGGATCTGGGCGAGCTGGGCCTCGAAGATCTGGGCGTTGGTGCCCATGCCGTGGAGGCAGAGGAATTTCATGATCTATATCAATTACTCGTTTGTCAAGAAGTAAAGAGAAGTAACGAAACAAGAGATGGCAAAAACTGAGGCAGGCATAACAAAAGGACTACGTCCAGATTGCATAGATTAAGTCTTTTCTCTCTCTCTCTTCTATCCATGCGATGTTCTCATCTGCCTAGATGACACATACTTGCATCCCCTGGAAGAAAAGTGGCCGAGTGGCTTGCCTCGCCTGTAATTCTCCGTACGCAAGTAGTTAGGGGCTTAGGTCAAGCAAGTAGAATGCTTGTTGGCAGCTAGTGTACTAAATTCCTGCCGAAGAGGGAATTAATTACCGTCCTATCCTCAGCACTGACTAGGGTTAGGTAGGTAATTACGTAGTCTTGTACTACTAGACAACTAAAATATACAGCCATCGTTGTATGCATCTCTTAATCCATGTACTCGACTAATAAATCTTGTAATGACTAGAAATATAGTATATTCTATAAATTTAACAAAGACAGACCTGATTCACACTTTATAGATAGATACTCCTCCTAATCGTATCTTATTGCTTATATACTTACTCTTAAGCACCCGAACTTTAATCTCTCCTTTTTTCGATCTCTCGCTCGACGTCAACAGGCTGCTTCATAATGAGTAACAATCAGGGCCCCTCCAGCTTCAGCTTCAGCTTTAGATGGAAGACCGTGATAACCCTTCTCGCCATCCTCCTCCCCGCACTGGCACTTGCTTTTTCCAACCCATTATTCTCCTCCTCCCTATCTTCTCTATTACCCAATTTCAACTACCCCCTCCTCTCCGCAGACGAGACGATTGTCAACGACGCAGCCCATATCCAAACCCAGCTCCTGGGCACCTGGCATCTCGAATCCTTCGAGCTGCGCATCCACTTACCCGGTCCTCCTCTCCTCGCCGGCCTGACAATATGGACACACTACCCCTTGAGGCACAACCCCAGGGGACTTCTCCTCTACACAGCAGACGGGTACATGTCCGCTCAGCTGATGCAGCAGCAGCAGCAGCAGCCCGGCTCCTGTGCGAGATTCGCGCACGAAGCGTACCAACTCGCGTCAGACACGGAGCTGGCCTGCGCCGCGAGACGGTATCTCGCGTATTCGGGTACTTATACCGTTGACGTAATAACAGACACTAATACCAAGCTGGCTGCTGTGGCTGTTGTCAACCACTCAGTGCACGTCTCCCTGTTCCCGAACTGGCTGGGCACGACGCAGACGAGGATTGTGCAGCTAAAGGATGATCGGTTGATGCTTGTGCCGCTGGAAGAGGGGTTGCCGAGGTGGAAGGTGAGAAAGAAATCAACAGAACCATAATCCTAAGGGCATTATGCTGATGATGTTTGTTTTCTGCGTGATAGAGTCTGAAAGTAAAGCCGCTATTGCGATGGAGAAGAGCGTCGTGGAATGGAATGGAAAGGAATGAATAGATTATAATAGGGATACTCCATTCCTTTCTATTTGAAGTGAAAACTACAGTAAGAGTTCCACTCAACTGTACAGTACTCTGATCTCTTCTTCTCCTTCCTGATAGATGAAATCTACATGTTAACCAGCAGCAGCAAGCAGATGAATCATCGCTTGCTGTCTGACGACCAAACCAGGCTTTTTTTTTTTACTTTTCGGCCGTAAGTCGGAGAAGACGGGCAGACTGACCATCGACCGTCAACATCAACACAGATAGATGCCCCGACGGGCCTGGGATAATACTCTGTAAGCTAAGAAAAAGGAAATAAAAAGTGGCCGAAGGGCAAGCGGTCTCATTTCAGAAAGTGACCGGGCCATTATTTGCCTATGAAAATCTCGCCGACTCTACGTCCTTTACACACACCCCCTGCATAACATCGCCCACCTTCGTTTGATTCGATCGATAACCTTAATAATAATCTCTGTCCAGCTGGAAGAGGCGTGGATTTAATTGAATTGAATTGAATCGAATTGATTTGTCTAGAACAAGATATGTAATACTGTACAGAACATACATACATACGAAACCCTAACCCTAACCCTAAATGTAAGTGTTGTGTAGTGAGCTCTTCCCTCAGTCTTTTTTTTTAAGAAAAAGAAAAATTGTTCAGTTAAAAGACATAAGGGATCCTTTTATAGAATGCAGCGAGATAAAAGGTATCGTTATTTATATAAAAACCTAAAAAAGAAAAAAAGAACCTAAGCCAAGGACTTCGTTCAGGGTCAGAGTTAGAATTAGTATAAGAATAACCAGAATACAATCAAGAGGGTTAAAAAACAAATCAGAAAAATAACTGATACCAAATCCACTATTACGTTAACATCAGCAAATCAAATCTCGATATCAACTGGACTGCCTGCAATCCATGCCTCTCATATCAGCCAATCTGGTCCACCGTTTTAATTATCAGCCTCGACAACTCCCTTCGGCACAAACTTCGACTTGCTCACGATCGTCCGCGCCAGCGTCGCGATCGGCACGTTGCTCATAATGTCGAAGATGGATATGTCCGCCTGCAGGTCGCGGAAGCTCCACGCCCGTATCTCCACCGCCGTCAAGCTGTCGACGCCGTACGCGCTGACCGGCTTCGACGGGTCGATGTCCTCCGCTGCCACCATCATCTGCTTGGCCAGCTTCGCGCCCAGCGCGGCTGCCACGAGATCCGCCCCCGCGCTTACGCTGCTGATCTGGCCCAGCTGCGTCTGCCAGCCCAGGCCCGAGTCGGCCGACCCCGCTGCTTCCGCCGCATCGACGTGCACGATGTGCGTCATCTTGGCGTCGTCCAGATAGTATGGATGCTCCCAGCCTTGCGCGGCCACGTACCCTCCCGTGGCAAACCCTGTAATGACCTGTCGCGGCGTGGCCTGTCCGTTGACCGTCTCCCCCGTGATGGCGGCCTGCAGCACCGCCATGAATTCGTCCGCCTTCAGCGCCACATAGCCCTGCGCAGCGAGACTGTCGATCAGTTCCGAGTTCTCCGCCACGTATCCAATCCCGGTGACGGGGCCGACATCGAACGAGACCGCAGGAAGACCGCGCGCGTGTCGGTGATGAGCGAGGGCGTCCAAGAACGTGTTGCCAGCCGCGTAGTTGGCCTGCCCACGAGTCCCGGCCACGCCGGATGACGACGAGAGCATGACAAAGAAATCCATGTCCTTGGGCAGGAAGCGGTGGAGATTCCACGTTCCTGGAGCTTTGGGATTCACGCTCAGCGACCATTGCTCCGGGGTCATTTGTGTAAACGCAGCATCCTGTATTTATCAGAAAAAACAATCCAATGCAAAATTGGGTGGAAACTTACAGCCAACGACATGGCCGCCTGGATAACCCCCCGGATCGGAGGCATCTCTTCCTGGCACCGAGTAATTGCTGTCTGGACCTCCTCCGCATTTCCAATATCGCAGGCATAGGCCACTGCCCGCACCCCCTCCTCGGCCAGCTTGTTGAGCAACGCCTGCGCTTCCGGCTTCGCGGCCCCCGATCGAGACAAGAACGCCAGGTTCCTGGCGCCGTGGTCGACCATCCACAGTGACAGACTGCGGCCCAGTCCCCCAAGACCACCGCTCAGAACGTACGTCGCGTTGGCATCAAATTCAGCCGCCTTCACCGGGCGAGGCACCGTCATGACCCTGTCGTCGTCGTGCACCTTGAAAACCACTTTTCCAATGTGTTTGCCGCTCTGGAGGAGGCGGAATCCTTCCTCGATCTGAGAATAGCTCATCACGTTGATGGGAACAACTGGTTGGCAATGCTTGGCATGCATAAACGCCATCGTCTTCTCGAACAGCTGCGATGCCCGCTGGATGCTCTCGCGCAGCGTCCCGATCACATTGACCGAGTGGAACGATACGTTTTTCAAGAAAGGACCCATGTCAAGTCCCGTATTTCCGGTGATATCCTTCTTGCCCAGCTCGACAAACCGTCCGAACCACGCCAGGCACAGCCAGGACTGTCGTAGCGCTTCACCCGCCAACGAGTTCAGCACCACGTCAACCCCCCTTCCGCTCGTCACTCGCATCACTCCCTCGGCAAAGCTGAGGTCGCGGCTGTTGAAGATGTGATCCTCCGCGATGTCGTAGTGCTCCATGAGATGCTTCTTCTTGGCCTGCGAACCCACCGTCACAAACACTTCGGCCCCAACATGCTGCGCGATCATCACAGCTGCCTGGCCGACACCACCAGCAGCCGCGTGGATGAGCACTTTCTCCCCCTTCTGCAGGCGTGCCTCCTCTACCAGCGCCTGGTAGGCCGTGCAGTAGATCATCGGGATCGATGCCGCCGTCTCAAACGTCATGCCAATCGGGATCGGCTGGAACATCGATTCCGCATTGCGGGCGTAGTTGCTGAAGGCACCCAGCAGCCATGTCATCACTCGATCGCCGGGCTTGAACTTGGTCACCGCCGGTCCAACTCGCGTCACGACGCCGCTGCACTCCAGACCGACGGCCGGTTCTTGGATCTGGTCCATAGCCACCATGATGTCCATGAAGTTCAGCCCACTGGCCCGCACCTCGATCTCGACATCCTCGTCCTTCAGCGGTTGGCGATAGCGTTCGTCATCTTTGAAGAAGAGAGTATCCATCATCCCCGGCACCCCGATGGTCAGTGTCAACGCCCGGTCCGGCTGCTTAAACGGCGCGAGTTCCGGTTTGCGCTCGACGGTCATGGACGAGATCAGGTCGTTGGTCCCCTGTTCCAGATGCACGCGGGGAACCATCATGTGGCCCGCCCGGACGGCAAACTCGCGGTCCCCTTCCATGACGGACAGTTCGCGCATGGCTTTGATGACGAAGCTGGCGTTGGTGTCTGTATCTACCGGAATGGCCGGGTCGAGGTCGACGGTGCAGAAGGCAATGCCCAGTTGTTCCTGACGAATGGTTCGCGACAGGCCGGTGATCAACGACAGACCCGGGTTCTCGCAGTCGATGGTTCCGCCACAGGTGACCCAGGTCAGACTGGCTGAATCCAAGATGATGCTCTTCACCGTTTTGAAATCATCAGCTCCGATCCCGAAGAGCAAGGGCGTCTCGAGTTCGGCGAGCATGATGCAGGCCTTCCCCGAGAACTCCATATCGCGCACTCCATCGAAGCGGCTGGTCGAAACAGAAACTCCCAGTCTTTCCATTTGGCCCGCGAGCTTGTTCGAAAGCGCCCTTTCTTGTGCACTGGGGTTGTTGGACTGGATGATGAGCACGTCGCTTGGTACATCCCGGACGGCTGCTCCCTGTGCCGTGGAGAGCAAGACGGGGGAAGATTGTTCTGCAGGCCAGAAACAGTCAGCTCCGCTGAAGTCGTGAGCACACAGCGTGGCTTCTTCCAGAGTCGATGCCTCGGGACCAGAGACGATCAGCTTGCCACCGGCTTTGAGCAAGAGCCGGACATTTATGATGGCATCTTCCAGAGATGAAGCTGCCGTAGAGAGATCCGTCACCACAATACAGTCGAAATTGCCCTTCTGCAGGCCCTGTTCCACGGGATCGTGATCAATCCTCAGCACTTTTGTTGCCACGTACGGTTCCCATATGCCGAACTTGGCATTCATCTCATTGACCGCGTCCTGCTTAGCTGCCGTGGCCAGGTAAGATGCGAACCATGGCGTCGACTCTCCGTTCCTGCCGGCGAGAGCGTTCAGAATCTGCTCCGTCACGACCGCGTCGCCCGCGCCTACTTCTAAGATCTTCATGGCTGGGTTCTTGTGCGCCGCCAGTTGCAGGAAATTCACAAGTGGAGAAGCGGTTCCAGCCGCACACAACGCCTGGATGTCGTCGTTCTCCAGGTTCGAAATGTCTTCCTTCCACCGAAACTCACCCGCGATCTTGCGCAGACGGGCCTTCGCCTCCCCAGCCGCGGCCACATCAGTCATGGCGGAGAGGCGTGTGGCCCGAATCCGCTCGAATATAACCAGAGGCTTCTCCCAGCCCTTGGTCGACGCATAGACGGAGGCCTCTGCTTCCTTCAGACCCGTGTAGCCGGCCAGACTGTACGTCTGGAAGATGTCCCCTGGCGTGGAGTGAATGTCCGCCGAGACGAACAGCCGCTCAATGTACGTCGGGATTGCGGCCACCTTCATCTTTTCATTGGGCCCTTCGACTGTCGGCAGCAGCGTTTGGACGATCGCGTCCAGCGTGCAGGGGTGAATGACGTGGTCGTGGATGAAATTGTGCGGCATCGTACTGGCCATGTCCGGGATCCGGACCACGCAGGCACTCTGATTCTCGCCCTTGTTGATCTCGACTAGATTGCGGAATGTCTCGCCAAGCTGGAGCCCGATCTCAAACTGATGGTCATAGAACTGCTGGGCCGACTCGGAAGTCGTGGATTCCCGGCATGCCTGCTCGTATCGCTCCCGGTGCATGGCGTTCGACAGCCGGGTCTCGTCGGCAAAGATGGAGTTTGGCGGACCATTCTTGTACCGGACGGTCAACAAGCCCGTGCAGTTCTGCGACCAAGCCTCCCTTCCGGGTCGCGAGTAGATCGTGAACTCGTGCCATGCCGAGGTGGTCGCTTGTGAACCCATCCGCCACGGCCGGAGGTGCAGCATCGTCTCAACCCCTTCCTCATCGCGAGGCACGATGAGCGCGTTCCCGACAACAATGTCTCGCAACTCGTAACCGTCGACCTCCAGGTCCGGATCAGCGATCTGCGCCGCCGCTTCCAAGGCCATCACCATCATGCCCGCGGCGGGATACAGAAGGGTGTTGTGGACGGAGTGATCTTCGATCCACGGGTTCTCCGATAGACGCAAGAAGTTGCGCCAGCGAGGTTCGGACGGGTTTCCCTCGTCGTCCAGAAGGCCAAGAAGATCCTTGCGGGGCAGTTTCTTGAATCGATAGTTGTACGCCAGCGCGGACTCGTGCCAGTACTTGTTTGTGTGGTTCCAGGGAAATGGGGGCAGGTCGACGAGCAACTTTGGCTTGCTGGTGCCCTGGCATGGTGTATTCGCTGCTCCGATCCGGGCGGGATATCCCTGCTGGAACAAGCGGCCCACGACCTCGAGCGTTGAACGGGCAGCGTCATGACCCCTGGTCAAGACGGACAGTGACAGGCAGTCCGCGCCGGCCGCGCTGAGGATTTGCTTGATGGGGCCCTGGAGGGCGCTATGAGGGCCGACTTCCACCAGGACATCGACATACGGCTTGACCTTGGCCCGCTTTCGCTTGCGGTTCTCCGAGTGTTCCAGAAGCGCCTGGGCTGCCTGGGAGAAACGCACGGGGTTGAGCATGTTGGACACCCAGTACTCGGGTCCCAGGTGGGAGTTATCAACAAGTCCGCCCGTGACGCTCGAGAACATCCTGGGCGCTTGGTCATCCTCTGGCAGTGGCTGGATCTTCTCGAGCGAATCCCGGTACTGCGCGCTGATGCCGCGCATATGCGGCGAGTGGTAGGCGGTTTCCACCTTGAGTCGGCGAGCAAACCGGCCGTCGGCTTTCATCATGGCCTCGATCTCCAGAATTGCAGCCAAATCACCCGAGATTGTCACACTGGAGGGACTGTTGATGCACGCCACGACGGCCTGGCCCTTGGTAGCTTTCTCAAGATAAGGCCGGGCCTCCTCTTCGCCCACGCCCGCGGCCAGCATGCCGCCCCGGAGCCGGGGCGGGAGCTCAGAGAGCAGGTTGGAGAGACGGCCTCGATGGTAGGCGATCGTCATGGCATCCTCGCGAGAAATCGCGCCCTTGGCGTATGCGGCCGCAATCTCGCCGCTCGAATGGCCGACTACGGCCAACGGAGTGATGCCCCAGTGGCGAAGGAGATCGACCAGGGCAATCTGGACTGCCGTGCAGATGGGCTGACCGTACATGGGCTCGTTTATCTTGGACGATTTCTCGTCCTGGAAGAGCTCTGTTACCAGCGACCACGGACAGCCGATAGAGGTGAGATGGGTGCTCGCGGCGCGAAGACTCTCCGAGTAGACATCGTACGCCCACAGTTCTCGTCCCATGGCCCAATGCTGTGCACCTTGTCCTGTGAAAACGAAGCCTAACTTGGGGACAACTGATGACCGGATAGGCTTGGCTGCATCGTCCAGGCCCGCGCGGAGCTCCTGGACCGAGGAACTGATGGTGAATGATTTCCACGGCAGAATGCTGCGTCGTTCCGCCATCGTGTAGGCAACGTCCTCCAACAATTCTTCGGCCTGGGTGGCGTCAAGCGACTCCAGCCTCCCCTCGACGTACCCGCCGTACGCGTCGGCGATGCGTTTGATGCCGCCTTGCTCGTGTGCGGACCACACGATGAGTTTGGGGACGGACTTGTTGAGCTCTGTTTTGATGATGGCGAGACCCTCCGTCGAGTGACTGTCCGACAACGAGAGCGAGATGTCCGAGTCCGACCGATGATCTGAGCTCAAGGCATCCGTGCCCGGAATAGTAGTGTGGTGGAAGCCCTTGATTCCGCGGGCCTTCATGTAATGATAGGCATCGTCGAGAACGGCATGGGCGTTGGCGCCTCCGAACCCGAAGGAGTTGATGCTGACCCGCCGTAGGCCTTCGTACGGCCAGGGAGTCAGCTCACGCGGGATGGCGAGGTTCCATTCATCCAGCTTGATCCGCGGGTTGAGTGTTTCCAACCAGACCTGGGGAGGAATGAATCCCTTTTCCAGAACGTAGAGAGCCTTAGTGACGCCAGCCAATCCACTCGCCCCCTCGAGATGGCCGATATTGGCCTTGATAGAACCCACCCATAGCGGCTTGTCCGGAGGTCGAGCCTTGCCAAAGGTTGCTCCCAAGGCACTCGTTTCAATGGGATCGCCGGCAGCGGTCCCGGTGCCATGGGCTTCAAAATACCCTGTGTCCGCGAGGTTGAGGCCAGCATCCTCGTACACACGGCGGATGAGGGTGGCTTGCGCCTCGGCTGAGGGTAGGGTGATGCCGGGCGTGTTGCCATCCTGATTGCAGCCCGTGTTGCGGATCACTGCTCGGATCACGTCGTTGTCGCGGAGCGCCCTCTCCAGCGGCTTGAGGACGACGAAGCTGGTTCCCTCGCCGCGAGCGTAGCCGTTGCCCTTTTCATCAAAGGTCTGGCACTTGCTGTCAGGAGTGAGGAAGTGGAGAGTCGACATGGTCGTGTTGTACTCGGGCGTGCACATAAAGTTGACACCGCCGACGAGGGACTGGAAACATTAGCTTCTCTTTTCTACAGCTAAGAAAAAGAAAGAGAGAAGAATACCATTTTCGACTCTCCTGTCCGCAGACTCTGACAGGCGAGATGCAGGGCCACCAGCGACGAGGAGCATGCCGTATCGATCGTCATGCTGGGCCCGCGCAAGTCATAGAACCACGAGACCCTGTTTGAGAGACAGGCAGCCGCCACGCCTGTGGGGAAATAGGCAGGAAATGTCTCAGGATCGTGTGAGATCATATTGTTGTAGTCCTGTGTGAAGCAACCGACGTAGCAGGACGTATCCGAACCGACCACGTCTTCCATCCTGATCCCCGCTGGAGATCGATCATCTTAGTAAATCGCACACATAAGTAAAACAGCCAGTTTGCCTTACCGTTTTCCATAGCTTCATAAGCCACCTCCAGACACATCCGCTGCTGCGGATCCATGGCCTTGGCTTCGTTGGGCGTGATGGAGAAGAAGGGCGCGTCAAACGCCTCAGGAGCCCTGTTCATGAAGTGGGCGCCGCGGAAATTCTGTGTCCCCGCGCGCTCAGCGTGCGGATGATAAAAGGCGTCGATATTGAATCGATCCTTGGGGACCTCGCTCAAGGCGCTGCGGCCCTGGCACAGGAGCTCCCAGAGCTTCTCTGGGTTGGCCGCGTCGCCAGGAAACCGTCCACCGATGCCCACGATGGCGATGGGCATCACCTTGTCTCCTTCGAGCCGGAGATCGCCATTGAGGGGACGGGCAGGGGCAGTCTCTGCATCGATGAACGGCATGTCGAATGTTCACCACTAGAATAAGCGGACGGTTGGAAGACAAGAGGTGTATGAGGCAATATCACACGTGATGAACAAGATGGATTCTGTAGTGGAACAGAGTGGTGCTGTTGGCTTCCAACCTTCGATCCCTGATATGCTAGTTGATGTGCTGGCTCCTGGCCTCCTTGACTGTGTGAAAAGATACGATGATAGAGTAGGAGAAGATAAAACCGGCCATCGGTTCGTACCATGTAGATTATATCCTCCTAAAGCCAGGTATCAATCACATCCAGACAGCTATGCGCGATTTCCCTCCGTCAACCAACACGAAGGAGTGGCGACTGATACGAGCCACTCTCGCCGATGGTTCTAGGGAACCATCTTGGATCCAGCTCTGAAAAGTGACACCTCACGAGGGAGGAGACTTCTTCGCCAGCCAGTCAATCTTCCGCGCGTCACGAGGGAGAGAACACCCTCCACACTAAAGCAAATGGCGCGGGCATGCCGAGCTGAATCGTGTCGAACAGCCACGTGAAGGAGCAAGGAACATGTTCCAGTGCGGCCATTTGTTAGCATCGCGCGATGTGTTACCTGAGATGGGGCTGTCAGAGATGGATGGATCGATCAATCACTCAGGCAATCGGAACTGCAGTAGGAGCGGAGACACCGAGCTCCAGATCTGTAATGAGAGGGAGAATGGATCTCGAGGCAGGACTGCGGCGATATTTGATGGTACTAGCAGGGTTCTGAAGGCACTAAAAACCGTGTTCGGGGCCTTTCTGCATCGTGACGAGAAGATGTCGCCGAACGGAGACTTTTGGATCTTGTCCAGGCAGGCACGTGCTCTGGGTTCACATGATCCCAACCAGCTAGAGGTGATTTAAAGAAATGAAGAACCAGATGAGCTGTTCGAGGGGCTGCCTGACAGCCACAGGAGCATGGCGTTCCTCGTCAGCGATTATTTCTCGTGGAGATATCTCCCAATTGCCCTTCCCCTGCTCTTCATCGGCTCCCTCTACGTCCAGCGATGGCTCAGTCGTCGCAGCGCCCTGGCCATTGGCGCCATGGCGCCCGATGTCGATATTAGAGGCCCCTTGGGTAGGATTGGCTTCTTCTGCAGAGTCAGAGATGATGCGCTAATATTAGTCTGGACAGGCCTAGGCTTCTTCTTGGAAGCAATCCGTACCTGGCGAAACAACACCGCGCTGGAATTCTGGCAATGGATCTTTGATCACACCGGATGTGCCGCCCGAGGCTCGTACACAGCCGAGGTCATGATCATGAACGGCCAGCGCATGATCCTCACGGCTGACCCGGAGAACGTCAAGGCCGTTTTGACCTCCCAGTTCAAGAGCTGGGGCAAGGGCCAGATGCTGTACGACGCCTTTCGGCCGTTCCTGGGCGACAGCATCCTCAGTACCGACGGCGAGCAGTGGCATCGCGCGCGCCAGATCATCCGGCCGTTCTTCGAGAAGACACGCGTGTCCGATCTGGACTTGTATGAGCGCAATGTCCAGCGGCTGATTCCCAAGCTGGATAAGACCGCGATCGTGTCGATCGATGATCTGATCTTCCGCTACACCCTGGATACCATTTCCGAGTTTCTTCTTGGGAACCGGGTAGGCAGCCTGGAAGACAGCTCCAATGGCTTTACGGAGGCCTTCAATGAGGTCCAGCGGGTGCAGAGCGTTCTGATGCGAGCCGGGTAGGTAGATCGTCGAAGATACCTCTTCAGATATGCTAACTCCAGTTCATCGGTAGACCGCTCACTTGGGCCATTCCCCGCAAATCTTACCTGGAGAATATCAAGCGGCTGGATCGATACATGGAGCCCTTTATCTCCCAGGCGCTGACGCTGCCGCCAGGCAGTCCGGAAGCCAAATCAGACACCTTGCTGCAAGCCCTGGCCAGCTGGACGCGCGACCGCCAGATGATCCGCGATGAGCTGACGAGCGTGCTGTTCGCCGGCAGCGACACCACCGCCTCATCTATGTCCTGGATCTTCTTCGAGCTGGCGCGACACCCAAACGTGGTGGCCAAGCTGCGCGCCCTCATTCTGCGCAAGATTGGCACCCGCCGACCGACCTACCAGGAGATCAAAGATCTTAAATACCTGCAGTACGTCATCAACGAGACGCAACGGCTCTACGCAACGATGCCTTTCGCCACAAGGCAGGCCCTGCAGGACACCACTCTGCCTCGCGGCGGCGGGCCTGACGGCCTGAGTCCCATCGGGGTGCGTGCCGGCACGCCCATCATTTACTCGGCGCTGCTGATGCACCGTCGTCGGGATCTCTACCCCCCGGTGTCCGAGTCATTCCCCGATCCATTAGAGTGGGTGCCCGAGCGGTGGGAGCACTGGACGCCCAAGAGCTGGCAACTGATCCCGTTCAGTGGCGGACCGCGCATCTGCATCGGCCAGCAATTCGCCCTCATGGAGATGGGCTACACGCTGTGCCGGATTCTGCAAACCTTCGAGCATATCGTCGACTACACCGGCGGCGGACCGCCCGTGCTGAAGTGCGGAATTGTGGTGACACCGTTCCATGGCGTCCAGATTGGCTTTGTGAGGCCAGCTGTTGCTGCCAACACGCCGCAAGAGTGACGTTGCAGGACTGGATCTGTAAATCTGAAGGAAGAGAGAGCTGAGGAATTCAATCAAGATAATTTACTCATAATGGTCCCTCCATGCGCGCTGTCGAAATTGCTCTGCAATCTCAATAGATAAACAGCTGTATCTAGTAGATGGGGTTTCGGGAGACATGATTGGTTCCTTTCAGGGTTCTTTCCCTTTCAGTCAGAGCTATCACGTGATGCACTCGATGTCACGTTACTTCAGAGATAATATTCCTCGGGATCCTTCTGCAGCTTGGTCAACCTTCCTCAAGAGTCAAGCAAGAAACGCACCGTGGCTGCACCCAGTTCAAAGTTTTGGTGGCGCTGTTCTTTCTTTGTTCTTTGTTCCTCCTTTGAACATGGAGTCCCTCTGCCCCTCTTTCCCCTTTGTCACTCATGCATCTCCAGCAATTAAGCGAGCATGACAGGATCGCCTGTCCGGGGTGCAGGCCAGTCATGAGCGGCCGTCGCGGCCAGGGGCGCGCTAATCCCTGGCGGGCCGAGCGGTGCGCCGTCGGGAGGCGCGGCATTTTCCAGTGATTAATTTAGTCGCCCTGTATCCAACCCGTTTTTGCATTTATCATGGCGGGGCTAGTTGACGGGGGACTGAGAATCGTCCCTCGAGGACTGATTCCTGCCCTTCAGCTGCTTCTTTATCTCTCAATTCGGCCAGCCAGCTTCTCCCCCGTCAATTGATGCCGGAATACGGACTTCTGGACACATCTTCGACTGCCGCCATGAATGCTTGACCAACACTAAGCAAGCAAGCAAACATTCGAGTACAACCCCAATGCATGCGGTATCGAGGAGTAGGATCAGAGGTGCTCTCTCTCTGGAACGACGTCAATTGCTTCATTTGCCACCCAGGAAACGTCTAGTCAGCTCTTCTGCCGCCTGAAGTCAGAGCTCTGGTCGGAACATTCACGAACATCGAATATCCCGCATTATTTTCTTCTTGGCTGCTTGTTTGTTTGCTTCTGCCGCTCAAGCAGCTGCATCTCCCCATTGTCGTGATGTTTTTGTGGCAAGAACTCCACAGAATCTGCAGTGTTCTGTAATTTCCAAGTTTGTGACTTAAGACGTGTTGGCTTTGTTGGATATTTTTACATGCTTCCAGAATAAACTCTCCCGCTGTTGCACATTTACCCAAAAGCCGTCCTGCACATCCTTTGTGGACGGCATTCCTTGATCATTTTTTAACCTTACTATTTCACCGTCTCTAGCAAACATGGGGTCATATCACCCTCAAACGCCGGATCGCCGGACGGGTAAGAAATTGGATCTTATCATTGAAGATCTGAACTTGAAATTCGATCTCCGAATCCCCAATCCCTCGCTGTCGTCGCCCAGTTCGCGTGAGAGAGAGAAGCCACTCGACTTAAAATGTTTCCTTGCCCTTAAAGAATTACATTTCAAAAACGTCAACATCGATCGCATCTTGCAAAACTTTGAGGAGAGAGTGCAAGCATGGGTTCCGAAGCCGAGACAAGAGCCGGGAACCCTACCCACGACGAGCAACTTTCTGAGAAGAGACGGCTACCGCAGCATATCGGCTGGCGAACGTAAGAAGCGTCTTGAAATTCTTGAGGAATTGCTCAGAGATGAGATCTATCTTATAAGAGGGGGATCGTTTAGCCCCCATGCGCTTGACCGCCTCCGTCGTCCAAGAGATTTGTCGAACGGGCCACCACGACCTAGCGATCATGCACGTTCCCGAGCCCCCAGGCCATCTGAGACAAAGAGGAAGTCTTTCGATGATGAAGAGGTATTTCGCACGGCTCCCAGCTCCCCAATCCTCTCTCCTGATGAGGGCTAACAGTCAATGGAGACCGAGGACGAGTTCGAAGACTCCGTTTTTGACGAGATGGACGCTGACGATTTTTTTCTCGATGACGATCAGAAACCCGAATCCCCAAAGAAGAAAAGACAATCGAGAATCTCCGATTACATGAAGGTTGTCAAACCTGACCAAAGTTCAAGCAATGCCAAACCCCAGCCGATGCCTGCCCCACAAAATGAACTGAACACTAGCTTCGCAACTACCGTGACATCCGACTCCGACGACGACATCTTTGATCCGCCGCGCGATCCTCGTGCGCTGGGCCGATCGTTTGACACCGATATCACAGAGCCAATGGAAGAAAGCCTGACTCAGGACAGCTCAACCGTTGGAGTCATGCTTAGCGAAGAGGTGACATCGATTTTGCAAGCAGTTGAAGGAGAAAGTTTCTCTACGTCGAAAGCACATCCCGAGCAAGACCTTGCCGAACAGAAGCTTCTCAATGATCTTCTCCAAAACGGTCCATTTGCCAAAAGAAAGTATTTACCAAGCTCGGTTTCTCTGCGGGCTAGATATGAGCTGGAGAGAATCGCTGAGGAATGGGGGATCCCTCTCAAGGATGTCCTAGCTGGGGACAAGGATCCCTTCAATGACCATGAAGGCTTCTGGAAGTGGATCGAAGGACACACCCAGCGACATGGGAAAGCCCTCCCGGAGAAGTCGCCTGCGAAGGCTTGGGATGCAGCAGTAAACCAATTCAAGGTCGTGGACAAGCATTCTGAAGTCGTCGTGCTCACTGGCGCACTGAACTGGCGCGACAAGTCCGAGGCTGGGATTTTCAAACTGAAACTCAATCCCCTCAAAATTGAGCGAAGCTGTCGCTTCCATCGTCGATTCGGTTCCGACCGGTTTCTGAGCCTGACCATCCCTGCGCCTTCACGGCCCCCTTCCCACCTTCGCTTTAACTCGCATCCGTCGCTTCTTCGTGAAACTATCGCCAAGTGGCTCACTCACTACGAACACTACCTCCTGGGAAGAACATGGCGGGCATTCTACGTGGAAGATGTCAAGAGCAAGAGCAAGAAAAATAAGAGCGACATTCGATTCAGAGTGGAATTCTTCGCTGTTGACGGAATTGACTTTGATCACAGCCGTTCCGCACCCTCCTTGGCGCCCATCAACCAGCCCTGTGACAAGCACACCCCCATGAGTGTGGAAGCATTGCTGGAGTGGCACATGCCGCGCCATGCGAATATGGACCAGACAGACTGTAAACTTTTCCAGCGGATCGCCCTTGGACTCTCCAAGACGTGGGCCAGCGTGGTTCTCCGTCCAGAGGAGATTCTGCATCTCGAAGACGACAAGAGCAAGCCGGAGGTCATGAATGACGGCTGTGCTTTGATGTCGAGAGCGCTGGCTCGAGAGATCTGTGACCACCTCGGGATCCAAGGAAGTACGCCCAGCTGCTTCCAAGGCCGCATTGCGGGAGCCAAGGGACTGTGGATGGTGGACCGACAGAATTCGCCCATCCACGCTGGTGAGAGGGATTTCTGGATTCAGATTTCGGATTCTCAGCTGAAAGTCAAACCCCACCCACACTACTGGTCTCCGAAGTCGGCGGACGATGAACAGTTGACGTTCGAGGTAGCCAACTGGTCCAAGGAGTTGCATCCCGTCGAACTGAATGTGCAGCTCCTCACCATTCTGGAGGAAAGGGGGCCGGTCCGGGAATATATCGCGGAGGTGATGCGCGACGGAATCCGGCAGATGTATGGAGATTTCGCGGCGGTGATCGAGCAAGACAGTCCACAGCTGGCCAGACTCCTGGTGAAGAAAATCAGGCCTCGGCTGGAGGACAGTTTCTCGCGCAACAGCTTCAGGCGCATCGACCAGTGGATCCTCGATGACACCAAGAGTATCATCCGATTTTTGGAAGCCGGGTTTTCTCCTAGAAACTTCAGCCTTTTACGAGACTGTTTGAGGCGCTGTCTTGTCCACACGCTGGACCGCTACGTGACGGAGCTTCACATCCCCATCCCGTTGTCGACCTACGCGTATAGCATTGCCGACCCGTACGACGTTTTGGAAGAAAATGAAGTTCATTTTGGCTTTTCGCGCGAGTGGCCAGATGTCGGGTTCGACGACACCATGCTGGACGGAGTGGATGTGCTCGTCGGCCGCCTCCCAGCCCATCGACCCTCAGATATTCAGCGACGACGGGCGGTGTGGAAGCACGAGCTACGTCACTTCAAGGATGTCATTGTCTTCTCTAGCCGAGGAGAAAAGCCGCTGGCGAGCTTACTGTCCGGCGGTGACTACGACGGCGACAAGCCATGGATCTGCTGGGACCCGAGGATTGTGGGTAGTTTTAATGATGCCCCTCCTCCAAAGAAAGAACTCCCGCCCGAGCGTTTTAGGCTCACGAAACACGCACGGCCGATGCGTGAGGTGCAATCGACGGAAGAATTTCTGGAAGGGACGTTCAAGTTCAATTTGACCCTGTCCAATCTGGGGCGATGTACTGTCGAACACGAGAAGATCGTCTACGAGGAAGATGAATCAGTCGGCTCGGAAAAGGCACAAGAGCTGGCAATGCTCCTCAGCCATCTTGTGGACGGGCGCAAGGCGGGTCTCCAGCTGTCGGAGAAAGCCTGGCAGGAATATCGGAAAGAGATCAGCCCTCGCAAACGGGGGGTGCCCGCGTACAAGGACCCTGGCGCCACCAGGTGGAAATCGTCCAACATCATCGACTACCTGAAATTCGAAGTGGCTCAAAGGGAGAAGCATAATGTCTTGACACGGTTTACGGCGCTCTACGAGGGATTAGGGGGAAAGGATAGTCGAGATTCAGATCTCATTCGTCCGTGGCAGAAGGCTTGGACGAGGGCGCAAAGGGAGAAGGAGGTGTCGAACAACAAATTAATTGATGCCCTCCAAGAGGTCCGACGGCGTGTGGAGGATGCCAAGAGCCGATGGGCAGACTTCTGCTGCAGGGGGTTCAAGAAACCGTATGATGCTGTCGTCCAGCGAGCGGCGGATCTGATCCGCGAGATCCAGCCACCGGATTGCGACCACCCGCTGGTGCATACGTGGCAGAACAGCGAGTATGAGTGGCGGACGTTGCTGGCATCGTGCACGTATGAGCGATACCGGCAGCACAAGTTTGCCTGGTATGCGGTTGGGGAGACGCTGTGCCGGATCAAGACGGGCGATGGGCCGGCGCGCCTCGTGTGCGAGAGCATTTACTACTGCATGAAGGTGAACAGCAAAGTGTCGCGACGGCTGGCAGCGATGGAAGTGGACGATGGCGATGACGACGCGGGGGTTGACGACGACGAGTTTGAAGGCAAAGAGGCGATTGAAATGTTGGTCGATCGCGATGACGGGAGCACGGCCGGTTTGGCGACGTTGGATTACTTTGATGACGATGAGGATGGACTGTCGGTGGAGTAAAATCACCACCAAGCTGTATCTGTCTGGTATCTGTTTCATATACCCTGAGTTGTTACTTGATTGATCTCTATCACCTAGTAAATACTGGAGATTTAATAGTGGTATGTACAGACTACATCTGAGAATGAAGTCCATCCCTCAGCGGAAACCTGTAGTCCACTAAGATATTGATATATGTCGTTCCTAGGTAATGTCCTGTCCCATGTGAATACGCCAGGGAATAGGCCTGCTGCCACCTTCCCGAACCGGTCAAACGTCTCGATCAGGCAATTTGGAATATCCGGCACGTGGAACATCTATCCGATTGGCCAGTTGAGCTGTCAAGTGATGCTTCTTCATGTGACTGCGGATGAACTATTCAGCCGACCCAACGCAGCGGGACAGGCCTGATGACGGTCACATGCCAGTCACACTCGGGGATCCTTGTTTCGCTGAATGAATGGGCTTTGTCTGACAATAAAGAATTAGCAGATCGAATACTGCATTGTATCACCTTACCCAGTACCTATCTATATATAGACGATAATAATAGCAGTAGAATAGCATGCACGCTGTACTCGTATTATCCTACGTAGTGTCTGTCCTGCGTTCATTTGCCGATTTGGTCGACTACTGGGTCTTTTTCATCTCTGCCCCATCTGCTCGAGTCTGGTCTCTGGAGGACATCTGCATGCGCGAACCCGTGTCCTCCCACGCTGCCAATTCGTCCTGACAAGAGCACGAGCACGAGCACAGCGCACAGTCCAGTCGACCTGCAAATCCCGTCCGCATCGCTGTTCGCTCTCTCCGCCGTGACTGGCCGGCGGCAGCATCCCGGTCACGTTTTGCCGCCGTCTTCACGTGCAAAACCGACGCTTGCCCAACTCCAACTCGCCCGAGAGACAGACAGCCCGCCAGCCCAGCCCAAGCGAGCGAGCCTTCGTGTCCCAGACAAGCCCTCGCTTCGCTGCTTTGGAGTAGCCTGGCATGGCCCAGCGTCCTCCAGATCGAGTCCTTGCCCAGGGCCAGAGCCAGAGCCAGCCTTGGCCCCAGTCACAGTCACAGTCTCCGTCGCAGACACATGAACTCGCTCCATCGCCGTCCCCGGCCGCTGCCGTCTCTGCTGTGAGAGATACGGCCGCTGTTACTGCTCCTCCACCTTCTCATCCTTCGTCGATTGTTCCGACTTCTTCTACCTCTGCCCGCGAACCCGCCAATATGACCATGGACGTGGACAGCGGCGCTGACGTCGACGATCGCGCTCGTCGTGCCACCAGCGTCCTCTCAATGGACGACATCGAAGCGGCACAGGCCCTGGAAGGCCTTCGTTCTGGTACGGTGCAGAGAAAAAAAAGAATTTACAGCAGCTACTCCGTACAGGTATACTGATTCTGATCTAGACTTCTCGCGTCCATCTCAACCCCCCGCCCCCGCAACGACCAAACCTGAACCGCTGCAGCCCGAACCGCTGCTCTCGCTTCTCACCTCGACGCATCCCTTGATCTCGTCGGCCATCAACCAAGGCATGTCCGCCTATACCTCCTCCAAGTCGTATTCCCCGCGCTTCAAATACGGAGCCGAATTCCTTGAACGGAATATCGGATCGCACGTTGCCAATACCGTCGGCACCATCAGCCAGAAGACGGGAGTGGAGGGTGGTCTCCGGTGGGCGCTGCAGCGGCGGGACAACGGTGATGCCAATGATCGTAACAAGCGGCGAAAGGTCGGCGAAGAGAATGCGTCGACTGAGATGGATGTCGAGAAGGCATTGTCCGATCAGCAGCGCGCCCGGTCCTCGTCTGAGCTCTCTTACGAGACCCTCCCGCCGTACGATGATCAACGTTCGCCAAAGTACGAAGAGATCAATACGTCAGGCAACGCACGGCCAGCGTCCACGTGGCAGAGCCGCCTGATGATCTCGACTTCGGGGCTGGGAGTCGCCATGAGCGAGGAGTCGCTCCGCAGTCTGACCTACTGCCTGAAGTGGCTGCGGTGGGCGAACGACCGGCTCAGTCGGGCGATTGTGGCGCTCAAGAACGTGCTGCAGAAGTGGGACGAGTCGAGAAGGGAGAAGCCCGAGGAGACGGCGTCCAACCGCGCCGCGCTGTCGCAGCATATCCAGGCGGTCAAGGAGGATGTGCTGCGGACGCTCAAGCAGGTGGTGGACATTGTGTCCAAGTACACGGGAGGCGCGTTGCCGGAGAATGCACGCAACCTGGTGCGCAGACACCTGATTTCCCTGCCGCAGCGGTTCCGGATCGCATCGACGTCGCAGGCCCCGTCGGACGCGGGGTCGGACGAGGCGACGAGTGCGCATCGGGTGCTGGTGCTGGCGCAGGAGGGGCTCGACATGATGGCGCAGGTTAGTCGTGTTGTTAACGACACGCTGGTCAGTGCTGAGGTCTGGTGCGAGAGGCTGGGCCGGAAGCGGCCTGACATGAAGGAGCAGCTGCCGGATCATCCTGATGTAAAGCAGCCTGAGAAGGCTAAGGCTGAGACACAGGATATCGAGATGGGTGGGACGCAGGCTGCCTAGTCTGCACGTTTATCAGCCATACCTCCTTTCAGGAATGGAGTATACTCTAGCTCTGCTAGCTCTGCGATACAGCTGTTCTACAGATCAGCTGACATTTTACACAAGCCCTTACAAGCCTTTCTTTTGATAAACTCCCTCTTTTTACTCTAAAGCAAAGAATCATCACTCGTCTGTCTGTCTATCTCATCTCATTTGTCTTCTGTTGATATCCCATCTGTGTTCGGGTTCAGGGTGTGTTCATTCATGTCATGTCTTGTCTGGCTGGCTGTCTAGAAAGTGACTGATTGATTGACTGACTCACTGACTGCACTGGATTTATGGTATCGGTATTGAATATTGGATGTTGGGCATGGGATATGGATAGTGGTACCTACAGCGCTAGTCGAGCTGATCTGTGATTGTGATTGTGATCTGTGATGTATCTCCTTGATGCAGGCCTGGAGTGCGAGTGCAATGTTTTTTTTAGCGGGTGTTTTTCAGGGAAGAAAAAAAAATGAATAAAAAGAAAAATAAAAAAGACTGAACACCACTCACTCCACTGATACATACAATACAGACATATATGTACTCTGAAACGTATCTCCTCGGCTCGAAGAAAAAAAAAGAGAAAAGAAAGAAAGAAAGAAAAACTTCACTTACCTCGAAGAAATGACCGAACGAACGACCGAAAGATTGAATGAATGAACGTCATGTCATGTCATGTCATGGCGATAAGGAATAAAAATAAAATAAGATAGGATTGTCTGTCTATCTATCTATCTATCTAGTCTACACGTAGGTAGGTAAATAGTATACCTGTTTTGTTACTCTGTATTTTTTTTTCTGCAATAACCATAGTAATGACAATAGTTAATAGTAATGATCAGTCAGTTAGTCTTCTTTTTTTTTCTTTTTCTTTTTTAAAAAAATTTGCTCAAGCTCATGCTCATGCTGTCTGTGTTTGTGTCTGTCTCTGTCTATGGTAATTATTAATTTAATTACCTTATTCTATTTTTTTTAAAAAGGCTATGATATTCCGTTTGCAGTATGTACATTTATTAGTATTTGTATTAGTATTAGCATTAGCATTAGCTTTGCCATCGCCATTATTATTACCAATTATGTGATTCAATGTAAATATGTACTGTACTGTACAGGACAGTACATTATTCATTCCACTTAATAATAAATGCAGTTGATCAAGCAAAATCAAATCAGATCAATTCAATCCCAGTCCAACCCAACCCTGTCCTGTCCTGTCCTGTCCTTGTCCTGTCTAACGCCTCGAGTGCAATGCAATGCAATGTGCAATGTACTGTACAAGAAGAATGCGATTTTGGTATGGTGTGCATGACATGATGAGATATGATTGATGTGATGCGATGTGATATCACGAATGACGGATGATAGTCATGACTTGTGAATCGTTGGTGATGGTGACAACGGGGGTATCTCTCTGATTATGTAGGTATGCATGTACCGAATCGAGTCCATCTGTCTGTTTGTCTGTCTGACTGACTGTCTACGCCACCCTCAACTTTCATTTCGCCTTCGCTTTCGCTTGCTGCATCGGCTTCGGCTTCGGTTTCGACTTCGATTTCGCCTTCTGCTGCTGCTTCTCTTTAGACACCAGCTTCAGTTTCAGCTTCAGCTTCAGTTTCGGCTTCGGTTTCGGTGCTGGCGCCTGCACCGGCTCGAGTTTCGGCACCTGCACCGGCGAGAGTTCCGTCATCATCATCTGCTGCTGCTGCTGCAACTGCTGCCGCTGTAGCCACTCCACCTCGTCGACCGTCGCCTGGTACCGCGCGAAGAGCAACCCGTCCTCGCGCTGCTGCGCGCGCTCGCGCATCGTCGTTCGGAAGCGGGCGCGCACGGCGCGGAGCTGCTGCGCGCGTTGTCTGAACGGTGTTACGGATGNGCCAAGAGCACGATTCCTGGCTGTGGCTTTCGATCAGGGGGATTGGCTTTCTCTGCTGTTTTATGAAGTGCCATGTGGAGGATGGGGAGGGCGGTTGTGGTCGTGTGAGTGGTTGTGGGGGGGCGTCGTTGTCGTAGTCATAGTCGTAGGCGTAGGCGTTGATGTTGTCGTTGTCGTAGACGTTGCCGTCGACATCGTTGTAAGCGTTGACGTCGTCGTTGATGTTGATGCCGTCGCCGTCGTCGACCTTTTTGTTCATGTTCTCCAACTGCCACTGCCACAACCGAACGTCGCGCATCTCCTTCACCGTTTGACACAGGTTCATCGAGCTCCGTCGTGCGAGGTGGTGCTGATGGATGTGGAAGTCGACAGAGTAGAAAGCGAACAGGACGTCTTTCTCCTCGCCCCTGCCGCCGCCCAGCAGAACCTGCTGGACCTGCTGCATATACCGCTCGCGCTGGGCTGCACTCGCATATCGCCAATATCCCGGCTGCCACCGTTCCGCGGGCGTCTCGTCCGGCGGGACGTCCTCGTCGGTGTCGATGGAGAAGGGCGGATCGGCGGAGAAGCGGTACCTGTCGCAGGCGATGTCGGCCTGCATCCTCTCCGGAGTGACGAGCATGGTGCAGTCGCCGCAGGTCAGGGCTTCTTCGAGGATGGAGCTCTATAATAGTTTCGTCAGTATGTCCGTCAGTTCGCAGAGTATGTACTATACGCACCATTTCCAACTCCGCACGCTCAGGATCGGCAGATTCATTGCCAACCGCTGTTGCAGTTTCAGGAGGATCCTTCTGGTTCAGATCTTCGATTCTTCTGGTCACACTGGCCGTGCCGTTGAAGGTCCTCGCGATCGCCAGGGACAGGAAGACGTCGTCATAGTCGTACGACCGGTCCGTGCCCTGGCCAAGGAGTAAGGTTTCCATGAGAATTGAGGAGGATATCAGCGAATATCTCAGAGAATATCTCAGTCTTCTTGATGATGATGGTTTGGCGAGTTCAACTCCGTCCTGCGGGAAGTATCTTCTTGTCGTTCGTAGAATGATAAATGAGAGAAAGAGAAGAAAAAGATGAAGATAGAGGTAGATATCTCGATCGAGAACCAGTCTCAACCTCGACAGTACAGCAAGTAGTCAGTTAACAGGAGGTTGGGACCTCCCAGATACAATATGCCCTAATCAGGTATAGACTCGACCAGTCTGTGCCTGGTCATTCACTGGCCAGGACTGCAGGAGAGGAGCATTTCCTTTGTGTTCTCCAAGTCGATGACCCACAGTTTGGCAGTGAACGGCAAGACAATACCTAGGTAGAAGTACTATTCGGGGTATATCCTGTATCCATGGATTGGTGCCTGTCTGCGTCTGCCTGGACAGGCATCGATGCACGAACGAGTCGAGTCGTCGAGTCATTGTGGATGATACAGTACAAATAGAAATAGTCGTAGAAATACTCGTAGATATGGCTCTGTTACAGTGATGCAGCTGTTGATACCAAGTGACTTATCAAGTGACAGCCTCAGGCACTACGGCCACGTGATTGGTCACCGGACCAGCCAATCCCGTGACGCGGAGAGCTGATCGCGGCGGGCGAAGATCGCGGTGGAGAAGATGCCGCATCGGGCAGTGTCAGGGGCACGCTGGAGAAAGATCAGAATGGGGCATTGGGGCTGCTGGGCCTCAGGGGCAGTTGTTCAATGACGTCATGCAGTCTATCTGCACTATCTAATAAAAAAGCCAAATCAAACCATGGTCCCGTCTTCCTCTATCCTGCAACCTCTATGTCTAAATGTTTATACCCCTTGTATCCAGACAAGGTGCATCACGCCAGGCTCTCTAAGGCAGGGTGTAGCCTCCGTCAACCACCAGGTCCGCGCCCGTCGTGAAGCTGGCCGCGTCGCTGGCCAGGTACAGGTAGGCGCCCTTGAGCTCCTGCGGCAGCCCCTCGCGGCCCAGCGGCGTCTTGTCCCGCCAGAGCTTCTTGGTCTCCGGGGGCACAAAGTTGGAGATCTCAGTAGCAATATAGCCGGGCGACACGGAGTTGGCGCGGGCGAAACGCGCCCATTCGACGGCCAGCGATTTGACTAGACAGTCAGCAGACGCTCATATCACTGTTCACCGACAGACACCTACCCAGGTGGATGACGCCCGCCTTGGCCGCGTTGTACGCCGCCTGCAGCTGGGGAATGTTCACAATGTGCCCGCTCATCGACGCCGTGGCCACGAAGCTGCCGTAGGTGAAGTTCTGCAGCTTGTTGCCGAACAGGTCGGTGCCCTCCTCCTTCTGGCGCCGCCAGTGGGCCGCCGCCGCCTTGGCCGAGTAGAAGACGCCGTCCAGGTCGGTCTGCACGACGGCCTGGTAATGGTCCAGCGGGCCGTCGACGCTGGGGCCCTTGGTCCATGGGATGCCGGCGTTGGCGATGAAGATGTCGAGGCGGCCGTTGAGGTCGCGCACGGCCTGGTTGACCGTCTCCTCGAGCTTCTTGGCGTCGCGGACCGTCGACCCTGGTATGCCTTGGCTGGAGAAGCGTCAGCATGTGTCAGAAGGACGGAATATCAGGCACACTCACCCTTCACGCCATACTGCTGCTCGATCTCAGCGGCGCGCTCAGGCGTCTTGGTGTTGGTGTTGTAGAAGAGCGCAACGTTGGCGCCGGCTTCAGCCAGGCCGTGAGCGACGTGCAGGCCGATGCCAGCACCGGCGCCCGTGATAATAGCAGTCTTGCCCTTGAGCGAGAACAGCGCGAACAGGCTGGGATGCTCGGGCGGGGTGGAGTTGTCGTGGTTGAAGAGGCCGTTGGTGATGGGAGACGCAGCCATTGTGAGAATTATAGACAAGATTCTCCACAGCAGGATGGCTGGAGAATGAAAGTCAGGACGACCGCGGGGGCACAGCACTCCTTTTATAATTGTCCATCTCGACCAGCGTGCGGTGGGGGGCGCACATCGGGGCAGCGGTGGGCTGGCTCGATACAGCGCCAAATGAGCGCAGCACCAGCGGAGTTAATGGCGAGAGCATCCCTCTGACAGGCCAGCTGCTGGCCGATGGAGCAGGACTACTAACGGTCGGTTGGCGAGACGTGGTGGGAGGTTGGCTGCAGACGATCGCTCCGCCGGGGTTTCGTTGAGTGGAAGCAGGAATCCGTCTGTCTACCTTGCTGGCCATGGACCGAGTAGTCTGTCTGTATCTACGTTGTCCAGAGTATACGGAGTAGCCTATTCTGGACGAAAGGTACGGATTCTAGATTACTGGCAGACGCGAATAAGCTCGGGCGAGCAAGCCACCAGCCAAAAATTATTAATCTCGTTATCGCTGTCTGTGCACCCTAGATCGGCTCGCCCCCAGCTTGTCGACAGCCCTAACGGACAAAAAAGACTCTCGCCATCGCAGCCATCGCGGACACCAATCCGTCCTGAGAGCCGGTGAGAGGAGTTTGCCGGTCAGATGATCAGGTCGAAAAATTTTAACCGCTCGTCAAGACTCCTGGAACAGCGGTGGAGTAGCTGATGTGGCGCCTGGATGGAGGCAGATTTCCTCCACCGGTGCGTGGGACGTGGAGAAACGGCAGGGATGGATTAGGTAAGACAGGAGATTATCATATCACCAGCTGTACGCATATCTCGACTGACCTTTCTCTATGCCTCGATCAGTGGGCACAATTCGAGATTTCGACAGGAATGGTCGTACTCAGGAGATTGCCCGAATTTGCTCCAGATATGAGTTCTCTGCCAGGTGGAAGAGGTGTTGTGTCGGCTAGGTACATACTCACTATGACAGCTATCAGCAGGTTCACCCACTACGGAGTATATCGCGAACAAATGTGATTGAGCCCCTTCTCACAGCCCAGGAGAAACACGGAGATCTGATTTAACTCGGCCGGCGGAATGGCGCATTCCATCCATCAACCCTGTCCACCTCCCCGGGATGGTATCTCCCTGTCAAACCGACCACCATGATAACGATGGGATGATATAGCGCCATCCCTCGTAGGACAGACATCCTGTGCTCTCCCTGGCAGACAGCGTTCATAGCACGCGGATATATCTCGGGAAGACAAAAAAGAAAAAGTCCAGGGGAGATGACTTCATGGCTCCTCGTCCACATTCTTCGCGCCCAGGCCACATTCCAACGAGAGGCACCACACAAAACCACAACACGTCCATGCCTCGACTGCCTCGTGGGCTCCCGCCGCTGTTTCTGCCAGGTTCGCTGGTGCTCCTCCTCTCGTCGCTTCGTGATTGTTGCACCTATCCAGCACCTATCCAACCTGCAGACGCTCCAGGTGCGGAAACACGGCCATCAGTCGACATCACGTTGATCGTTCTCGATTCGCTCGACTGGCAAAATGCTGAGTGTGACGGCAGTCATCGCCATCGCCGTGGGCTGCTCCGTGCTGTTCATCGTCAGCGCAACGGTTGGCATCGTCGTCTGGTGGCGCTTGCGACAGGACCGTCTCTCGCTGGCTATGGCCCAGGCCAGGCTGGCAGCGACTGTGCCGGTGCAGGGCTTCAACAGCGTCCTGGCAGACCCGGCGCGCAAAGACGCTGCGCTGCCCTACGGCCAGCTGCCGTACAGCCTGCTGCCTCGCGAATGGGCGCCCCTGGCCTCGACCGAGACGTTCCAGCTGTCCATGACGCCCGTCAAGCGGTCGTCGTCGCCGCAGAAGAGAGAAAGGGCTCGTTCTCTGAGAGGCTCCATTTCCCGGTCTCTGTCCAAACGGCTGTCGCTCTCCAAGAGAAACCACCAGAAGCCCGTCGCGTTGAGTCCCTTGACCGTCGACGAAGCCACCAAGAGCTCGTCTTCCAACAATCGCCCGGATGCAAAGGAGAAAGAGCCCACGTCGGCCGTCGAGGGCTTCTCTGAGCTGCCCACCGAGATCACGCCGCGAAATACGCCCGAAAAGGACCGCGAAGACGCGACGCCGTCCGAGTTGGCGAGCAGCCGCTCCGCATGCACCGCCTGGCCGCATCTCGCCTCGGATCGCACGTTCACCGTGCTCACCGACCAGCACGACCGGCCTGGCCAGCGGTCGTCCCGCGTGCGGACTGGCAGCATCATCGCGCAGTCGGCCGGAGCAGCGCCAGAGATGCCCATGCCTCCGCCTCCCCCGGCCTCGTATGCGCGCGGCGGCATCTATCAACTTCCGCCGGACGACTCGCTCATGCGGCTGTCGTCCCTGAGCCTGGAGACGGCCAACAGCTCGATCCTGGACGAAGGCAGGAGGGCGTCCATGTCGGTCGACGGCGAATTCCACTCGCCCTCGCTGCCGCCATGCCCGACCTTCACGCCGTTCAGCCCCTGCGACATCGTCCGAGGCGGCTCCGTGGCGCGCGACTGTGCCTCGCAGCGGCGATCCCAGTCGCAGAGACTGTCGTCGTCGACGGCCCGCTTGACCGTCGCGTCCAGCGATTCCTACAAGTTGGATCTGGGAGGCTGCTCGCCTCGTCGGAGCCTGACCACGCGCGAATCGCCTCAGCCAGCGTCAGACTGGCCCGGCCAGCTGCCACGCCGCGGCGAAACGGTCCTGTCTCCTCCTCGTCCCAGACCGGCCAGCAGTGCGTCGTTTTCCAGTCGTCTGTCGACCTCGTCCGCCCAGAGCCATCTTCGCCAGCAGCGATATTCCATGTACGAGCGTCCAGTCAAGGACGAGCAGATTCAAGCCCCCGACGACAGACCGCGAACAATGCAATCGCAAAGTCCTATGCGTCCCAAAGACAGCGCAGGACGAGTTCCGTTGCAATCAGCGATGAAATCAGCCCATGGCACGCGAAAGAGCCACCGACGACAAAACTCGGTCCGCATCTCCGCCTATCCTCCCACCACGTTCGGCGGACCGGTTTTTCCCCTATGCTCGAAGAACCGGAAGAGGTATCCGAACTGGAGAATGAGAATGACTTGAATGTGCATTCTTCTTCTAACCAGCAGCAGCAGCAGCAGCAGAGACGGCACAGCCGACATTGCTCGACAGGCTCCATCCCAGAGATAAGAAGCTCGTCGATCCTGGGGAATAATTGTTCGCCGGCGATGAACTCTCGCGTCGTCACTCGCTCCAACACGTCCCGCAAGCGCAGCCACTCGCGGATGGACGACGACGTCTTCGTCTGCCCTGCCTCTGCGTCATCACCGTCAGAAAAGCACAGTCTGTCGAGGACGCCATCGCCAGAGAAACCAGAGCCCGCCTCGTGGTATTTGCCTCGTTCGGACGCGTTCTCTCTATCGCCGTCCCTGTTTGCGACGGGCAGTCCTCAACGGTATACCGTCCGCGGTGGTGGTGGTCCGCAAGGTGTTCCCGTAAGACGAACAGTACGGAACAGCGCGCCGCCTTGTGCGAATACTAGTACTAGTACTACAGGTATTACTACTACGAGTATTACGAGGTCAGAGGATTCAATTATGTCGACCCCCACACAATCGCCAAAGAGAGCCCTCACCCTCGCCCCCTCCCCCAGCAAAGACGTCCGCAAATCCATCACCCTGCTGCGCCGCATGAACAGCGACGCCTGGGACGACGACTCGCGCGCGTACCGGTGCATGGGCGGCTGCTGCAGTCCCAGTCCCAGTCCCAGCTCACTGTCGCTGTCGCTGTCGCTGCAGCAGGGGCGGCGGATGTCTGCCAGTAATCGCAGTTCGCTGGCGGGTAGCATCACCATCTGGGAGGATGCGGGCGAGGAGGAGGACGCTGCGTCTGCGTCTGCGTCTGCGTCGACGTTGATGCCAAGGAGGAGGGTTTCTGTTATGGAGAGGATTGATTCGGATGGAGCAGCTGAAGATGCTGCTAGCAGCAGCAACAGCAGCAAGAATAATCCTAGCAGCGGCGACAACAACGATTCCACCAGCGACAGTACCACCACGAAAAACAACGTCAATAACAACAGCAACAGCAGCAACAACAACGACACAAACAAAAACAATCAATCAATCCTCACAACACCACACAACAAACCCAAAGGATTGGGGTTAGGGTATGCCGGTGCTGATGGAGGTGGAGGTCCCAGCTGCGCAACCACGCCAGCAAGTCTCTACGATCGGGACGGGTTCCTGAAGGAGTGACTCAACAGTTGAATATTCCTCTTGATTTGATTGCTTTAGAGGTTATGTGTATTGTGTATGGTGTATTGTATTGTAGGTAATCCAGTTGAAGTTGTATTATAGGATAGTTATACTAGTATATTAGATTAGTCAATCAATGACGGAAGGTGATACCACGGTGCTGTTTCCTTTTCCTTTATTTATTTTATTCATTTAATCGATAGATTAATTAATTTATTCTGTTTGTGATTTAATCGGTAATGGATTATTCGATGGGAATAGAACAACAGCCAACAAACAACCTTAGATAGTTAAGGTAGTTTGATTAAGGTGGACAAATAAGGTAGATTAGTTAGTACTCAGATTGAGATTCTTCCAAGCATATATATACATATTCCATATTGGCCTCCAGGTGTGTTCCTCTTGAGAGAGTTAGTTATTTCTGGATCTGATCTGAGTTGGCGGGTTTGATTGATTGATATCAAGAGTTCAGTTCCAGTCCCAGTGGTTTTCGTCTGGTCTGGTCTCGTCTGAATCTGTCATGATATATACGAACTTTGTTCTTTCTTTCTTTCTTTCTTTCTTTCTTTATCATTGCAGTGATGTAGGTAGGTACCAAGTTCACCCGCTGTCTCTTTAAAAACAGTCCTATTAGTTGTTTTCATTAGATATTTCTTACATATCGATATAGTCTTTTTTTTTTCACCGTCACGATTAGATATCTCTTCTTCGTGTAAGTCTGTTTGTCTCCCCTGGCTTTTGTCTACCCCGTCCTCCTCCATTTCGTCTCCTCTCCATCCCCCCTCTCCCATCCCCCCTCTCCCTCGTCCTCTCTCGGCCGCACAGTCCCCGCGCCAGGCCCCAACGGCAACGACGGCGGCTCGCCCTCTCCAATCCAATTCCCCTCCTCGTCAAAATACTCGTGCATGTTCTCCGCCGTGATCCAGCCCGAGCTCCCGTCCACCGGGGGCGGCAGGCCGCCGTCATTGCTGCCGGGAGCGATCACGCCGGACCGGAGAAGCGAGCCCACCCCAGCCTGATGCTCGGCCATGTCGTAGTCCTCGTCGTCGTCCTCGCCGTGGCTGATCGGGTCCGGATGGAGGTTTGAGCACGCGGACACGGCGGCAAATAGCGCCTGCGTGGCCGTCTCTTCGGTCTTGTTTTCCTCCGCGGCCATGTCCTCCGCTGCCAGAGCCGTTGTCTCTGTCCCCGCGGTGGCCGACCCCAGAGCTGCGCTCGCTGCGTCCGTCACCGGCGGCGGGATGATGGTCAGCGTCACACTCTCTTCCTCCTCGTCCTCTTCGCTGGGGCCCTCGGCGGAGGGGTTGGCGATCTGCATGTACAGCCCCTGCACTTCATCGCCGCCTGGCACGTCGGGCAGACGTAGTCTCTGGATTGCATGCAGCGATATCGAGGGGTAGGGGATCGCGACGCCAGCGTTCGCAGGGGTACGGTAGAGCAGGAATTTACTAAACACACAAACCAGTTAGTTAGTCCAGAAACAATCAGGAACTGCGTCTGGAACATACTCTGAAGTAACCCATACATCCACATCGTCAATGACAATCTCCTTTTCCTGCGTCGTTTCTCCCTCTGCATCCTGCTCAGCAGCAGCTGCTGCTGCAGTAGTTTCAGCTACTGGTGGTGCTGTCGCCGACCCATTCACCTCCGCATCACCGTTCGAGCTCACAGCAGGCCCACACAGGGCATTGAGCGCCGGCGCCGCAGTAAGATCGCTCTCGAGAATGACGACTTTGCATCGGTCGCTGTGGTAGTGCAGCACGGGGGGACCGTCGTAGAAGGATTCCGGAGTGCGCGACTGGTGTTCGGCCAGAGGGGTGAATGAGGACGCGACCGGAGGCGTGTGAAGGACCTCCATTTTGGACACTCAGACCTGAAGGGAGTGTTTGCACGAGATCTCTGTGCAGGAGGAGTTATGTGATGACTCTGCGTGTAGCTGGGTAGGTGTATTTTTTTTCGGAGTGGCATGTCAACAGATGCAGGCGGAGGGGCAGCGGGAAACTTCCCCGGGCAGACAGAGCTTGCTGAACTTTATTATTTATTCCATTTATTCACCTACAAGTGTTCAACAGTAGAGCTGCAGATGAGATCTAATGTTAAGTCAATCTTTTAGATGATCTAGATATTGATTCAGGTTTATCTATTAGATTAGCACCGGTCACGGTGAGGTATTACTGCCCAGTCATCAAATATATACAATTTCATCCTCAGACACTAGACAACACACAAATCAGAAACAGCTATCAGAAACAGCTTCTCATGTACAATTCAAGTTCTTCTATCACAGCATGGCATTCTCTATAGCTCTAGTCTTGATCTTAATGCCAGTTGCGAGCATGCTTCGTACGAAGCTGCTTGATATCGAGCTGCTTGATGTCACAACTAGCTCAGACGATACAGCTTTCAGATCTGTCGATTCTCGTTATGCTGTCGAGCTCAGCTGCAGCCCTTCAACCGTGGTTGACCCATAATGAAGGTTCTTCAACTGGAAGCGGATATCATTGACGCTTCGGCGTGACGATTTTGATGACAGGCGTGAGAGCATCTCGACGGTTTCACGAAGGCTCGTGAAATCTGGCCATCCTGTATACTGCAGCATGCAGCAATTAACAAGGCAGGAGAATCAGACATAGAGCGCTGTACCGCCAGTAACGGCCCAGAGGCAGAAAATAGTCTCGTTGATCTGCAGTGGATGCTTCATTTAACAGCCAGACCACCAAACGCTCGATCCAGCTCTTCACCCTCGTCCCGTATCGTTGAAGTCTCCTGTGTATCCTGAGCGGTAGAATGGCTCTGCTGTTGTGGCTTATCGGACGAGGCCGGTGCTGGCGACGCTTGGGTAGGCTGTAACAGCTTCTCCTCGCGATCCAGCCACCCTGGAGCAACGCGTCTCTTCTCTGCCAGCTCTCGTTGCTTGACCGATTCTTCCCATTCCTTCACCAGCGTCTCTGCATCGGCCTGCGTCTTCTTCAGGTGCTCCTCCAGCGACTCGCAGGAGGCCAGAATCTCTTCCGGATGCGCCGCGTGACTGCCGCTTGAAGAGACGACATAGCGGGCCTTGGCGTCAGGGTTGGCGGGATCGACTGTCACCGAGGGAGGAAGCGTCGAGGACACGGATTTGTAGGTATACGGCAGGGTCACTGCGGTGGGCAGGCTGATGAACGGCGAGACGGTCAAGGGCACTTGGGCCAGCAGCGGATGGGGACCTGGATGGAAGCAGTGTCAGCATCAAGTGGCAGATGGTAGAGGACCAGCATCAAAGACGTACGATATGACTCGTACATGGTGACAGTGGTGTAGTATACTAAGGCGGTGATGACTCTAACCGGAGATGAGGATCCCCGCAGCTACCAAAGCACGGCAAGCCACCGCCATCGGCCATGAACAGGCGGTGCCGGCTAGACCGCCCTCCCCTCGAGCTCTTTTCGCTGCAACATCTTCTGGTCCTTGGCCTCTCTCCCAGACCAGCCTCTGCCGCTGCTGACTGCCCCTCGCGCCGCTGGTGTTGCTGCCGGTTCCGCCCCTGCCAGTGCCAGCCCGTTCGTAGCATCGTGGTTCCTGCACGAGCCCGAAACTCCCAGCCTCCAAACCCACGCGACCCCACGATCTGCCAGCCCTCCCCTCCTGTCTGACATTGGGCGCGACAGGGCACCATCCCGGTTGCCTGACACTCGAGGCTCGTCGTGACTTTCTCGACCTTTCGATCGTGACCGTCGTCTCGGTGGCATTCAGCGTTTCTGCCCAGTTGCGTGTTTACTACTCGCAATCGTGCGACCGACCAACGCGGTTCGCCCACCCCCGGCACCACCCATCTTCCCACTGTATCAACACCGCCATCCAGCGGTGCAGAATCAGCCTGTTCTGTCGATCGAGATCCTGTCTGAATCCCTTCGGTCACGATGGAGCGGCAGATTGAGCGTGCGGTGACGCACAAGAAACCCGTCCCCGAAATCGACTTTACGCTGCACACCATGGAAGATGGGACCCAGGTGTCCACGCTGGAGAGAGTCGTCAAAGGTATCCCAGTGGCTTCTGCGTTGATTTTCGCTCTGCGATCGCCAGGCTGATCTGAATTCAGAGGTGCAGGCGCCCGCCCTCAACACACCCGACGACGACACCTTCTGGTCTAAGGAGGACCCGACCAAGCCCAATCTCCAGTTTCTCAAGCAGCATTTCTACCGGGAGGGGCGGCTCACGGAAGAGCAGGCGCTGTGGATCATAAACACCGGCACTCAGCTGCTCCGCGCCGAGCCAAACCTCCTGGAGATGGATGCTCCCATTACGGTCTGCGGTGACGTCCATGGACAGTATTACGATCTCATGAAGCTGTTTGAGGTCGGCGGAGACCCTGCAGAGACAAGATACCTGTTCCTCGGTGACTACGTGGACCGAGGCTACTTCAGTATCGAGGTGGGCGATCGCATCTTCTCCCATGGTTGTTGTAGTTACTGATTGATCGCCGGCCAGTGCGTCCTTTACCTGTGGGCTCTCAAGATTTGGTACCCGAATTCCCTGTGGCTTCTGCGGGGCAACCATGAATGTAGACATTTGACCGACTACTTCACCTTCAAGCTCGAGTGTAAGCACAAATACACTGAGCGGGTTTATGAAGCTTGCATGGAATCCTTCTGTGCGCTGCCTTTGGCTGCGATCATGAACAAGCAGTTTCTCTGCATCCACGGTGGTCTCAGCCCGGAGTTGCATACTCTCGAGGATATTAAGGCTGTAAGCGAAACATCGTTCTTGCGCCGTCTAGCAGGATGCTAATCGCCGGAATAATAGATCGATCGCTTCAGAGAGCCCCCGACGCATGGCTTGATGTGTGACATCCTCTGGGCGGATCCATTGGAGGAGTTTGGCCAAGAGAAAACCGGGGAATATTTTGTTCACAACAATGTTCGCGGCTGCTCTTACTTCTTCTCCTACCCCGCTGCCTGCGCGTTCCTCGAGAAGAACAACCTGTTGTCCATCATCCGAGCGCACGAGGCCCAGGATGCTGGTTACCGGATGTACCGAAAGACCCGTACGACGGGTTTCCCCAGCGTTATGACCATCTTCAGCGCCCCCAACTACCTCGACGTGTATAACAACAAGGCGGCCGTTCTGAAATACGAGAATAATGTCATGAACATCCGGCAGTTCAACTGCACCCCTCACCCTTACTGGCTGCCAAATTTCATGGACGTCTTCACGTGGTCGCTCCCTTTCGTCGGAGAGAAGATTACCGACATGTTGATCGCCATTCTGAACACATGCTCCAAGGAAGAGCTCGAGGAGGATGCTCCCTCGTCGGTTTCTCCCACTGGCCCTTCGTCGCCTCCTTTGGCCATGGACACCGATCAGGAGCCCGATCAAACCGATCAAAAGGACGAGCAAAGCGAATTCAAGAGACGGGCCATCAAGAACAAGATTCTGGCCATTGGCCGTCTATCCCGTGTCTTCCAGGTCTTGCGTGAGGAATCCGAACGGGTCACGGAACTTAAAACCGCGTCTGGCGGTCGTCTTCCTGCTGGAACCCTCATGCTGGGGGCGGAAGGCATCAAACAAGCGATCCACAATTTCGAGGACGCCCGTAAAGTCGACCTGCAGAACGAGCGACTACCTCCTTCTCAGGAAGAAGTGGCTCGGAAGAGTGAGGAGGAAAGGAGGGCTGCGTTGGAGAGGGCCGCGCAGGAAGCCGAGAATGATACCGGGTTGGCCACTGTGGCCAGGCGGATCAGCATGTAAGTGCCGATATCTTGTTGCTTTTTTTCTTTTCAACCCAGTCCTAACTAACTAACGATGACAGGGGCGGAAAGGAAGGCCGGCGTCGAAAGGAGGCCGTGGCAAATCGTGAACGAGAACGTCAACAAGAACGAGAATCGTCACAGTGAGACTCGTACTCGTCTCCAAACCTTCCCTTCCCTATCCTTGAGAATTATACCCCGTCTCGCAAAATTAATATTGTCGATATGTCCTTATTACGAAAATGTCGTTCGCTCGTCGACGTCGACATATAGTTGGTAACGACATAGGAGAGAGCGAAAAAGGGCTTTTTGTTCTGTACCTATCTATCTGTACCTATGCATTGAATTGAAGGGGGGCTGCTATGAATGGGACACACTATAGGAGTGTAACCAAGGGGGAGAGAGAGTTGAGCGAGAGAGAGATTTGTCTTCTTCTTGGACAGGGACAGGGACCTGGACGTCCGCGATGTCCTTTTTTTTGTCTTAAGACGTAATTACGAGTTGACGAATTGAATTCATTACATCATTGATCTGGAAATTTTTTTTACATGTCCCTTTTTTTTATGAATTGGGTCTATAAAAAAGTTGTCAGTCAACACGATACGGATAGTCTGTTAATAAAATTGGTTATTCCTGCTTTCGTTCTCTGTACGGAGTACAGTACCTTAGGTACCTGTACTGGCGGATCCGGAACTGGAACTGTGGTTGGTAGTTTAGGTAGTTAATTCTTACCCGCAGGAACCCGCGGCGCGGACGGCGGAAACTTCGCTCCAAGGGACAGGCGGACGGGTTCCCGTCGTCGTCATAACTCTCTTTTTCTGTCCGCAGACAAGACCATCGATCTCACCTGGATTTCTTTTTTTTCTGTCTTCCAATTCCAATTCCAATTCCTCGACCTAATTAATGCCTCCTAGGATTCGCGGCACGCTCTCCTCCAAGGGCTTGTCGCGCGGAGGTGCCGCAGCGGCAGCAGCAGGAGGAACAGGCGTGTTCTTCTTCTGCCCATCTTGCGCCGCTACATGGAGGAGGAGTAGTAGTAGGCGGACGCTGGCGACTCAGCGTCCCGACGACAGCTTTTCCAGCTTTTCTTCTTCTTCCCGGCGAAGAAGAAAAGAGAACAACAACCACCACCTGACCAGCACCGTTCTTCATCGTCGTCCGGCGTCGGTGCTCGCGACGGCGGCAGCAGTCAGTGCGGCGAACAGAAATAATAATCATGTCCCCGCGCGATTCAGAGAGTTGTACGAGGCCTTGGAGGAGGTGAGAGAGGCTGTGCCGGACAAGATCAGTCTGAGTCGCTTCCAGCTTGCGAAGAGGGGGTTGGAGTCTGAGGAGCCGGTTATTCGTGTTGCTGGTGAGTATAAAAAACTATAACTATACCTCACTCACTCTGAAGAATTCTTTCTTAATTGACAATGTTCTGCTACGATACTAGTTCTCGGCTTAAATGATGTTTCTACCACACGCCGACTGGTCCGGTTGCTTCTTGCGGATCCGTTGAGCGAGAGAGAGCCCTGGGAGGATTTGTTGGAGTCTTACGGTACAGATTGGTCGCCGGGATTACTTATACGGTTTGTCTTGTGCGATAAAGAGTGTGCGAAGCGACATTGGCTAATAGGTATATTCTAGTTACGGCGAACAGTCCGGTATGATCCGTAATAACCTGCTCCCTACGGTATCGGTTCCATCCGCCCTCTTGAAGAAAGGAAACATTGAAATCTTGGTGAGCTCGCTGGGCGCTGGCACGGAGCCGGCTGGTGCTCGTGTCACTGAGGAAACCTTCCTTGTCCCGACCATCACGATCCGCACGTCTCACACGGGTAGGCACAGCGTCGTCCGGTATCCGGTACACAGAACCATCGTTTGCGGCACCGGCGTAGACAGTCTCCTTGCGTACAGCCGCTTGGTTTCTCGCGCTAACCTCCAGAGAGGGGAGCGGTCGGTCCATGGCGCCATCGAGCTGAAAATAGAGGAGAAGCAGCAGAAGGCCGATAGTAAGGTGACGTTTGTGGACACGAGGAAAGCTGATGAGGCATTGGCAAAGTTCCGCGAGTCGGTCCAGAACGCCTCGGATTATGAGCGTGGATGGACGACCAGCGGAGTTCAGCCGCTTGTGGATTGGCTATCCACGACGCAACATAAGGAGGGCTTGGACCCAGACTTGGAAGCACTCATTCAATCGCTGCTGGATGCGGCCGAGGAAGGTGTCAGAGCCAAGGAGGCCCAACGCCTCCGGGAACAAGAAGCGGCGTCTATCCCAGACGAGGTGCGCGAACAACTGGACAGGACGGTAACTGTTTGGGCGGAGAGGGCCCACACCGAGCTTCGAAATTCCCTCGAGGAAGGGTTTGCGAGCAAGCGTTGGCGGGGGCTCGCGTGGTGGAAGCTGTTCTGGCGGGTTGACGACGTGGGAATGATCACGTCGGAGATCCTGGAAAAGAGATATCTCTGCCAGGCTGAGAAAGAGGTGATCTGGACGGCCGGCCAGATTAAGCAAGCCGGGCTTCTTGATGAGCGTGCGGACTCGGAAGATGAAGCAGCCGATAACGCCGAAAGCGAAAAACAAGAAGAACCAGCTCCGATGCAGGAAGAGCAGCCGTGGCCGATGCAGGTGGCCACGAGTCGCTCCCAGCTCAGCAATACAACGGTGCCGTCTTTGCAGGCACTGTCGCAAGGCCTGGTGCTCTTCAGTCTCTCCACGACGGCGCTGACGTCGGCTCTCTCGGGCCTGTTGTACGCATCTTCATCGACGTCCATGTACGAAGCCTGCACGGTTGCCGCAGTAGGGTTGATCTATTCCTTGCGACGACAGCAAAAGAAGTGGGAGACGGCGCGCACGTTCTGGGAGAAGGAGGTGCGGGAGACGGGACGCCAGGCACTGAAGGAAACGGAGCATGTCCTGCGCACCTTGATCCGGGAGGGCGGTCGTCGACAGGCGGAAGAATTGCCTGAGACGCGTGCGAGGGCGACCATTGAACGGGCGAGGAAGGCTCTTGAAGCTGCGAAGCGTGGATGACCGTAGGCGTATGTCAGACGTATGATCATGCGAGCTGTACAGTATAGAATAGAACACCCCAGGATGTATAACAGATTTCCCATGTACTCAAATTCAGGCTTCATTGTAGTTTTTCCTATCCATACAAGCATCAAGACAACTCAATGCTCCCGTCCGGCACACCCTGCCTGCTCCGCAGACGGCGCGCAAAGAAGCGCATGACGGGCAACATCTCGTCGCGATTGCGCGGCATGCCGTCACCCTTGCGCGGCCAGCGGTGCAGCTCGACGAATTCAAACACTTCCTTTGTTCGCCGCACCGCGGCATCCGTGACGGCGGTATTGGCATCGTCGCGGCCGGCGAGGAGCAGGACCGGGGTGCGATTTTTGGGCCCGACGGTGCTGGCGGAGAGAGGGTAGGGGCCGCCGAAGGAGACGACGCCTGCGAGGGAGGTATCGTAGTCGCTAGTCGAGCTGCTGGCAGGGATAGAGGACGTAGTAGGATTTGGCGAAATTGAGACTGAGGACGGTGCAGGCGGAGGATTCACCCCCAGCTCCCTCGCTGCCACCAGCGCCGCCATGCCTCCCTGTCCAAAACCCAGCAGGAGCACGTCGCGCAGGCGATAGCCGCACTTGCGGACGAGGACGTCGCTCACGACCTCGCGGGCCAGCATCTGCACGGCAGAGCGCGAGAAGCCGGCGTCCATGTCCAGCCCACCACCACCACCGTCGCTATTACTGCGGTCGAACATGACATCATCGCCCCAGTGGAAGCCCTCAACGCCGACAAGCGCGTACGGCAGCGGCGTGGGCGCTTGCACCGTGATGCAGATGGTCTCGGGGAGGTTGAGGGCGCGACCAAAAGAGGCAAATCGCGCGGCGGTGTCGCCCAGGCCGTGCAGGAGGAGGAGGATGTTGCTCGGTGGGTGGGAATTGCTGGGAGGCGGCGAGGATGTTGGTCCCGAGGGGCTTGGGTAGGAAATGATGACGGTCAGGTGGGAGGGGAAGTCGGATATGAGGGGCACTCGTTTCGTGGGCATATTTCGAAACCCTTTTCCTCTCTGGTGTGGTTTTCTTTTCGTCGATACTAATTGAGATTGGAATGTGAGACGAAAGAAAGGTCAGTGATAGCGTGAGTGGTAGCTACTTACCTAGTAGTTTCGATCCAATCACTAATATCTTTTAGCTAAACACCTAGCAATTAGCTGGCAGTACCTACAAGGTACCCATAGAGGAGGTAGATGGCTTCGACTCAGCCACAGATATGGCTACGACAGCTGCTCCTCCGTGCTTTGCGTCTTGTCGACAGCTGTGACGTCTGCTCTTTTCTGTCCATCACCAAAATAGTTGCCTCAGTCATCACGTGTGCTGAAAACAGGCGGGGCATCGAGCACCGCCACGTGTGGCTGATGCTAATTATGCCCCTCGCGCGTCCCAAGGAAGCCTAGCGCCGGATCCGCGAGTGGCCGAGATTAGCCCATGCCATTGCGCGCTGCCATTGGCTGCCCTGGCCGTGGGGAGTGGCGCATCCCGATCGATCGTCTGCGAGCGTTGCGTTGCTGCATGCTATTTTCGCGATTGCACGGGCCCATGGCAACACACCCTCATACGTCAGCAGGCGACGAGTCGACGACGCAGGATCCTCAGCTGTGGCTGGAGCATCGTCAGTCCTTGGATGGATGGGTCTAGCGTATGGCTTCAAGCTTACCTATGGAGGGGCGCTGAGTTGCTGACGGTGGGGCAGCATCCACAGCCCCCCGAATCATCAATCCATCCAGCAGTCCAGCTCGACCAGTGGATCAAACGTTCAGGCGATCAGACATCCTCACGCGTGATGGAGACCCCGAAGCCCATCGGGGAAGTCGGGGCACGGAGGAGGGGCTGCTGCCTGCCCAGGTATTAAAAGGATGCCTCCGTCCAGGCCAGGACTCCTGCTAGCTCTTCTTCCTCAGATCGTGCCTCTCTGAACAACAAACACCCTTGATCTGCCACTCTTCTCTCACAGCAATTTACTTGTCCACTTGAACACAAGCACAATGGGTATCTTCGGCTGGGGTAGGTTTCGTCACTCCCCGAGAGCAGTTGGTCTGCTGGACCAACGAGCTTGTCATCTTGAATGGATCTTTTTTTTTTACAGTCATTCGTATCAATGCTAACTTGTCAACCAGACGACTCCCACGAATCTCACCGCAAGGTCTACGGTGGGGAGAAGCACGAGGGCAAGCTCTCGCACGAGCTGATCGCCGGTGCCGCCAGCTTCGAGGCTTTCAAGGCCTTTGAGGACCACCAGCGCAAGGAGGGTGCGTACACCACCTACTTACCCGTCTTAAGCTTAGCTAACAGCCGTTGTTCCCAGGCAAACCCGTCTCCCACGCCTTCGCCAAGGAGCTCCTGGCCGGCTTCGTCGGCGCCGAGGTCGACAAGCTGATCGAGACCAAGGGCCTCGACGCCCTCGACCGGCACGAGGCCAAGAAACACGCCCGCGAGAACGCAGAGGCCCTGTACGACGACCACTACCGTCATGCGGAGCAGTATGACCCGTCGCGGTACGAGCGCCCGAGCCGGTTCGACGGGTGGTGAACAGGTGTGATGCCGTTGCGATAGATATATATATATTACATCTGGAATGATGTGACATGATGTGGATGAATAGGATTCATGTCAGTGTTCTGTAACATATATTCTACTCAGTAGTATCATGGAATGAATAAGCGTTGTGCTCTACAGTACATACGTATGTACTACCTTCGTAACAGCTAGGCAATACCATCTTCAACAGTCGTCCCTAATAGACATAGATGTACAGCACATATACCTGCCAAGCAGAGCTCACGCCGAAATTATACTGTACAAAACAACCGCTTGCTCCTGCTCTCGCAGTTATCATTGGTTCCCATCCAATCGATTAATTAAGCTTTGTATAAATATAGATCATGACGTACCCACATAGGCAGCGTAGCATAAAATCCGGTTTTGGTGATGGTGGTTGATTTTCAGCGATTTTTGATGGGGGAAAAAAGGGTGTTATATATCGTTTTCGTTTCTTTCTTCAAGGTTAATTTTACTGACTTAGAGTAACCTCAAGTTTGCACATTTTCTGTCTGCTGGATGTCAACCAGCTGTATTACTTCTCCGGAGCGACCTAACGTATGTACCTTTTGACTATTGACGTCCGTGTTGCAGGTACATGAAGCCAATGATGTAAATCAGTTCAGTTCAAAATCAACCATCCAGATGGTAATTAATTCAAATAAGCTTTTTGAGATGAACACCTTGGGGACCACCATGCAGGACCACAGTTAGTGGTCAGTATTCGAAGGGCTGCCTTGGCAGCTCTTGGAAAGCGGACTCGTTTAAACAAAGACTACCTCAAGCTCCTGTTAAAATGCTCTCCACCTGACCCAGACTGTGATTTCAAAACCTGGATCAAAGGGCTAGCGGATAATCACATGTGCGCCGTTCAAACACTTTTTCAATTACAAAGCCTTCGTGGAATGTGCAGAATTCCTTACCCTTCGCCGGATGAGATGGCAGGTGATGTTGTCTCTATTTATCCGGACTTGTTGAACATCAGTTTGATGCCTGATGTTGGGAAGATTCGGGAGTACCATAGTCTGCTCGTCAGACTGCTTCCTGAAAAAGAGGCCACAGTCACAGAATAAAGCGGAGAAGGATGCTATTGTGCGGGCCTTCCACCAACAGCACCGAAAACGAGACATCGCCACCAAGATGTATCAGTGGATCCGAGATTACTACAAGGATTACGCTTCTGGTGCCTATTTCGCGCTATATACTCTCATCATCGGCCCTAGCGGCATTGGGAAGAGTTATATGATGCAACAGCTGGCGTATCAAAATTGTTGTTATGTTATTTACGCCTCTTCTGCAAGGCCAGGATCAACAGTTTACCCGAGTCGCTCGCCCATCGCTGATGCAATCTTTTGTTACTCTGAGATAGAAAGAATGACGATATTTTTCGAATGTTACATTGCCGCAGGGTTGGTGCATGTGAAGCTTTGCAAAATCCTTGGGATTACTCCAGCAGGGTTTTTTGACCTGCATGTTGAAGAGGCCTTTGTGAAATTTCAGCTGTATCTGGTGAAGGGTATACGGGAGCTGCATTCCAGGGTTACTGATGAGATCACCAAATCGAGGGGACGTCCGGAGAGGTCACAGGTCACAGAAAAAAAATGAGTATGTTCGAGATGCTGTAGAGCTCTTCGACTATCAAGAGTATGTGATTAAGCAGCTCGAGTGGTACGAGAAGAAGATGAAACCTTCCTTTGAGGCAGCTCAACGGCGTTTTGGTGAATTGCAGGGTCGCCAATACTGTCTTGCTCGACCAGAAGTCCTTTTGCGCAATGAGCAAGATGAACCCACCGCACTGGTCTGCTTTGACGAGGCCAGCGAGCTCTTTTCAAGGACCAGCCAAAGATGAGATATCTCGCCCTAAAGAGGGCCATGAGGTATCTGACCAAGACCGAGAGGATAACGGACAAGAGAAGATTCTTTGGTCTCCTTCTCGATACCTCATCCCGAATATCGGAGCCCTCCCCCCCAAGCCATTACGATCCTAGTCAAAAATGGCCCGGTCCCGGCAGCTTATTTCCTCCGATTTTTTCAGATTGACACCATGGACATCTTTGTCGATGATCAAAATGACGGGTACCACCCAAACCAACTGATGCGAGATGGTTCAATCCGAAACAGGGCCCTCCAACATTTGTTCAGCTATGGTCGTCCTTACTGGGGTGCAATTTTGAGAACAGGGAACTTAGCAATGGTTCAGCGCATGGCTCGAACCAAGATCTACGGCAAAGAAAACAAAGGTTTCGAACGCCTCAACGATGTGGAGGCCATCGCTCTCATTCCCCACCGGATCAACTTTCATGTTGCTCTCTATGACTTGGCGGAGACACTCAGTTCCAGCTATCTACGATATATCACGGGAATCAGTGAGGACCACACGTTGCTGAGTACCACGCAGCCGTCAGAGCCCATCCTTGCCTTTATCTCAGCCCAGGACATGCTAGAGGATCCCGGCAGACGATTGAGGGCTGTGGAAGCACTCTACGACAATGTTTCGAAGGGGTTCATCCATCTTGGCGACATCGGGGAGGCGATCGCGGCGTTGATCCTCATGTTCACATTTGACAGAGTCCATGGGCTCCGTTATCCGACGCCGGTCAAGTTCTCGAAGTTTATAGAAACCCTGTTACCACATTCAGCCGTACTCGAGATCGAATCTCGAATGGGGGACAGCGAGAACATGCAAGCTCTGGGGGACCATGGCTTTGTGTTCTTTAATCACTTCGTCAGACTTTCGGAGAGGCCTACTGAAAAGACCATCAGAATGGCATACGGCCGCGGGGCAGCGATATTTGCACCACCGAGATTCAAAGGCTGCGACATCATTATTCCTATCCATGTCCAGGGCCAAGACAAAATGTCGTATTTCATTGTCCAGGTCAAGAATCGCAGCGACGACACATTGAGCAAAAGTCTACGGAATGAGGCCCGAGAATCGCTCAAGTCGGCCGCAGATATTCTTCCCAGGCCTCCCAGTCACATGGCAATGCTAATGTCTCTCCGTAGCAAAGACGGGCAGCGCGATATAGGGGTTGTGTACCCGGAGCCAGATAGTGAGGAAAAAACCGAGGTCGAGAGACGACAACTCCGGTCGCCAGTACAATTGGACCAGTGAGGAGCGCGTTGTTATTGCCGCCGTGGGCCTGGGTCTGGAACTATACGATGGTATTGCATACAGCGACAACCCTTGGTTAGAGAAAGAGACCAGGCAGATCCTCGATTGCTTTAGGAGTCTGCTGAAACTGACTTCGGAGGTTCCCATGGGGGAAGGTGATCCGTATTGCAAGCGTCTCGTTCCCATTGCAGGAGGCGAAGAGTGAGACTTGGAGGACGTCCTTGAACTGTGGTTTCTTTGATGATGGTTCAAGCTCTTGAGACTGGCTAGGAAATGGACACAGTGTGACACAGACAATTTTAGTACCTAGGCAAATTGGCTTCTTAATCAATCTTTTCACCAAGTGTATCCGTCCTCCGTCCTCCGGAACAGCCAGGCATTTATAGTGTGGTCTGTGCGCTGCACTTCGATGGATCCTTGTCCGTGCGAGGAATGTAAAGGTTTGGTAATTGCTACTGTGCTGATGAGTGGTTGCTTCAGTACACTCGCCCAACTTCACATCATCGCAAATAGAAAATACTGTCAGCATCTGAAAGGAGGGTGCTTGTTGTCATTGCGACAGAAAATCACGGATTAGAATGATTATTGGGGTTGCTGGCAGCCGTGGCTGCCGCTGAGCAGCCGTTGATGGGGATTTATTTAAAGTTGTGGGGCGGAACGCCGCTGGAATGCCGTGTGTACGTAGTCCGTGACTCCATACTCCCAAGTAGGGAAGAGGGTTTATTCTCCGATGCGTCAGTCGACGAGACAATCGTTCTCTCCATTATTGGGAGACGAAAGCAATTGGAACAATATTAATACAGTCGCTCACCTGCTCTTGTCTCTCTTCCCGTTGGCTGGGACAATACTCCGCACAGTTGATTATATAATGCTATTTCTCGTCCGCAAAAGGAAAGGTTCCGTCGGGACCGACACCCGTGACCCGGCTCTCCACGGCCCGCTCGTCCCCCAGGATGAGGATCCGATGCTCGAGATCGAATTCTGATCGCTCCGGGGTTTGGGGAGATCTACGTTTGTTTCGACAGCTGATTGGAGCAGCCGTATCTGGACTCCAGACTCTTTGATGCATTCCTAGTACTACTACTTAGTCCTCTGTTCCTGGGAGGAATGCACCGCAGGACGTAGACACGGTACGTGCATTGAGTACATATGAGCAGCACATGGTCGTCAGAGCTTCTCGATGAACAATTGCTGACGATCCCGAACTGGACTGGAGAACTCGATCTCCCCGATCACCAGGATCTATCCAGACAGCCTCGATGACGATGCAGGCGGAGCAATTGCAGAAGGCCCCTTGCACCTTGCAAGCCGGGACGGCGCCTTCGCAGGGCGGGCCCGCTGATTGGCTGCGGGCAGCGCACGTGCGCCCAGGCCGGCTGACGGCTGGCCGGCACGAGGCCGCGGTTGCTCTGCTGCGTGCCGGCAGGCTTGGCAGCCAATGCGCTGCTGCTCGATGCTCGCGTGCGTCGCTGACTTGCCCATGACGAGCTCGCCTTAAAATTTTCCCTCTGCGCCTCGAGGCGCTGTGTTGCCGATGGTCTTTCTTCTTAGCATGATATATGTAGTTCGATAGACGGTCCTAATCTTAATTTAATGTCTATGATGCCATTGTTTGTCTGTGCTTCGCACCATGAAGTTCGCCAAGTGCGTCCGTCCCTTCAAGTTGCCGTTGACAGGCTCTGCTGGCTGACGATTCCTCTCCAATGATGACAGAGAACTCGAGGAGGAATTGGTGCCTGAGTGGCGTGCCAAGTACCTGAACTACAAGGCAAGCGATACGACGACGAGCCCGTCTCCGCGGACTGCAGTGCTGACCATCCAATCTTCTCTCAGCTGGGCAAGAAGAAAATCAAGGCCATCTCGCGGGCTCTGCAGAAGGCCAACCGGACTCCTCCTCGTCGACAGCTCGGAGAATATCGAGATTATTCTCCCCACAATCGTCCTCCGAATACTTCCACCTCGGTGACCCGTTTTCCCTTGGATTATCCATCCCCCAAAGATGGCTCTGCTACAGCGCGAACCCCAACGCCCTCGCGCTCGGCTGCTGTGCCCGCGTCGGAGCATCGACCGCTCAGAACCCCCGGCTCTCGCTTTTCCACCATAGTGGGAGGCTATGGCAGCATCGTGTCGGAGCGTCCCGAGACCGCCGCCTCCGATCTGCCCTCGCTCGCACTTCCGGATCCCGCTATCGATCCTCAGAATGACCATTCCTCGGCGAAAGGACTGGCAGAGGGGGCTGTATCTGTAGAGCTTCCCCAAAAGGGTTCTCTTCCGAATGCCGCCTCGGCCCGCCATCAGAGTCACCGGTCCTACTCAATCCTACCAGACGGGAAAAGCCCGCTTGTGCGCCGGTCAAGCTCACTTGCGGAAGAATCCTTCTCTCGAAAGGCAACCTTCTTCCGGCGAGTGTTCACCAGTGGCGATGTCGGCTCCCCCAGCAAGAGCTTTCAGGGTAGTCTGTACTCGGAGATCGATCGGAAACAAGACGAATTCTTCGACTTCCTCGACGATGAGCTGGACAAGATCGAGTCGTTCTATCGGCAAAAGGAGCAAGAGGCTACCAATCGCCTGAAGGTTCTCCGCCAACAGTTGCATATGATGCGGGATCAAAGAGCGGCGGAGGTTCTTTCGGCAAAGAATGCTGTCAGCCATGACAAGAACGGCCACACGAACGGCCATGGTTTGGGTGTCCTTCCTGGATCGAAGTGGACTCAAGCAATCGTTGGCAAGCATCGATTCGGGAAAAACTCGAGAGCATTGGTCGATCTAAAAACCCCCCTGGGTCCCGTACCGGCAGATCTATCTGGCTCCGTGTTCGACCGTAGAGACTTTGCTCGACGGCAACCCGAAACTCCGGCTGTTCCGTATCGAACAGCCAAGAGGAAGTTGAAGCAGGCGTTGCAGGAATTCTACCGTGGTTTGGAACTGCTGAAGGCCTATGCGGACCTGAATCGAAAAGCGTTTCGCAAGATCAACAAGAAATACGACAAGGTCGTCAATATGCGGCCGACGCTGAGATACATGTCCGAAAAGGTCAACCACGCGTACTTTGTGAAGAGCGAGGTCATCGAAGGTCATATGGTGGTCGTGGAGGATCTCTATGCTCGCTATTTTGAACGCGGAAACCGCAAAGTCGCCGTCAGCAAGCTCCGTGGGAAGAACAGGCCAGACGACTATTCTCCAAACACCTTCCGGGCGGGCCTCCTCATTGCAACCGGGATGATTTGCTGCATCCAGGGCGTGATCCTAGGCACACGGCTTCTCAATGACCTGGATCCCGCAGTCCGAGTACAAACGAGCTATCTACTGCAGGTATGTCTTCCATCCTTTGGTATGACACTTCTGATCGCTGATTCCTGGCATCAGATCTACGGAGGCTACTTCTTGATTGTCTTTCATTTTCTCTTGTTCTGTTTGGACTGCATGATCTGGTCCAAGACCAAGATCAATTACACTTTTGTTTTTGAATTTGATACCCGGCACGTCCTAGACTGGCGTCAATTGTCAGAGGTACGCCTAGATCGACCTGCTCTCGACTGTCGCGTAGATCTAACATCCAGTCTTAGTTACCTTGCTTTTTCTTCCTTCTATTGGGACTGTTCATGTGGTTGAATTTTTCATGGGTTGATAGCATGTTCCTCTACTGGCCAGTTGTGTTGATATTCATTACGGTGCTGGTTATGTTCTTTCCTGCGAGAGTGTTCTATCACCACAGTCGGAAGTGGTGGGCATTTTCCAATGTACGTGACTCGTCTCTGGCTCGTGGCTTGGAGTCTGCTAACCACCTGCAGTGGCGTCTTCTTTTGGCAGGTCTATACCCGGTCGAGTTTAGAGATTTCTTTCTCGGGGATATGTATTGTTCCCAGACGTATGCCATGGGTGTAAGTAAATGTGGTCCTTCTCCCGGAAGGCTTAATGCTCATTGCGTATTAGAATATCGAATTGTTCTTTTGTCTTTATGCCACCCACTGGCAAAACCCGCCAGTGTGTAATTCTTCCCATTCCCGCCTGTTGGGTTTCTTCACCACTCTTCCGTCCATCTGGCGTGGTTTCCAGTGCCTTCGTCGATACCGCGACACGAAGAACGTTTTCCCTCACCTCGTTAACTTCGGCAAATACATGTTTGGCATTTTGTACTACATGACTCTGAGTATGTACCGGATTCACCAATCGACCCGCTTCCAAGTCGTCTTTATCGTATTCGCCTTTATCAATGCTACGTATTGTTCGGTTTGGGATCTTGCCATGGATTGGAGTTTGTGCAATCCGTATGCATCGAACCCATTCTTGCGCGAGTTGCTCGCGTTCCGCCGGGTCTGGATTTACTATGTGGCTATGGTGTTGGATGTGGTCGTGCGATTCAATTGGATTTTTTACGCCATTTTCACCCGCGACATCCAACACTCGGCGCTCTTGAGTTTCTTTGTTTCCTTCAGCGAGATCTGCCGCCGCGGCATGTGGACGGTCTTTCGTGTGGAGAACGAACACTGCACCAATGTCCATTTGTTCCGTGCCATGAGGGATGTTCCCCTGCCATATAAAGTTCCCTCGCCGCCCAGCGCTGGAGGCTTTGGGCCCGGTGAGGAAGCATTGCCACTGCAGGAACAGCCTCCGTCGACTCCGGCTGCCACCACTACGGGGGCTGCCGATCCTGAATCTGCGACGGTGCCGACAGCGACTCCTAGTCTCCGTGCCCGTCGCCCGTCCATCGCGGGTACCATTTCCCGCGTGGGTAATATGATGGCGACTGCACATTCCCAAGACTTCCAGCGAAAGCGACGATCAGATCTTGTGTCCGGAGAGCCAGTCGATCCACAGACTCCGCTGGACGAGAGCACGGACGAGGAAGAGGACGATCATGATGAACTCCGAACGCCGTCCCGCGAGGAGGCAGACCCTCTAGAGGAGGAGCTGCCGAATCAAGGTGCGCATGACAACACTCACACATAATGACTTTTCTTTCATGTCAATTCTTTGCCCTATATATCTACCATATCCTGCATCATTGCATCGTTATGATATAATGTCTGGATTAGGATATCTATCTCAGTCATGGGCTTATCTCTTGCTAATGGTTGAATGTTTTTTTTTGCCTGTTCAAATGATGTTCAAATGGTTCCTATCTGTCTGTGAATACAGCATGTGCACATGAGATAGATCATAGAGATTAAGAATTAGAAATGAACATGACGTAAGGCTCCTTTGGTAGTTCTGTGGCTGTGCAGTCGGCCCGCGCTCCCGTGACACAACCGCCACAGCAGATGTCATGCGGCGGACGCCTCGTAGAGCATGGAATATGAAGCCGCCGTCCTTCCGCCATCTTCGGCCTCTTTCCTTCCATCCTCTGTCTCTTCTCCATCCGCTCTCCGCTGGATACCGATCAAAGAGATATTGAAGTTCAAAGTGAAGAAGTGAAACAGGCGTAGGTAAATGGCTGCAAACGCGCGATATCAGCCCGCTCCCCAGCGGGACTCGTTCGAGGAGCGGGCGTATTCTCAGGCCCCACCCTCGTACGAGGCGACCACCGCGAGTCCACGGACTGAGGATGACAATGTTCCCGATGATTTCAAGGTATGTTACTGGCTGTCTGCCTTTTTTTTTAAGGTGATAGTGACGGGATACTGATGATGCGACGTGAATTCAGTTCGGGGCCACGGTTTGGGAGAGCAGCCTTCCGATCCGTATGCAGTTCATTCGCAAGGTCTACTCCATCCTGTAAGTTGGGTCGAAATCGTCATCTACTCAGTGGCTCGAGTAGTCATTGACATCTGGCAGGACCGTCCAGATTCTTTTGACCACGGTCTTGAGTGCAATCTCTTTCTTCAGCGACTCGTACCGGCGATGGATCCAGTCGAACTTCTGGCTGATGATGGTGTCGCTGTTCGGCGCGATCGGGTTCATGCTCCTGACGTACTGGAAGCGCAAGAGCTATCCGGCGAACCTGCTCTTCCTGTCCGGGTTCACGGCGCTGGAGGCCTACTCGATCAGCGTCATCACGTCGTTCTACGACGCACGGATCGTCGTCGAGGCGCTCATCATTACGCTGGGCATCTTCGTCGCGCTGACGCTGTTCGCGTGCCAGACCAAATATGACTTTACGCACTGGATCCCCTACCTGTTCGGCGCGCTGTGGCTGCTCATCATCTTCGGGTTCATGGCCGCCTTCTTCCCCATGAGCAGCACCATGGAGCTCGTCTACGGCGGCGTCGCGGCGCTCATCTTCTCCGGCTACATTCTTGTGGATACCCAGCTCATCATGCGCCACTACCACGTCGAGGAGGAGATTGCCGCTGCCATCTCGCTGTATCTGGACATCATCAACCTGTTCCTCTCCATCCTGCGGATTCTGAACAGCCAGAACGACGGCTAAATAGTAGACAGACAGAAAAAACTAGGCCTAAGGCAAGAAAAGCGGCCAGAACAAACAAATATGCAACTGTATATCTATCTACTCGTGACATATGTATTTTCTTGCTTATTGATTGAACTGAACCTCTTTATTTTGTCTCCATAGTATACGCATGTTGCTTCTACTGTCACTGACTATTCTATTCTGTTTGAACTTGGATTTGTATTGATGTCCATCACCCTCGCTAGTAATTCAGTTCAGTTCAGTTCAGTTTAGTTTCTGCTTTCAATTTCGTTATATTATATATGTACTGTACTTACTGTAAGTTAAGCACCACCACAACCACCACCACCACAGACAATACAATATAAAAAAAACAATAAAATACAATAAGTACATATTGGCTTTTTTTTGAAAGAGGAAGGAGGAAAAAAAAAGAGAGAGAATAATGAATCAGTCAATTAATTCTAATTCAAACAATCTCAGTTCATGAAGTTCAGTCCAATTTAGTTTAGTTTAGCAACGACGATGGCATGTCATATATCATCGTCAACTTTGTGCTTTGTTAAATGATAAAAAAAGAACAAAAAAAGTGGATAGATAAAAAAAAACATGGGCAAGGAACTCGCTTCCAATGGCCTATGATGAGTACGTAACAGAAAACAAAAACAAAAACAAAAACAGAGAGGGAGAGAGAATGAGTGAGAGACAGAGACAGACAGAAACAGACAGAAACAGACACGATAATAACCCTTAGCCATATATGTAGTGCAGTAGGTAGTAGGTAGGTGTGAGGTACTCAATGGAATATGGATGGATGGATGGTGAACAGTGTGCAGTACATGTACTCTGCATGTTATGTGTATGTATGTGCATACATACAGCACACTTTGTACTAGTGCTATTGTTCCCCTTTGATCCATTTTATCCATCAATAATAATAACAATAATAGAGAAAACAAAAAACACCAAAAGTACCGAAAGTACCGAAAGTCATTCAAAAAATCCCCAAGTTCAACGATCATACCTTGGTTGTCCCTTTGTCATGATACTTAACCATATAACTAGTTCTATCCGTATGGATACTGTTTTCATTCTAGCTCGATGCATGGAAGAATATGTTCATGCCCAGACACACTATCATCACCATGATGCCGTATATCGTCAGCCCGAGACTCAACCGCCGGAGCAGCGTCTTGCGCCACTGGCGCGTCCCGCTGAGGATGCCGCTGGACGAGAGCAGGCCGCTCCCGCTCAGCAGGCCTTGGTCGTCGGGGTTCCCGTCGTCGGAGAGGTCGTCGGCCTCCGCCTCGTCATCTTCCTTCATGAGGCGCTGGTGTGTGTCCGATTCGGGAGACGAGATCTTATAGTAGAACAGTCCCGGGAGAATAAAGCTGATGCTGGTGCTGCCGGTGCTGCCGACGTAAGCCAGCACGGCTTCCAGCGACGACACGGTCATGGCCGTGATGAAACTCAGGATGAGAATCGTCGTTGTGATGGCTGCAAAGCGAACGTTGCTCATGGGCTGGGGCCCGCCACGGTTGGCACGCGGTAAGAGAGGATGCCGGTGAGGCGAGACGTCGCTGCCGTTCGCCAACCTCGACTTCCAGCGCCATTTCAGCACCGCATCCACCGATGCGCGGCATGGGTGGACTTGGAGGGGGTAGGAGAACATGACGAGAACCACAATTGCTGCTCGTCCAATCGTCGAAGAGACGGATGGTGCATACATGCCCACGATATTTCCTCCAATATTGTTTCCAAACGAAAGATACCCGGTGAGGGCGACGAGAATGTAAATCGAAGCAGCACTACCAATACTCGCAATCACGACACTGGTGGTCTGGAAATGGCTGTTATCCTTAATTTCGTTCAAGATCGAAAACATCTGTCCCCAAAGTCAGCTGAGTCTGGTTGGATTAGCACGAGAATGAGGCAAATACATTCTGATGACATGTGTATGCAAACACAATGACAGGAAAACTGCTGAGGGCGGGAACCACGCCTGCCCATTCAATGACACGAATCGGGCCGCGCTCAGCCATCGTGTCACTCTTTGCAAAATGGTAAACGACGAGGATCACCAAGTAACCGATAGAGATTAAGGCTATGACGCTTGTGTATTTGAGGGAATCGAGACGACGCAGGAAGGACAATGGGATGACGATTAGCCTGAGATGTTCATTAGCAGGTGCGACGACAACACTGCATCAAGAACGTACATGAAGGCAGTGATCCAGAAATGGCGATCGACCAAGAACTCGCTCGCAGGAGTTCCTCCAACAAATCCCTCGATGACACCAGGCATCAGGTCGCCAATAATTATAAGGTAGCTCACGCCTACACCAAAACACTTTATGGCGATCGCAGCATCAAAAATGACGGCCGCATTGGGATACGTAAGCTGCGACAAGGCGAAGAAAGAAGCAGAACCCCGATCGAGATACTGCGCGCATCTTGCCTGGAGGTAAAGACCGAACCCAGCGGTCAGTCCAGCCCAGACGACGACGATTATTCCAAGGACGATTCCCATATGCGAAAAGGCGAGAGGCATGGCGAGGACACCGGCGCCGACGACTATTTAACATTGTAAGACAAATTTCCCAAATAGGTCATCCTTCTCGACTCACTGGTGTTGACTAAATTGATCACGCTGCTCATCCAGGTGGCCTGGCCTTGGAAGACATCGCGCTTCCCCCGTCGCCTATTGAAGTCAGCATGGCGCTCCATCTTTGCAGTACTGGGTTTGTACCTCCTGGTTCGATGTGCAGACCCTCCAGCGAAGGAGGATCCGACAACAGCCTCATCGTCCACCATTTGTGAATACCGCCGTGCGGCCTGTGCTCCCCTGAAAGAACGGATTCACGCCGTGACAAAGGACCTCACGAGCAAATGAAAGAACCGATAACAAATACAGACATAATATATGGGCACGAGAGGAGTCGTGAGGGGCGTGTGGAGAGCAGAGAGTTGGCGTGAGGAGGCTGGAGGTTGACGGGGGAAGCTGATTCGGAGATAATGTTGGCATCAGCGCGCGGTCTTGCGACAGATAACAGCCAACTCGATCGGGTAACAACGCGGATAAGATTCCCGGATAGCCACACCGCACTGCCGCTCCTCTTTAATACACCGCTCTTTGTCACATATCAGGCTGAGAATTATATCATTGGATTAAAGAAATCATAGCGACATTTACGGAGTAATACTATTTGCTTGTGTTTGGAATTGACAACTACAACACCCCTATCATATCCCTATCATATCCGACATGAACAACGCAGCTGGCATCACGCGACTAGTCAATGCTGCATATCAGATGCCTCCTTGCAATAGATTTCTTCCCCTTCAGAGCTTCGTCTTCCCCCAGCCGTCCTGGGACAGCAGCTCGAAGACCTCGTCCTCGAGTAGTTTCATATCCGTGACTGTATTTCCGGCTCGCTGCCCTGGACCTGGGTCGTTGAACGCACTCACAGACCGTACCGTCTTGGATACCTCCAGGATGGTGCCTCCCTCGACAGGGAACACCTTTCCTTGTCTGTTCTTGTCGCCAATGATCTCACTGACCTCGTCCTGCTGAACAAGAGCCAGCATCACTTCCGCGACTTCGTCCGGCGTAACCCATTGATCCACCGCCTCATTGATGATTTTGATCTTCTCCGGGTGCTCTGTCCAAAGGGGAGTCTTTATCACGCCTGGCGCGACAGCAGTAACACGGATCCCCACCTGAGCATCGAGCTTGGCTAGCGATCGTACGAGTCCATTGATGGCATGCTTAGTGGCGACGTAGATGGGGCAAGCCAATGCCGGGTTCTGGCCTGCGATACTGGAGATGTGGACGATGTGCTTTCGTGTCTTTGATGATTTCCTGTGCTGCAGGAAATGTGAGATGGCAAGCTGTGTGGTTCGGATCGGGTGCGTGAGGTTAATGTCGAGCAATGCATATCGTCCTCCTGATGGAGAGTCCTGGCTTTCGGGCGATCCAGGAGGCCGCCAGAAGTTGCTCCAATGCTATCAGACAGAATTATTGTCAGAAACGTTGGCCGAAAAACAAAAAAGACGGTCAAGTGCCAGGAAACTCACCGGTTCGTAAACACCTGCACCAGGGCAGACAATATCTACTTCTCCAAACTCCTCTTCTGCAACCTTGAACATCCTCTCTAGTTGCAGCCAGTCTCTGACATCTGTCTTCTGGAAAACAGCGCGAGGAGAGGAGCTGGACTCGGCCGAGTACTTATCCACCACGGCCTGGGCCTCTGGGCGCAGCGCCAGATCTGCAATCAGGACATTGCAGCCATTTTCGAGCAAGAGCCTTGCAAAACTCAGGTTGATTCCTGCAGACCAGGTGTAAGCAACGTGCAAAGATTCTAATTTACGATTGTACAGTAGGTACGTACCTGAGCCTGCCCCAGTGACGATTGCCGATTTACCTTTGACAGAGGTAGCCATCGTTCATGCAAGTATATATATACACATAGGCATGTACAGTAGTTCATTTATCAATACAGATTGGCAGAGATGGAAACCTCAACCGAAGGATGTCCATTTTATAACTATATATCCCCGCAGGGCCTGGACCACGTCTTCGCTCCATTCTCCGGTCTGAATCCACCCGCTCGCTGCAATGCTGCACCGATTGGGAAGGCTCGCGGGGTAAACAGTGCTGAAACTACGCTGCGGGAGGCAGGTTTCCCGAGCAGGGAAGGATACCCGAGTGATCTAAATTTCCAAGGATGAACACTATCAACGTGACTTCGGAAGATGCTACTAGAGAGTCTCATTTTCATAATTGGAGAGGCAATCACATGAAATTTACAGCATCGGTTGGCGTGCATGTCCTCGGTTGGCAACTGTACTATACAGTTCTGTATCCTAGCTGTCGGTGCAAAGATGCCCGAGGAGCGGTGTTGCCGAAAGGGGAAAATATCCGCCTCCCAATTTGGCATGTCCGACATGTATCCTCCCCTCACCTCCGCATGGTGCACAGGTATATAGAGGTGTCTCCTTCCTGCAGTCTCTAAAGATGACGATTTGAAACGTGGATGCAATCAAATATACAATATGGCGATGTCGAGATTGCTCTCAAAATCAACCCTTCGCAACGTCACAACGGCAGCGGCGTCGTCGTCGACATCTCAGATGACCAAGGCAGCCGGTGATATCTCGTCCGTGTTCCCCAGTTTGAGACCGGACTACAAACCGGAGCCATTGCCGCCGCGATTTCAGGACTTGAAATGGGCTCTGTTTAAAAGACATGAGGAGCCCCTTAAACAAAGTTGGAAGAGGCTGCTCCGCAGCTTGGAGGAGGAAGTGGAGAAGATCAGACAGCGAGGAAGCAGTGTATGTTTTTATATCCCTGAAAATGGAAACTGACAGTCTACTGATGAGAAACAGATAATCCCGTCTGTCACGTATTCAGATATTGTCTCCGGGAAAATATCAGAGCAAACTAAGGCTGAAATCCGCCAACGCGGTACAGTGGTGATACGCAATGTTATCCCCCGGTCTACTGCTCTGGAGTGGAAGGAAAAGGCGAAAGAATATATTGCTGCGAACAAGGACCGCGTGAAGGCCTTCCCGCCAGACTCGCCGGCTGTCTATGAGCTCTACTGGACACCCTCTCAGGCCGAAGCTCGCGCGCACCCGAACATGCTCGAGACGCAGTGTTTCCTTCAGCGCTTGTGGCACTCATCCGACCCCGAAACGGAACTGTCGGTCTCGCACCCTCTGACATATGCCGATCGGCTGAGGATCAGACAACCGGGTGACGCGAAATTCACCTTGGGGCCGCACATGGATGGTGGGTCGCTGGAGAGATGGGAGGACCCCGAATACTCCCGTGTCTACACCAAGATCCTGGAAGGGAACTGGGAAGAATATGACCCCTATGATGCCAAGCACAGAGTCAAGGCAAAGATGGACTTGTACAATGGAGCTGGAGCGTGCTCCATGTTGAGGTTCTTCCAAGGCTGGCTATCGATGTCTGACACAGGTCCCGGAGAAGGGACCCTGCACGTCTGCCCTATGCTAAAACACAGCACGGCCTACACCATCCTGCGGCCTTTCTTCGATGTCGACACGTCCCTCCCAAAGCTGGACGCTACCTTCCCCGGCTCTGTCCCGGGAGCCTGTCAGGAATACAATCCAGTGATACATCCCCATCTGGAGCTCTTGACGACCATGGTATCTGCTCCTCGCGTTGAGCCCGGAGACTATGTAGCATGGCATTGCGACTCGTTGCACTCTGTGGACAAAGAGCACCGGGGAACTGGGGATTCAAGTGTCCTCTACATCCCTGCGACTCCTTTGTGCGAGATGAACGTTGAATACCTTGTCAGGCAACGCGAGGCAGCACTCAGATATTCTCCTCCGCCGGATTTCCCGGGTGCTGGAGGCCCAGGAGAGATCGGATTCAAGGGCGCTGTCGACTGGTCTTCGTTGGATCCCGACGGCCTTCAGGCGATGGGTATGGGCACACGACCCTGGTCGACCACAGAGGACATGAGCGAGGGAGAAAAACGAGCCATCAGTCTGGGCAACAAAATCTGTTTTGGAGTCTGATTCTGCAGTCAAACGTGTAAAATAGCTCTTCAATGTTAGGTACTTCGAGGCAATTGTAAATGGGTGTGCGGAGTACAGTGTATACCACATCTTTAGTTAGAAAATTCTATTTGGTCACAAATATCAGTCAGAAATTCAGGTTGGTAAATCTTAGAAACCTTGGACTTATTGCTGTAACGGTTCGTTAAAGCTGAGAGCGAACTCGCATCGATATAAGCTCCGTTCTTCAAGGGGAGACTAACGCGGAGTTGGAGCTTAGTGGAGCTGGAACCCGGTGCAGTCGCTTCCCGCCAGATCCAAAGTTCCAGGACCAGCTCTACAAACCTGCGTTCGCGTTCTCCACCGCTGTGGCCTTTCTCGAATGCAAACAACCGCGAGAAGGTCATGATGTGGTTCCGGGCGGCGGTCCTCCTGCTGACCTCTTGCGTGCCTTCGTCGTTGGCCATCTTCGCAGACGAGGTCAACCACATCGATTTCCACCATGCCCTCCTAGGGGTTCCCTCCCCCCAAACGACCTTCTTCCACCGGCCTTCCGCCTCCTCGAATGCGTCGTTGCTCTATACCCTGTCCGAAAAACTGGTTCTGGGAGCTGTGAACCCGAAGGATGGATCAATTGTGTGGAGACAGAACCTGGGGCGGTGGTCGTCGCTCGACCAAGGCGCGGAAGGCTTCCTTCGCTCTAACGATGGAGAAACTACCGTTGTGAGCGCTGCTGGAGACCTGGTAGCGTCTTGGGATGCGCTGGACGGCAAACTGGCCTGGAAGAGCCGGTTTGATGACGGCCCGGTGAAAGATCTCGAATTGCTGGAGCTCCAGGATGGTAGCGCAGGCAGTGACGCGCGGGACGTGATTACATTGTTTGGAGATAAAACTGGAATTGTGCGCAGATTAGATGGCCTCTCTGGGAAGGCTAAATGGGAGTACAAGGATGACAGGTTTGATCGACCTCCGTATGTTGTTATCAGGGCATTGGAAACTGACGATTCAAAGTGGTGACCTTCCGTTCCAGGTGTCTTCTTCTCCCACCGAAGTGTTCTATATTTCGCTTCAGTCGGTCCCGCGCAAAGGCTACAAGATCAAGATAACGGTGTTGGATCCGCAAAGTGGACGACAGACCAAGCAGCATATCTTGAGCTCCGAAAACGAGGTGTCATCGCCGGAATCGATCCTCTTCGTCGGCGCCAACACCGCTTCCCCTCTAATTGTTTGGGGCGATAAATCACAAAAGCTGCTCAAGATCAATATCGTCGGTTCCAAACAGGTACATACAGTGAACATCGAGAACAATGGCGGCGAAGATATCCAGAAGATCGAAGTGCAGGCACCCCAGGGCCTCAACTCTCCGCCACATTTCCTGGTACACTATGAAACGGATTCAAGTTCCTGGGCTGAAGTCTACCACACTGATCTTAAGTCATCGACTATTTCCAAGGCCTACCAGCTTCCACGTTTATCAGAAAAGTCTGTCTTCGCTACGAGTCACAGAGCCGCGAATGTCTACTTTACGCGGATCACCGACTCTGAAATCACCGTCGTCTCATCTGCGTCTGATGGGGTTCTCGGGAGGTGGCCACACAAGAAGCGAGCGGTTGACACTGCGCTACACGCTGCAGCGGAGGTAGTGAGCAAAGGTGACTCGGCGGCTGTTCGTTTTGCTTATGTTCTGGATTCCGGTGACTGGGTCTTGGTACGCAATGGGGAAACTGAATGGACAAGGCACGAAATTCTCGCTGGCGCAGTTGCTGCTGCCTGGGCTGAGCCAACCAGCAGCGAAGATCTCGTACATGAGCTTGAGATTGAGGGCCACGAGAGCGTGCTTAGTGCTTACATCCATCGGGTTAAACGGCACGCGAGGGATCTTCAACGTCTTCCCGCCTGGCTACGGGAGTTGCCTAAACGCTTTTTCTCGAGCTTTTTGACCCCTGAGGTATCCAATCTTGACAGCTTTGGACTTGCGAAACTGGTCATTGTCGCTACCGAGAGTGGTCAAGTCCTTGCTATTGACACCGGGAAGCATGGCTCAGTGGCTTGGAATGTGAAGGCTGTTGAGACCAAAAACTGGAATGTCAAAGCTATAATTGCCCAGTCCGGATCGGCCACGATCTACGCTGAGGACGGCAGTTCTGTGAGCCTCAACATCACATCAGGCGAGATCCTGGCAAAACGCGCTCCCACTTCCAAGATCAAGTCCATTGCCATAATACCGGATGGCCCTGCGCCCGCCACGGTGGGTATCGGGGAAGATGGTACTCCACTCGAGCCTCTCGCTGGCTCCGGATATCTCGTCACTCTAAGTGATGATGGCCGAGTACTGGGTTGGATTTTGGGAGACAACAAGTCACCGGTGTGGCAGTTCTTGCCCCCTCGAGGCGAGCGAGTTATTCACGCTACCTCGAGACCAGCGCACGACCCTGTGGCCTCTATCGGAAAGGTCCTTGGAAATCGTTCAGTTCTGTACAAATACTTGAATCCTAATCTTGCTCTCGTCACTACGGTTGGGGAGAATACGGCCACGTTCTATTTGCTCGATGGTATCTCCGGTAAAGTCCTCCATTCGAGCGTGCAGACTGGCGTGGACACGACCCAGCCCATCACCGCTGTGATATCAGAGAACTGGTTTGCGTACTCTCTTTGGGCCGATGTGACCGACACTGCTGAATCCAAAGGCTATCAGCTGGTAATATCCGAGCTATACGAATCCCCGCATCCGAATGATCGTGGTCCTCTGGGCTCGGCTTCGAACTATTCGAGCCTTCACGGTGCGGATGCTCCACCACGACCATATGTTGTTTCGCAGTCCTTCATTATCCCAGAGCCTATCTCGCACATGGCCGTCACGCAGACGCGACAGGGAATTACGACCCGGCAACTCCTCTGCACACTCCCTGCCTCCAATGCCATCATTGGCATTCCTCGGCCCGTCCTTGACGCACGCCGCCCAGTCGGCCGAGACCCAACGCCAGCAGAGGTGGAAGAGGGTCTCTTCAAGTATAATCCATTCCTCGAGTTCGACGGCAAGTGGTATCTCACGCACTCGCGCGATGTCGCGGACATCCGTGCTGTCATCTCCAGCCCGACATTGTTGGAGAGCACCAGCCTGGTCTTTGCGTTTGGGGGCGATGTGTTTGGCACGCGGGTGACTCCTAGTCAGGCATTTGATATTCTCGGCAGGGGCTTCTCTAAATTTCAGCTGGTGGTTACCGTGGTAGCGCTCGCGGTGGGTGTCGCGATTCTAGCGCCGATGGTAAGTCTTCCTCGTCATTTGCTGTGGTGTAAATCCAATTCGAGTGAATTCTGTGAATTCCTTTGCTGACGTCTTTCTCAATACAGGCCCGCAGCAAGCAAGTCAATCTGTGGTGGAAGAGATGAGAGCGATTATAGACGGGTCATTTCTTTCAATGTAGATCTTTCTCTTGTCAGGGAATAATGAATGCGCTGAATTTGATGATGACGAATCTTTGAAGACGACTCGCATATTATGCTAGGATATAGATTATTCCAGTACTAAAGGCATCGTGGGGAAGTACTGCGGAGTAGAAGCGACACCCATGGAGGTCCTCCGAGGCCCCGCAGACGGTGCATGCTGGCTCCGAAGTCGCGGGTCAGTCTTGCAACAGGCCGGGAAATGGCTCCTCTGTGGGATACAGTAAGTAAGTGATTGCGGAATAATACTAGACCAGTCGATATCGATGCGTTAGGTAGGTAGATAAATTATAAATGGCGGCCCTTTGCCGTCCTCTTTGACCACCCTCACGCATCATCGTTTCTATCCCCGCCTCCGAGGGAAAGGAAAGATGGCAACACAGGCCGCTGCCCACTGGGTTGCTTCGCTCTCCTACAGCTCACTGCCCCCCGGCGTCGTCCGGGCGGCCGTGCGATCGTTCTACAACTGGGTGGGCTGCGCTGTCGGCGGCAGCAACCACGCAGCCGCGCTCATCGCCCGCAAGTCCCTATCTCGCTTCTTCGGCGCTCCCACGTCGACGCTGCTGGGCTCGCAGGGCGTCCGGGTCGATGCGCAACACGCCGCGCTGCTCAATGGCATTGCTTCCCATGTCCACGATTACGACGACACGCACCTCGAGACTATCATCCACCCGACTGGCCCTGTGGCGGCCGCACTGCTGAGCTTTGCGCAGTCGCTCGATAGGCCTGTGTCTGGGGAAGAATTCATTACGGCACTGGCGGCTGGCATCGAGATCGAGTGTAAGGTTGGCCTTGCGGTATGGCCGAGCCACTATGATGTGGGATGGTACGTCCTGCCCCTTTCACGGGTTGTCTTTCTGATCCATCTATATATGGCTGATATAAGCTTACTCGATCTCTACAAGGCACATCACAAGCACGACAGGCTCCATTGGAGCCGCAGTCGCAGTATCGAAGCTACTGAATCTCTCTCCGGAGAAGATCGCCCACGCCATTGGCATTGCGGCCACACAAGTGACAGGCCTCCGGGAGATGTTCGGTTCACACACCAAGTCGTTCCATCCGGGGCGTGCCGCGCAGAACGGCCTTCTTGCTGCCGTCCTGGCTGCGGATGGCTACACCAGCTCTCTGCAGGCGCTGGAGGCGAAACGCGGATGGGTCCAGGTAGTCAGCGATGACGACAAGTTGCAAGCGGAGATCCAGAGCCTGGGAGACAGGAAGAAGCCGTGGGAGATTGAGAAGAACGCGTTTAAGCCATTCCCATGCGGGATTGTTGTTCACCCCGTCATTGATGGCTGTGCGTGGCTGCACGGTGAGCTCCGACGACGGGGTCTCGATCCGCAGGGCATCAAGAGCATACAGGTGTCAGTGCACCCGCTCGTGTTGGAGCTGACAGGCAAGACGAAACCGGGCGATGGACTGGAAGCAAAGTTCAGCGTCTACCACGGTGGCGCGGTGGGGATACTCTACGGAAAGGCGACGCCTGCTCAGTATGAAGATGAGGTGGTGCTCAACCCGCAGGTCATCAGCCTCCGGGAGAAGATTCATGCGACGGTGGATGACCGTCTACGGGCAGACGAATGCCACATTGTGGCAGATTTCGGCAATAATAATGAGACTACTACTGGCCGGATTGAAAAGCATGTTGACCACGCTGTGGGCAGTCTCGAGGTGCCGATGTCGGACGCCCAGCTTACGGAGAAATTCCTGGACCAATGCGAGCCAGTCCTGGGCTCGGAGCAAGCGAAGAAGGCCAGTGAGTGGTGCTGGGAATTGGAGAAGATTGGGGATATCAGGCAGATTGGAGAAGTCGTATAGCATAGACTAGGTATAGTTAGACTGTTAGACCTGTGGAGCAAGCTGTTTTACCCCGTATTCATTAAGATTCATGTGGAGATGCGGGGAAATTCCGAGCCTTAGGCCCTTAGTAGGAAATTAACTCGCAAAGCATACAGCTGGACCCTGATGAAAGCCACTGATTTGATTTGTATTTCGCAAGCACAAGCACTGGCCAGCCAGGTTGAAAGTTTACCCATACGAAATGAACTGAAATGAAATGACTGGAAGCAGAGAGAAGAGCCCCCTTCCAATGCACAGACTGGCTCGACTCGACCAGCCAACCAACCAACTGCGTCTGGCACACTGACGGCCACGCGGTCCATCGTTCTTTAGGAAGGTGAATGCAGCTATGGCGGATCCTGGTGGCTGATCAGTGCGGGGGGAAGACGGGAAATGATGAATGACATCGGGGGGGACGTAATGCCAGATAGATATCTGTCGGGGTTTAAAGGGCAGGGCAGTTAACTGGTTCAGGATGCAGAGGTGAGGTGCAGGAAAACACACTCGAAAACACAGTCTTATATGGAGCTTGTTGCTCTGATTCAGGATGGAAGATAACAACAAAAAGCCACAAACCGGAGGGGAGGCAGTAGACGACATCCGGCAGATTCCTGAAGCAGTCTCTTCTCATCATCTGGAAGATGTCTCTGGTGGAACAGCGGCAGGGGACCTGCTGAAAAAGCCGGAGGAGCCGTATTTCACCGAGGAAGAGGCCAACCGCGTCTACCGCAAGCTGGACTGGAATCTGATGCCGTTGATCTTTGTGCTGTACTCGCTGTCGGTGCTGGACCGGTCGAATCTGGGAAATGCGAGGATTGCGGGCATGCAGAAGGATATTGATTTGAGTGGGAGGCGGTATGACTGGCTTGCGACTGTCTTTTACATAGCTTGTGAGTTTGACTACATCTTCCCTGTTTCTGAAGGCCTCGAGCTAAGTATTGTGCCAGATATCCTGTCTCAGTGGACCCAATTGGGCTGGAAAGCCTTCAAACCTCATATCTGGGTCTCGACAGTCGTCTTTCTATGGGGTTTCATCTCCACCATCCAGGCAGCATGCACGTCCTGGGGCGGGCTCATGGCCTGCAGGGTGTGCCTGGGCATTGTCGAATCCATGTACGGGCCTGGCGTGCCCCTGTACCTGTCCTATTTCTACCCGCGTGAGAAACTGGGCCTGCGAACGGGCATCTTCCTCTCTGGCTCTGCGCTGGCCAACGCGTACGGCGGTGCGCTGGCATACGGCATTTCGCAGGCCAAGGGGTCCATTGGCTCCTGGAGAATTCTGTTCATCGTGGAAGGCGTCCCTACCTGTCTTTTGGCCATCGTCGCTTGGTTCTGTATCCCCGACTCCCCGCGAGAGGCCCGGTTTCTCACTGAACGAGAGCGCGAGATTGCCGTTGCTCTGTCGCTGCAGCAGCCTGGGGACCGTCAGTCCAAGGGGCTTCAGTGGAAGCAGGTGTTGGGTGCTCTTCTCGACTATACGAGTAAGTTGACATTCAACGACACTGATCCTGGAAAGGACACGCTACTAAATAAAACATTTCGACAGGTTACCTTCCAGCCCTGATGTACTTTGGCTGCAACGTCTGCTTTGCCTCCCTCCCTCTGTTCGTCCCCACCATCATCTCCCAGATGGGCGTCTTCTCGACCATCCAGTCCAACGGGCTCAGCGCCCCGCCGTACGTCGCCTGCTGGATCGCCATCGTCGCATGCGCCTTCATCTCCGACCGGTACAAGCTGCGGGGCCCGTTCGTCGTCGGCGCGGCCGTCGTCGCCGCCATCGGCTACATTATCCTGGCCACGCAGACGACCGTCGCGGCGCGGTACTTCGGGCTCTTCCTGGCCGTGATGATCTTCGTCTCGGTCGCCCTCGTCCTCACCTGGGTGGGCAACTCGCACGCGACAGACTCGAAACGCGGCGCTGCCCTGGCCATTCTCGCCACGGGCGGCCAGTGCGGTCCCGTCCTGGGCACCAACGTCTTCCCGACCACCGACGCGCCCTACTACCGCAAGGGCATGTGGGTGTCCTTCGGAGCGTGCTGCATCGTTATCGTCGCCGGCCTGTGCCAGATCTTTCTCCTGTGGCGGGAGAATCGTGAGCGTGATCGCAAGTACGGCCCCAGCGACGCTCATCCAACTGCTCAGGATCAGCATTTCGATCTCGATCCTTCGGGCTATGGTAATGACAAGAGGTTCCGTTATGTGCTGTAGCAGGAGATGGAAAGTATAGTATATATATGAAAGCAGTAGAAGACCCGTTCGATAACAAGAACCGTGATATGCTCTATACTGCCCAAAATATATATATATCCACCTTAAGGATGCTTGCAAGCCTCTGATACTACTTTGTGCACCATCCAGTCCTGGACAAATACCGAAATCGTTTCTTCTGAAACACAATTCCATTCTTTGTCCACACGACCCTCTACGTCTCTATATCGATCTCTATATCGATGATAATGATAGACGAAGAACCACAATCTATAATGTTAATGATGATGTCGATCTTATCTAGATTTCAGGGCAGCTAGACATAATCTCGAATCGTGTCAAGTGGGGAAGAAAATATCCAGGTCTTGGAGGGTTAATGGCGGAATAATGATAATAGTGACACCTCGACGACCGAACACATACCTACCCCCTGCATGGTGACTGATGACGACTGATGCAAGCAACGTAACAGGAAAAGCAGCAGAAGCAGTTTAAATGAAAGCGACAGCAACCGAACTAAACCTGCGCCCGGACGTGTACCCAACAAAGCCATTCCCATCGACCCAGTGTCATAGAGCCTATAGCGTAACCGAAGCTTAAATGGTGGATGGTGGTGTGATCATGACATGTCCAACTACGTAAATTTACGCAACAACGGCATCCATGATCTCGCTGTAGATGGCACCAAGTTCCTCACTGACAACCTCCTGGGCCTCGTGGATGAGCTTCTCGACCTCATTCCGGACGGACGTCGCCTTGTAGCCGCCCTTGGCGACAATGTCGGTGTAGTTGGAAGAGCCACCGCCGTTCCACGCGAGAAGCTAGATGAAGGAAAAAAAAGAATGTTAGCAAGCGCTCACTTCAAGAAATTATCGACGGCAGAGTGAAATATAAACTCACGTTGGAAGTGCCGGATGGAACATCAGCCAGAGCTCCCTCGGTTGCAATGGCAATCAGGTTCTCCTTCATCTTCTTCGGAGTGATCTCGGCAACAGCAAAGGCCGAATCATTAGATGGCTGAAGAGAGAGGAAGTAGGCCAGCAGACCAGCGACGTGGGGAGATGCCATGGAGGTTCCAGAGATGGTGTTGACAGCGTACTTGCTGCCGATCCAGGTGGACAGCACGTTGACACCAGGTGCAAAGATGTCATTGCACTTGCCATAGTTGGAAAAGTAGGCACGCTCATCAGCGATGTTCGAAGCACCCACCGTGATGGCTTTCTCTGCGGCAGCGGGAGAATAGTTGCAAGAATCGGCATTGTCATTGCCGGCGGCAACTGCAAAGTGAATGCCAGCATCCACTGCAGCATTGACGGCGAGGTCAAGCGTCACAGACTTGCCTCCGCCCAGACTCATGTTGGCAGCGCTTCCCTTGAAGCCCTTGACTTTGCCCTTCTTGGCAGCCTCGACCTTCTTGAGGTGCTGGTCGGCAGCCCACTCGACACCCTTCACGACATCAGACATGGTGCCCGAGCCGTTGGACTTGAGAACCTTGACAGCATAGATGTTGGCCTTCTTGGCAACACCATGCTTCTTACCGGCAATGGTACCAGAGCAGTGGGTTCCGTGTCCGTTGCCGTCGACATCCTCGTCATCGACGGGGATGGTCTTGCCCCAGGAGGCACGGCCCTCGAAGTCGACGTGGTCGACATTGGTACCGGTGTCGATGACATAGACATCGACACCCTCACCACCGTCGGCAGCGTAGAGGTACTTGCTGAACGTTCCAAAGCTGAGGCTGTCCCGATGGGAGATACGAGCCAGGCCCCAAGGAGCATTCTTCTCGATGGCCGGGGACTCCATGGTGTGGACGATCGAATCCTTCTCGATGTACTCGACCTATCGGTTCGGACGGGGGTCAGTAAGATCACGAGCTTGCCAAGCACGGATCTCCCGGGGAGGCGGGAGTAGCTTGGGAGAGGAGTCATAACTCACATCAGGGTGCCTGCGGATTTGCTCAATGACGTTCTCATCAAAATGACCAGAGTAGCCCAGTAGGGACCCTGCAATGTCGAAGGTGTGCTTGAGACCTTCAAAGGCATCGTTCATCAGAGGGAACTGGGAGCGTTTCCGGAGCTCCATCCGCTCCATCTCGGACTGCAGGTGCAGGTCCTGCACCCAGCTGTGGTGTGCTGCAGCAGAAGCAGAGTTTACATGCTTCTTAAAGACGATGATGTAGGAGTCGGGAACCTCCTTCGAGTTGGACGAAGAGAGGACGGGAGCAGCTCCATTGTGGATCGAGTCAACGACCACGGGTGATGCAAGCGTGAGCAGCGGCAGCAAGGAAAGGCTGAGGAGGCCTTTCATGATGGCGGACGGGTTGGACACCCAGGAAGCATAAAATATAAATGATGGGAGCAGGCAAGGAGGCGTTGGAGAAGGGGGTGATGATGAGATGAGAAGGAGAGAGGAAGAGAAGGAAGGAGGATGCGGACGATGGGTGATACAAGTAGGTTGTCAGATAACGCGATGAGCCAGCCTACAGGCTGGGGAAGTGGAAGCAAGGCTAGATGATGTGACTGGTTACCGTATCGTTACGATGATGCTTACGGGTTGGCCCACCAGAGTGAGGCGTGATTTGGTGGAGAGCGATGATCCGGCATGCTGCGGCGAGGCCCGGAGCAGGCAGGCAGCAGCGGGGAGACGGGCAGCGACGGGCGGCTGAGGCGTTTCTGTCGGCGGTGAGCAATTACCGGGCTGGTATCGGTGGGGACGCCCGAGTCGATCAGTCATCACGCCGTGCTCGCGTGCCCTGTCCGGCACACCCAGGGCCGCCAGCGCTGGGGCGTATTGTTGGTATCGTATTGTCACGCTGGTCACGGGAGCTGCGGGTCGGTTGCCGAGAGACCCCGACCGCCTAAAGCGTTATCATCTTATCGGCCTTGTAATCAGCCAATCAGGGAGCTGCTGCCGCTGCGCTGTCACGTGACTGGCACCTGCCCTGCGCTACGCCCGCCGTTGCGTCAGAGCTGCACGATGGAAGCCACAGCTGTTTCGAGCTCCCTGGCGGACACAGCTGGTCGTGTGCTTTGGTCCCATGCTGCGGGACTTGTGCCCCGTTGGATGCTTCCATGCCGTGCAACTGACATTGTCTGCGACTGGCATTGTCTGCAGCAGCTTCCTTTCTCTGGCCCTCTTGAGACATGCCCCCAGCCCACCATCAGCCCTGTCATGACCTGATCAGCAAGCAACGACGCTGCCCATTGCATGCTGTGGTGTTCCCTCAAGTCCAGATCGATGCTGCCCACATGGGTTGTTGACGCTGCTGGGCATTAGGATCCGATCTGGGAAGGAATTCGTGGCATCATGAATGCCCCGCGGCGTTCCTCAACCCCTCCTTCTTCGTCCACGTCTGAGCGTCTCGTGACTGAACTGACACCCGTCCTGGGTGCTCTGAAGGAAATTTGTGTCCAGCATCCCATTGTCCTCGAACATGCCCTTGCGGCTACCGAAAGCCTCCTGCGGCTACGTCACACGTTGATCGACAGTGATCGTCCCCGCGAAGCGAAAGATGCGTTCCGAAATCTCGATGGCTTCCAGACCCTCCTGGACCTCGTGCGACGACTAGCAGAACTTTACGATCCGCGATCTCTGTCCAAGGAAGAGAGGAAGAGCCTGTTGGTGCTTTTTAAAGATGTCCTGGCTATTCTTGCGGAGTGCCTTAAGGATCATCCCGGAAACAGACGCTTCTTTGCAAAGAGGATTGCGGGAGGGGGAACAGCGTCTCTTGAAGAGACGCTAATGCTTCTGGCTGGAAAGCTCGATGATGGGGATACGAAAGCAACTGATACGGAGCAGTTGTACGGAGGGGTTCTGGCAGCGGCTCTAAGCCAGGAGACTGTCAGTGACCTTTTCACGGCGCTAAGCACCAAGTTCTCTTCAGACAGCGACAAGCTCTCGCCGTCCACCATCCGCGCCTCTGTGGATCAATTGTTGGGAACCGCGGAGACAGTGGAAAATCCAGAATTTTTGGGTCCTTTCCTTCGAACGTGGCTGTCCCAATCGTCCAGAGGCACACACCATGATGTCCAGAGACTAGCCATCCCTGCATGCCTCTGCCAATTGGCATCCCAGTCCCGAAGGAACGTTCTGGCTCTCCATGCAACTGGCATGCTGTCTTCAATTTTGCCAGTTCTTTTCAGCAACGATCGATCTGATGATGAAAAGGCTCTTTATCGAGAACTGGCCGAGTTCCTTTGTCTCGAGGGAGTCAACAATCTCCACGATGCCGTAGATCTGTATCGACGAGCATATGATTGCCCGCAGGCATCGCGTTTCCTTCTCAATGCAATTCGATCCTCCAAAGGACCTCCTTTTATCCATTTCGATATGTCATCCCATGGTTATTCTTCCGTCGAACTCTCCACATTGGGTCGGCCCTTTCCACCAACCGCGTCAGCTGGCTACACCCTGGCGGTATGGGCTCGTTTCGACCGTTTCGATCCCAAGTCCCACACGACCATTTTTGGGGCTTTTGATCCTAGCCAAACCTGTTTCGTACTCGCCTACTTGGAAAAGGATACTCGCAATTTTATTCTGCAGACCTCAATAACTGGCCCTCGTCCAAGTGTACGTTTCAAGTCAGTTGTTTTCGAGCCGGATCGATGGTACCATATCTGTGTGATTCATAGAAGAGCTCGCGGGACATTGCCAGCCCGCGCTTCGCTTTTCGTAGACGGCGAGTTTGTTGAGCAGCTGAAAATCGAATACCCAAATACTCCCGTAGCCCGTTCGCTGCATAAGCCGCCCCGGGTCCAGGCATTTTTCGGCACGCCCCAGGATCTCGCTGTGAGGCTCGGGAAAGGCGTATCATCTTCCCGGTGGTCCCTCGCCAACGCAATCTTGTTCGAAGACACCGTCAGTGACGACATGGTTGCGGTATTCTATCATCTCGGCCCTCGGTATCACGGTAATTTTCAGGACTGCTTAGGCTCTTTCCAGACCTATAAAGCCTCTGCTGCCTTGAATCTGCGGAATGAGAGTCTACACCCCGGTAAAGAAGAACATTCGGATATAGTTACCGCCATTCGTCAGAAAGCGAGCGCTTTACTCCCTGAAAGTTCCTTTCTCATCAACCTATCTCCGACGACGGTGCTGGACGACGATGACAACAACAACGTTGACGAATCGCAGCTCATCAAGTCTCTGTCGAGACAGGCAGCGAAGAACTTGCACCAGCTGACCAAGGCTGGCGGTAATGCTATTGCGATCAATGGTGCCATTCCGGCGGTCAATGATGCTTTGACCCGTTCGCATGGGGTGGCGGTCTTGACAGGTGACCCTGTGGTCTCTGTCCCTCAATCCCTCGATGATGCCAGTTGGCGGATCGGTGGCTGTGCAGCTGTGCATCTGAGCATGCTTCAGGCCGCGAGCACTGCAGAGAGCACTATTCTCGCAGTCGAGATCTTGTTCGAAGCCATTCAAGACAGTTGGAGGAACAGCGAGGCCATGGAAAGAGACAATGGTTATGGTATACTTGCGCTGTTACTGCGGGAGAAGCTTGGGTTTCCTCAGGGAGTCCAGTCCGGGACTTCCAAGACCTCGACGGTCTGTTCGGATAACCGAGAACGATCTGAACTTGCTATCGACCTTCTCCGATTGATCCTCACTTTTGTGGGGTATAACTTTGAAAATCCGACAACGTCCATGATCACCAACCCACTGGCATATCGTGTACTACTTGTAGATCTTGACATTTGGAGGTTTGGTGAGCTCTCCTTGCTTCAGATGTACTACTCTCAGTTCTCGACGTTCGCTACCGAAAGTCAACACCGCCGATTTAATGCTAAGCGTTTGTCTCGTATGCGTAAGTACCTTGGTGCATTCTCTTAGTTTTGTTACTGTTCATTGCTCACGCTTCACAGGGGTCAACAAAAAGCTTCTGGACGCTTTGAAGGGCGAGGAATTTACCGACGAGGCTTTGAGTCTCTTCATACCCGCATTTCGGTCGCTGTTTGAGAGCTGTGTCTCTGCAGAGTTACTTCGATCATTGGCTCTATTTATCACCTATGCGCTTCATGACGACAAAGCTCCAAAGCTCAATAAGAAGAAAAGCCTACGCTTTGATCACCGTGCCAGACAGTCACCAATTTCCTCAGACCGGACCGCAAAGAAGGGTTTGCCAAAGTCTAAAATAGGCTTGGAACTGCTCCGCATGTATTGCGACTACGTCTGCGCCCCTGGCGACGTCATGGCGATCAAGAAGTTTGCAAGAGCCGTGACAAACAAGGTTGGTTACAGATTCGGTCGGTATCCTCAATCAGTGAGTGCTAACAGCGTCCGTTAGTGGCTTCTCTATCTCATGTGTGAGGATGAACCTGAAGTTGTGGTTTTGGCAACCAAGATCCTTGCGCGGTTAATCGTTGTTCATGGGGGTCCTTATAGTAAAAAGCTCGCTGATAAAACTGGCGGATATGTCATCATGAAGCATCGTTTGAAACGATGGTGGAATGTTCCAAGCCTGTGGACCGTCTGCTTTGCCATCTTATTCGGGCTCGACGTCGCGGAGCTGCGCCTTGATAGCGTTTTCGATCATTCAGCCTTTCTAAATTTGCTCATTTCCAAGCATAATGCCAAAGTGGTCTTCCCAGAAGTTCTCCCGGTCCTTACGGAAATGCTACAGTGCGGCTTGAACGAAGCAGTCTCAGGAGATGACAGACCCTCTGTCGTGAAGAAGGATGATAATCCTCACCAAACGCCACCGGCTCAAAATGACGGTCACTCTAGACCTTCCACCAATCCAACTGGTAAGTATCTTCTGTCCTCAGTGGTTATCAAGCTCATGGTGAAGAAATGCTCATCGGGATACAGAAGTCACCGCGCGCGTGAGTTCGTCAAAGGACTTTTCCATTCTGACGACTGTCGTCAGATTTCTCGCTGATCTTCACGCCAACTTCGGCGATTTCCGAGACTTTGCCGCGACATCGACATATGTTCAGAGGTTACTGCTTGTCCTGTTTCCTGTTGTTGTTGGCTCCAATATAGTGAGCGCCGAGGTCGAATTAAGTTCCCGTGACACTGGACTTAGTTTCGACGTTAATAGCGTAGTGGTTCGACCTACCCCCGCTGTGCCTCCAGTTTTACGTACTACTACTGTCGAGCAATCCGATGCTCAAGACGAGCCTGGACGACCGTTGCGACGAGGATCGTCTTTTATTCTCATATCGTCAGACAAGGTCCAATATGCTCCATCATCTGCGCAACTTCATCGCATTGTTCTACCAAAAGTTGAGGGGAATGAACCCTTGGCTAGCCATCCGCTTGTTCAAGACATACTGAAGCTCGTGGTAAGCGTGTTTTTGGATCAGCTGCTCGCACGAAAAGACTTTTCTGGCCTGGGTCTGTTCCTTAAGACGCCTCCCGGGTTCCTGGAGTACCAAACCTATTTCGAATCATGGCTGCTACGAAACATTCTCTCGACGTTGGAAAACACGCTGTTGTTACACCAGGACCTGCTTCTGGAACCGCGAGTTCTCACCAATCTGGCTCGCTTCATGACTCACGTTGGGGAGGCCCTATATGAAGGTTGGTTTATTGATGGCGTTGGTGCGACTCTTGATTTTGCTGGACCAATTCTCGAATACCTACGTAGGCCTGATGTCTCGTCATCGAAGAACATTCGTCTCTGCAGCCAAGCCGTTAACACTATCCGCTCAGTCCTTTTTCGGACTGTCCTGTTGAAACTGTCAAATGTCGACGATGCGGACATACTCTCGTTTTTAAACCATCTTGGGTACTGGCAGGCAACCATCCTTACTGCAGGAGAACCGGAACTGGAGTACTTGAGACTGCTGTTCTATTTACTTTACACAAAATTGCTCTCTGAGAAGGAAGAAGTGCGGCTAGCCGCGGCTACTCTGTGGCGGATTATTCTCGTACAGAAGCCTTCCGAGACGACCTCTATTTTGAGTCATGCACCCGCAGCACTACAACGGCGGCTCTCCGGCGGTTTTGAGAAGCTTGTTGGCATGGATGACGGTGCTTTCCTACGATGGGTGGATGACGAACGCGAAGACCTGGACGCTTTCTTTTTCGGCACAATCTCCAAATTCTGGGAAAACTTTGTTCAAGAAGAGAATAGTAAAACTGAAGAATCTGCACGGTCTCGGATAGCGAAACGCAGAGAAAGACTCAAGCAATGGATCCAAGAAGACCAAGCGTGTGAGGAAATAATTCGCAAGCACTCCAGCACATTTGATCACTGGACATCGAACATTTTCGCGTCAGAATCCCTCAAGCACCAAAGACTCCTCCAAGATCAACATGATAATTTTACTTTCATGTGGTCTGTCTTCTCTCGGCTTTCTCAAGACCTGCGTCGGTTTGGGGGCTTACTGGCTGAGGATGGAGAGAAGAAATGGCGTCTTGACCAGACAGAGGGACGTAGTCGCATGCGACTTCGCGTAATCCCGGATGATTCTGGAGAACGTCAGGATTATCAGCCGAAGAGAAAGGCGTCTGAACCGCCCGCCATCAAGGTTAACCCGCAGATGCGGCCTGCCGTCAACGGTGAAGCCCTTGGAATCACCCCAACGACCAACTTGGTGGCAGAACCTGGTGACGCTGAAACCCAAGGGGCTGATCCAGAAGAGAGGAACGGGCTTGAAGAGAGCTTTGAGATGATAGATGATCCCAAAGTGGATCTTGAAGACTACGAGGATAAAAACAGAAAGGTCATGCGCAGCCTTCACCGCGGAGATCAAGTCCAAAATGTGTGTAACATGTCTCGCATCGTCGGCCTAGAGGCGTGTGAAGGTCTCTTGATCTTAGGAAAGGATTATGTCTATATATTGGACAATTTCTTTCAACGAGCGGACGGGGAAATTGTCAACGTCTGGCAAGCTCCTCCGGAGGAACGAGATCCTTTTGTTCGCATGATCTCCGGAAGGGAGTCAAACGAGCGCAAATCACGGGAGCACGAAACAAGAAGCTGGAAGTGGTCTGATCTCATCAGTGTCTCAAAACGGCGCTTTCTTTTCCGAGATGTTGCATTGGAGGTCTTTTTCACCGACGGTCGCAGTTACCTGCTCACCTTGATATCGTCGCGAGCGCGAGATGAACTCTATAGTCAGCTCTCTGCTCGTGCGCCGCAGATTGGAGGAAACATGAGCTTGACCCGTCCAGAAGATATCTGGAGATTTGAAACTTTGAGGGTGCAGGAGGATGCTCCGCAGTCCTTGGGGTCGAAATTTGCCAGTGTGTTTGGTCAATCGTCTTTGAATCCCGCCACGCGCAAGTGGGTGAAGGGAGAAATGTCCAACTTCCACTATCTGATGCTCATCAACACCCTTGCTGGCAGAACATTTAACGATCTTACTCAGTACCCTGTTTTCCCATGGGTCCTGGCTGATTATACTAGTGATGAGCTAGATCTGACCGATCCGAAAAGCTTTCGTGATCTGTCAAAACCAATGGGCTGTCAGACTCCGGAAAGAGAGGCTGAATTCAGGGAGCGTTACAAATCTTTTGCTGAGATGGGCGATGAGAACGCCCCCGCCTTTCACTATGGCACGCATTATTCCTCTGCGATGATTGTGTGTTCTTATCTGATTCGTCTCCAGCCGTTTGTCAAGTCATATCTTCTCCTTCAAGGAGGTACATTTGACCACGCGGACAGGCTGTTCTACTCCGTTGGAAAAGCATGGGAATCCGCTTCGCGTGGTAACATGTCGGACGTCCGAGAGCTCATCCCCGAGTTCTTCTATCTTCCTGAATTCCTGGTCAACTCAAACAAGTACGACTTTGGCCTCCGTCAAAACATGACACAGTCGATTGATTCGGTGGAATTGCCGCCATGGGCGAAGGGCGATCCTAAGATCTTCATTGAGAAACACCGCGAGGCCCTGGAAAGTCCTTATGTCACGCAAAATCTGCACCATTGGATTGATCTTGTGTTTGGCTACAAGCAGAAAGGCGATGCTGCAGTTGAAGCCGTCAACGTCTTCCACCATCTTTCTTACCAAGGCGCCAAAGACGTGGACAGCATCGAAGACCCGGTTGAACGACTGGCTACTATCGGCATCATACATAACTTCGGACAAACCCCCCACCAAATCTTTCACAAGCCTCATCCGCGTAGAGAGGACCCTCATCGTAGTGAAAGTCGGCTAGATACTCTTGCAGAATCTCTGACGCGGGTTCCTGTTTCCTTGCTTGGTAGGAGCCCTCTCTATTTACAAGATGCCGTTTGACCCTAACTCTGGACAGATATTCAGGAACGTGTGGCATCATTGTCCATGAAACAAGATCGGTTGCTCTGTACGGCTGCATTCCGGTTAAACGTCCCTCCTTCCTATGACAAGTACATGGAATGGGGTTTCTCTGATGGCAGCGTCCGATTTTATGCTGCGGATAGTAAAAAGGTACAGAATAGCATGTTGACAACAAAACCAGACCGTTACTGATCGAGTGGTAGCTTCTGGGGCATTTCGAACATTTGCACGTCGGCCAGTTATCATGTGCACTTTTTGCGGACTCGCGCACGTTGGTTACCGCAGGATCGGACTGTACCATATCCATATGGTCATTCAACTCAACCAACAAGGCTGTAGAGTTGCAACCTCAGGCTTGTCTCTTCGGGCACCGGTCTCCCGTAACGGTCCTAGCTGTCTCTCGGTCATTTAGTACCCTCCTCTCCGCGTCGACGGATGGCCAGATCATGCTCTGGGACCTGAACCGGCAACGTTTTGTGAGAGAGCTTCCGGCAAACGGACCGGTGGAGGTAAATTTTGGTCACTCAAACACGAGGCTTACAATGGCTAACACACCGCAGTGCGCTCGGATCAATGATATGACAGGAAATATAATGATCTGTCGGGGAAGTCGCATTTCTCTGTACACTTTGAACGGATCCCTTCTGCTTGATCAAGCCGTGTGTGAGACGAGCGACGACTGCATCGTGTCTTGTGCATTCTACGAGGGAGTTAGCAATGAGTGGCTGCAGAGAGAGCTCCTCTTCACCGGCCACAAGAGAGGTCTTGTCAATGTAGGTGTCTTGCACGATATTATCCTTGCTCGCCTGGTCAAGTAGTTCTAATCATTCTCGGGTTCCTATCAGATCTGGAGCAAAACCATCCGGAATGGGCGCTTCGAGTTGGACTTGATCCGACAGCTTCACCACATTGACAATACGCGAGATAACGGTGCCAACGTCTCTGCGGGGATCAGCTGCATCCTTCCCCTTCCACACACCGTCTATACGGGCGATGAAGCTGGGAGAGTTGTAAGTGCCCGGGTTTATCTGCGGGTGATGCCGTCCAGACAAGTGACTGACATGAATCCCAGTACGAATGGAGTTGTATCCAACGTCGATGATAAATAGACGTGTTGATTCTGCCGAATAGAATAACCGGGTAAAATAGCCGCAAAATCCGCTCTTTTTGCTTTACAGCGACTTGTCCTGCTATGTCGAATGGACGGCACAAGCCTAACTATGCGTTTCTTTCGTCGACAGGAATAGAAATCATCTTTCTTTGGCACGACTGCTGACAGTTTGATGCGCTATCCTTTTCTCCTATCCCGGCTTTTTTTGTTCTGTTTGTGCTCAGGCGGGGTTTTCTATTTGACGGTGTTCGCATAGGCTTTATGGATATGTCTTTTTTTTTCTCATGATACATCTAGACATTAGGCAGGGTCATTTTGGAGTCCTGAAGTTCGGCAGATTCTATGAGGTCCTGACTCGCGAAGCTTTGCCTACCAACTTTTCTTTTAGACGTTCGAAACTCCTCTGATGAGACTATGTATGAGGGGGGAAAAAAGCTCATATATGCTTAACGTCCAAGAATCTTCCAAGTCCAGCCGTTCTCCTAACGTACGTGTATTCAATTCTTGTAGACACCTGGACTGCATGATTGCTCTCTGTACGAGGCCGTCCGGAGGCGTAATAGCCGCTTTAGTCCCAGCTTAGAAATCTATTTAGGAAATTTCCCGGCTTGCTTGGATGGTAATTTCGGTGTGTCTGTGAAGCCGATTCTGGTTGGAGCAGTCGTCCACAGTGGATCAGGGACCGGTCACGGGGTGCCGCCGGAGCACTCTGCGCCGGAGGGACTCGATTCAGTTGCCGATGGCAGAGAACAACAAATACCCGGCCGGTGAGCGGTCATTTCGGTCTTCCAGGCCTCCGTATCGTGCTTGCCCAGCGGAAAAAATAATCCTTGGAAACGCAACCGGGTAATATTGTCGGGTTTGCAATTGCAGCCCATGCAGTAGTTTGTACAGTACTTTGTAGGCGCTTATCGATGCTGACACATCAGCAGGTGGTGCAAGCCGGCGTCATAGCTGCCCCACCATCCCACGGGGCGCCCTCTCCTTCACCCCTCCTCGCAGAAGTCGGAGCCGACCTTGCCACTTGGTTCGGTTTTATATACCTGTCTATACTCGCTCGCCCTCTCCGTTCTGCAAACTAGTTGGCAGTAGTAGTCCTTTTCCGCCAAGAGATACCCTTTCCACGTTCCATACAGCGCAGTCACCATGTCTTCCTCGCTCGATCAATTGAAAGCCACCGGCACTGTAAGTGCAGCCCCTCCTTTGCTATATCCCTCAATCGCACCTGTTGGGCGACGTCTTCCTTTGTAGATCACAGAGTTAACGCATTCTCCTTTGTTGCTTTTTAGGTCGTGGTGTGCGACTCTGGTGACTTTGCCAGTATGTGATTCCCATATCATCCGTCGTTTCCTCCGCCCCGAAAGATTCGAAGAAAAGAAGAGACAATTCAACTGGGACAATCCGAGACTGACAGATCGCCATAGCCATTGGCAAGTACAAGCCTCAGGATGCCACCACCAACCCGTCTCTGATCCTCGCGGCTGCTAAGAAGCCCGAGTACGCCAAACTCATTGACGTCGCCGTCGAGTATGGCAAGCAGCACGTACGTCTCTCTGTCAACTGCCGCCAAGCACTCGCCTTGTGACAACAAGATGCTGATTCTCCGTGCAGGGCAAGACGATCGACGAGCAGGTCGATGCCACTCTCGACCGCCTGCTGGTCGAGTTCGGCAAGGAGATCCTGAAGATCATTCCCGGAAAGGTTTCCACAGAAGTCGACGCTCGTCTGTCTTTCGATATCCAGGGCTCTGTGGACAAGGCTCTGCACATCATCCAGGTACCGTCATAGCTCTCTACATAGGTGTTGACAGAAATGTGCAATGCTGACTGGTGACTTCCACCGCAGCTCTACGAGTCGATTGGTATCTCGAGGGACCGTGTCCTGATCAAGATCGCCTCAACTTGGGAGGGCATTCAGGCTGCTCACATCCTGCAGTCGAAGCACAACGTCAACACCAACCTGACTCTTATGTTCTCCATCGTGCAGGCCATCGCGGCTGCCGAGGCCGGCGCTTTCCTCATCTCCCCCTTCGTGGGCCGCATCCTCGACTGGTACAAGGCCGCCCACAAGCGGGACTACACCCCCCAGGAAGACCCGGGTGTCAAGTCGGTGCAGTCCATCTACAACTACTACAAGAAGCATGGCTACAAGACCATCGTCATGGGTGCGTCGTTCCGTAACACGGGTGAGATCACCGAGCTGGCTGGCTGCGACTACCTGACGATCTCGGTATGTTTGATCCCCTTAATCCAGCTTTTTCTGAAGGATGTTAGAAAACTAATGAATGCAATTAGCCCGCCTTGCTGGAGCAGCTCTACAACTCCACCGAGCCCGTGCCCAAGAAGCTGGACCCGGCCGGTGCCGCCTCCCTGGACATCCCCAAGCGTTCGTACCTGAACAACGAGTCGCTTTTCCGATTCGACCTGAACGAGGACGCCATGGCAGTGGAGAAGCTGCGGGAGGGTATCTCGAAGTTTGCGGCTGACGCCGACACCCTGAAGGCCCTTCTGAAGGAGAAGATCCAGGCGTAGACGCTTTTTATTTCCCCGAATTGTCATGTATGAAACCCAAAAGTTGTGATATCAAATCAATTAATGATGATAGATGCGATCTCATGGTGAAAACCTCTGACTTCGTTATTCGTTCTAATGCCATTGAGTAACGTTTCCATGTGTGACTGCATTTTCCTTTAAAAGAAAATAAAGTAAAATAAATTCCCATTCTTTGCATCACACGTTTTGCGAGACCATAGCAGAAGTTTGTATGAGAGTAGTGAAAAGGGAGTTCAACGCCAACAACAACAGCACGGCGCGGATGCCTCCTTCCCATGCCGGATTCGCAAGAGAATAAAATACACTCCAAGCCGCATAACCACTACAGCTTTAGCTCCGCGTTCCTCACCAATCAAGCATCCTACAGCAGAATTCACTGTTGGGTGCACTAAACATTCCAGTTCCTTCAATACTTGAATAGCTGAGCAGTCACTTCCTTCACTCATCACAGACGTGACTGGAGTGGATGTCTGCAGATTGACTGCTCCGGTCCCAGAGCCTTCTCCAGAAGACCCATGACAAATTTGTACGGCCACAACGAGCCGGCTGTGGAAGACAGACATGCCTTGACACCTTTAACTACAAACACACGTCTTGCAAAGCTAACTCACTGACGACAAACCCCAACATTAGGTAGCATGGAGCTTCTTGACTTACCCCTCGAGGTGTTTCGAGCAATTCTCGAGGAGACTGTCATTGTCCTGGGCGCCGATAGAGCACCCAGACTTCGACTTGTGAATAGTACGGTTTCAACCCCTATGACCTGAATTGCTAATCAATTTAACACGAATACTAGAATTCTTCGATGGCGAGGTTATCAGAGTTGTGTGCATAACCGGCATCCTCGACAGTAGCCACCTGACCTACGGCCCCTGGCTCGCATATCACCTGCAGAGCAGGGTTCTGGCACCTCGTGCACAGGACAATAATAATTATCTTCTCTGCACCCTCCGTCGAGTGGTAGATGAGCTCATAGCGAAATACCAAGGAGACGAACACGAAAGAAAACGCGAGATTTCACTTGCCTTATCGCGGGCGGCGGCCGAATATCTCGGGTATCGGGTTCCGAATGCACTGAGGGGTTGCGAGACACGGTCTGGGGTTAGGCTACCAAAGCGAAGCTCTGTGGCTTATGTTTCGTTCCTGAGATCGTACGAGTTCGAACAGTCGATTCTGCTGGGCAAAGGCCAGACCAGTGACGCACCTGAGCACCTTCTCTCACCAGCGGCGTATGTCGGGGATGTTTCCTTGGTCGAGGGTCTTCTTGCGCAGGGCGTCGATGTCAATGCCGGGAGCAACGTCTTTGGCAAACCGCTGTTCGCCGCCGCGTCAGCAGGCCATCTTGACATCGTCCGCCTCCTGCTCGCCAGAGGTGCGGACGCGGACGATGGTGCCTATCCCAGAACCGAGGACGACGAACGACGACTCCTGGAGTCCGGAGACTCCCAAGAGTCCACTGAACTGCACATCACCTGTACGAGGAGACTTGCTACCGCCCTGGACGCCGCAGCCATCGGTGGTTATGAAGAGGTGGTGCGGTTGCTCCTCCAGCCTGAATTCGGGATCTCCAGATCGACCTATTCGTACCGCGCGGCAATCATCAAGGCCGCCCGTGGAGGCAATGCAAACGTGATGCGACTTTTGATCGAAGCCGGGGAGTTCAGCGCCATCCCGGAAGAATGGCTCTGGGAGTGTGCGTTGCAACAGGCTGCGGAGGCGGGCCAGCCAGACACCGTCCGTCTGATGCTGGAAAGGCGTGCCCGTGGACGTGGAGGACGTCTCCGTGGATAGTTTGGCCACGCCGCTGGTGCGCGCCGCTGCCAACGGACACTACGAGGTTGTCCGGCTCCTGTTGCAGAGGGGGGCGGCCGTCAATGGAACTCCTCACTGCAGCTCTACCCCGATCATGGAGGCTGCAGCTGGCGGGTATCTGCGGACAGTCGAGCTCCTCCTGGACCATGGAGCGGTGGTGCATCACTGGGGATCGCATCCTCTGGAAGGAGCTGCAAACCATGGTCAGGCCCATGTCGTCCAGTTTTTGTTGGAGAGAGGAGCACACTTGAAGACGCGACATGGAGGGGCATTGGCGCTCGAGTATGCTTTGGAAAATGAATATTACTCAGTGTCAGGAATGCTCATGGACTATGGGATCGCACCTGATTATTGGCTCCTCGGTTGATAGAATCTGACAAAAGTTGGAAAGAACGGCCGGTCAACAGTGGCAGAGTTCACCTGGATCTTAGGTGCCGGACCGGTGGCCTAGGGGCTTAGGGCCTAAACATAGGCAGGAGAATAAATATTACCCTGCTTATTTGGGTTCACCCTGCCATAAACAAGAATCAAGATTAAGAAATGGGGAGTGGTACAGGTGCACATTGTGAGAACAAGGGCTCGCCTTAATCTATTGAATGCTTTTCCAATACAGACTGCAGATATCACCATCCAATCTGGTTCGAACACTATCGTCATGGGCGCACCTCTGTGTCTCGAATTTAGCAAGATTTTCGACCGCACTCCCCCTTCGATTTGTCATTATTTTGCACTTTTCCTTGCTTGTATGTATGATACCCGCGATTAGAACCTTAATATCAAGAATGTAGTTGAGTTGATCACCTGACTAACCAGTTCACCTCGTTAAAGCGGCAGTGTCCAAGTTAGGCAGGTTTGGTTGACCTCCAGTGAGATGAGGGCTGGAACGAATCATCATCTCCTTCATTTTCATCTTCGACTTCATCGTCATCGTTATCCTCATCATGCTTCCTCATCATTCATCCAAGAGCATGATGAACTTCCTCTCCCTTCTGTCTTTCTGACTCACTTAGATGCTCTTTGCGTAGCAGCAATCGGTTCTCGAAATCTAGATCTTGCTAGCAATGCTCATCAGCGATGACGAGATTCTCAACCCCAACATTACAAACTTGCCTAGCAAAAGTAAGCTGATTGCACTCTGCCGGAAAAACAGGTCCACCAACCACTTTACTACACCTCCCCTGATGGCCGGAAATTCTTTATCAAACATGGAGAAGGTGTCACCATGGCTGAGGCGCGGACACAGCTCTATTTCTTCAACCAGATTGCTGCCCGTCCTGACATCACGATCCGCATCCCTGAGATCTACCATGCCCGTATTTCCCGGGGCTACGAAAGATATATCGTGATGGAGTACATTGATGTCCACGGCTTTGCTTCCCTTGAGCAGAGAGCGAGAGCAATTACGGACCTCGTAAACATCGAGCCTCCTCATGGTGCGACACCTGGGCCGATTGGTGGTGGCCGGATAAACACCCCTTTTTTAAATGGTTTGAATCTGCTATCGAATACTCATCTGTGAGCCAACTGGAGACGCATGTTAATAATGTAGGACATTACTGCACTTTTCTTTTTTATAAGTACTCCTACTAATCCGATACTGTTTTATAGGTCCTTAAGATCCTCTCTTGGCATAGCGGGAAGAACGAGACTGTTGATTTCAGCCATGACAAATCCGTCTGCTACTACTCCGACATTGATAGGCAGAACTTTCCTGTTGATGGGCAGGGACAAGTCTGGGTCGTGGATTTTGAGCAGGCTGGTGTATTGCCGGAGAGCTTCATGAGCTTTGCTCTCGATATGAAGTTCAAAGACCCACTGCCACCATCCACGTATCGAAAGGATATCCCCATTGAGAGGACCAAAAATCTGAGGCCAATGGTTAGGGCTTATCGGATCTTGCAGAAGGCTGTCGATGAGTTTGGTAAGTACAAGACTTACTTCCCTACTCCATGAACTATGCTCTATACGTTGCAAAATGTGAAATATATATTTACAAATATGCACGCGTGCTTTTAGGCCTCGAAGGACCTGGCCTTGAACCTGTGACCCGCAGTCGTCGGGCCAGGGGTTGGCCTAGTTGCCTATATGCAGACGCTTCTAACACAGGTAAAATCTCATCACATCGGGGGATATATCTTACGAAGGCAAGATCAAAAAAGAAGAGGGATTTTTTTTGGATACAGGACACCATTTTTGCTATTGTCTTTAGGAGTCATAGGGGATGACCTACTACCACCTTTACTTTCCAATCTGTCCTCTACATAGCTTCTAGGTTTAATGTTGCTAAACAACTGGCACAAGCATTAAGGAAGGATGGGTGAAAATGGAGTGATTACCTATCTAGGTAGGTAGCTGGTTAGCATCGGTGGAAGATTAGTCAGGGAGCACGTGCCCTGGCCTGGCCAAGAACTGCTTATGAATCCACATGCAAGTTCGCTCGCATCTTGCGTCGGATGGTGTCAGGATGATGTTAACGGGGCCTCTCGGAAGACGGAGGGGCAAGGCAGCCGCACCCAAACAAAGCGTCATCGGAAATATAGCCCCGCTCGCTCTCATGCCGAGCGCGAACAGCACGAGGATGAGGTGCATAGATCATGGCCATGAGAAGCAGCTCAGAACAGGTCAGCAGAGGGGCTAGAAGTGGTAAAGGCAATTATCACTCTTCATGACAGAAGACGCAATCCAAGGCTCGCCATGCATGGGCAGATAGACCAGTATTTGCAGGTAATCAGTCGTAGGTTCTCGAAGGGGAGGGCGAAAGCAGCAGGTGGGGTTCACCCCTCAGCGAGGCCGGTCCGAGTGCCTCTGGGCTGTCGTCGCTTTCCTCGCTCTCTTATTAAAAGAAGTCTCTTCCTTCCCCCAATCTCAACCGAGAGCTCTTCAGCATTGTATTCTGCTACTCTTCACGAGGTCTTTAGTCGAGAAAAACAGTTGCAACACCGTCACAATGGTCAAGGCCGGTATGTAGAGAAGCCCATCTGCCCCTCCTCCAGCCACATCCCTCCTCCTCTTGTGTTTTGTCTCCCCGCCTGGCGGGCGCGTTCTCCACGATCGTCCCCCAGGTTGAGCGCATTTGAGCACCTTGGGGAGGCGCCAACATCGCCCCCCTTCGTCGCCAGCCTATCATCGCGCTTGGCCTGCTGCTCTTCCTGGTCATTGTTCCTTAGTTCTGGTTCGGGAAATTCCATGCAAAAACTTCACGCTGAAGCTTCCAGTCGCCAGGAAGATCACTGGTGCTGGGTCAAGCATGGTCCCTGACCGGAGTCGAGGGGGCTTCCAATTGGGTCGCTCTCGATCCCGTTGAAGCTCCTATACGTTCCACGCCCGCTTTCACCTCTGCAGCAGTCTGGCATGGAGGCAATGTTCTCGAGCTAACCTCTCTTCGTATCAGTCGCTGTCCTCCGTGGAGACTCCAAGGTCTCCGGCACTGTCACCTTCGAGCAGCCCGACGAGAACTCGCCCACCACCATCTCCTGGAACATCACCGGCCACGACCCCAACGCAGAGCGTGGTTTCCACGTCCACCAGTTTGGTGACAACACCAACGGCTGCACTTCTGCCGGTCCTCACTGTATGCTCTCCAGACCGTTGCAGTAGACGAGTCCAGATTACTGACGCCCATGTCTTCAGTCAACCCTTACGGCAAGACCCACGGTGCTCCTACCGATGCTGAGCGCCACGCTGGTGACCTGGGCAACATCAAGACTGACGCTAATGGCAACTCTGTCGGTTCCATCACGGACAACCAGATCAAGCTGATTGGCGCTGAGAGCGTTCTTGGCGTACGTGGCCCTGTTTTTATTTGGAGTTTATGCTGCGATTATTTCAATCGATCCAATTTCGGTATTCCGGATGTGTCATGCTGACTCGAGAGAATAGCGCACCATTGTCGTGCACGCCGGTACTGATGACCTCGGCCGTGGCGGCAACGAGGAGTCCAAGAAGACCGGTAACGCTGGTGCTCGCCCTGCTTGCGGTACGTCATTTTCAAAACTTATCCCATTGCCCCAGAACAGAAAGGCTGACGGATCAATTCCAGGTGTTATTGGTATTGCCGCATAAATGACCCGCCAGGTCGAGTGTTGAGGGTGCCTGATTTGTAGGTACTCAAGACTAGCATGATGACGGAAACGTAATCATGAAATGATCTGAAACGGGACATTCAAAAGCCAGATGCTGGATCTGAATTTGCCTGTGGCAATAGGATCTCTGTTAGATAAATGAAATGCAAACTGTATTTCTTGTCTATCCTCTGGTTATTTCCTTGCAACGAATCTCCATTCATTGCCCATTATCTGCTGTAGCATGAGAAACCGGTAGTAGAGGAAAAGGAGTACAAAGGCTAGAGCAACTTGAATAGTTAAAGCCCGCTAAGAAAACGGATCTGTTAATTGAAGAAGAGGAGTACCTAGTCACAATAGTTAGGTATATGAAATCATGACCGGATGCCAGAGAAGCATACTGGGGCTCACCGCTCCATGGTAGCAAATAAGTAGAGTCGAGCCACGGTACCGGCACTAATATTATCACTCTGCTTTTAGAGGTACCAAGATGCCTACCTAGGTAGGTCAAAATATCGTATAACAATCTGCGAGCAGCTCTTTCCTTCCTCACTCGGACATCGCCGCTTTAAGCGGGTGAGCTGGGTGAGTCAGGGTGATAAGATCACCTAGTCAAGGTGATTTGCTCACCTGTACTCACCCCATCTTCACCTATCCTTCCCTTATACTACTTGCGCCGGCTGTTTAGCAACATCCAACCCAGGAACCATGCAGAGAAGAGATTGGATAATAAATGTGACAGTATGCCATCCCCTGCTGACCTCAGAGAAAAGGACAATAGGAAAAATTGTGTCCTGCGACCCTGTTTCTCCTCTGTTCTTTCCAGCCTTTTATTTCCTCTCCCTTTCCTCCCCTCCTGTACTTGTTATGATCTTGCAAAAATCTTTCTGTATTTCTATGCCTAATTCTATAGATTTCCTTCTCTTTTCTTCTCATCTTTTTTCTTCTCTTCTCTTCTCTTCTTTTTTTTTCCGCCGCAGATTAGTGGTTGAAATTTTCCAAAATGCCGAAGACAAAGGTGGATAGACTTGCTTGTGCCAAAGTGAATGGCTATGAGAGAGGGGCACATTAAGAGAAGGACAGCATAAGAGCAGAAAACAAATATTCAGAGGAGTTGATCCAACTTTAGAATAAAGTTTTAGAAGATTATAAGATATATATATGTATATACTTTGATCTACTATCTTTTATGATGATAACTAATTATCTTAAAGATGGGCATCACAGGATAATGATATGAATGAAGAAGATTATCTCTATAAAGGGCAACCTGCACCAGATTTAGCCACTATTAAAGATTTTATTTATTATTACATATTCTCTACCTAAGGAATGCTCTCTCTCTGGCTAATTATGTCTTCTGTATTAAACTTTGCTAAATGATTTTTTGCTAGGTTTATTTATATTATGAAGACCATTTTTGACAAGAAGGATATAGAAGATGTTTACTATATAGGTTGTTATGGTTAAGGCATTTTATGCTATATTCTAATGACAAGGACTAGATTAAGAAGACTCTCATTAAGGAGGATATTATTGAGAATAAGAAACATGCTAAGCACATGTTTACACATTGTGATTTAACTAACTAATATCATTATTTCTATATAGACTAATGATGACCTGGTCTTCATTCATGAGCAATACAGGATTCAAATGACCTTTGCTATCTTAATATACTGCTACTCTGGAGCAAGAATTGGGGCCTTTATTCCTGATATGTCAAAAGCAGATGATCAGGGACTCTAATATAAGGTATGGATTATTATCCTATATTATTGGACACGTCTCTGAATGGCTTTAGGACGTTGACTTATACCTATATTGCAGACCTGATAGAGAAAAGGAAATTTTCTTCCATCTTAATTAAAAATGGGTCAAAAACAATAATGACCCCAAAAATACAGTATAAGATATGCTCTTCCTTGCCCCTAAGCCAACATCCTGACTGGCCTTTCTAGGTTCTATGTGGTAATGAGAGAATATGGGAAGCTTTGCTTCAATCTGGTCCCCTATCTACTGACACTAGCATTTGCAGATAATGCGCTTTTCAGCTTAGATAATATTAAGGTGCTAGACAACATAGAACCTAATGGAACTGAGCCCATTCGGCTGCTGTGGAAGCCATGTGTTCGAGGTGAACCAGTTCTTCGGATGGTCACCAGAGCCGGTGGTGTTTCAAGACGTGCTTTAACTTGTGAGACATTCTGTCGACTTTTCAGAGCAATAGTCTGCAACGCTGGATACTATGAGATTATTTGCAGCTCTGGCTGGTCTCCCTTCGACACTTTATAGACCCTCGGAGTGGGAGAAAGAAAAATCAAGAGGGAATACAGCCTCTTTTCGATTTACGAGGAAAACCAGAGCTACGTAACGCTGCTGAAAAGCTGGGCTTCCGGAATGGACATGCCCTGTCAAAAGACTGTCGAAGATCTGAATATTCCGGCATTTCAATATGTGTTCAAAACACTCTCTAACAATCCTGCTGAGATCGATCTCCCCAAGAAAACTGCTCATCTAGCGAGAATGTTCCGGGAGCTCTTCCCACAGTCTCAAGGCAGCTGAGAAACAACTATGACTCCTGCTTTTACCTCAGACTCTGATAGCGACAAGGCGAGCTGTCGAGCCGATCGGCTGCAGAGAGAAGAGTACCGGAGGAACCGGGCATTTTTTTCTTTCTCAAACATATTTATGGTCCCCACCAGCAGGCTAAACGATACCCGACTTCCTTTGCTGTCGCATGAGAAATATTCTTTACTTTCTTCGAGAGGCAGCCACTCCTTGATATCTTAACTCAATATGACCCTCCTTCTGATGAGGATTCTGTCAGATCTTCGGTTGAGCTTCAGCCTTATCCCCCTGGAATCCCAGACCGCACAGAACCGGAGCCTGACTCCTCTGCGGACCATACAGAGCTGGAGTCCGTCATTCCTTCAGCTCATGCAATGGATGGTGTTGAAATAGCGGCTCCCTTAGCCGCTGGATTTGAGGATGACCTGTATATAGCCCCACTTGCAAAAAGGTCCGAAATATCTATCCGTCGCAGCGCAGCGGAAATCCTACGTATGTGGTATCAAAATGGCAACCCTCAGTTGATTATTTTCTTTATATTTGATTCCTAGGCGTACTATAAGTTCCTATGCGACGCAGCGTTTGAAATTAGGTCCACACTGAATGACCTTGCCAGACATCACTATTTTCTTGTAATTGAAGGAAATCAGGTGCGAGCTCCGAGCCATGAGGATCTGTTCGAGGAGGCGCAAAAGGCGCGGCTTTTATTGGTAGGTATGAAGACCTCTCGTGGTACAAAGACCAAGGAGCCTTCTCATGGAGCCGCAACAAAGAATGCAGGTATATCCTTGCAGGAGTTTGAAGACTATCTTTCGAAGTATGATGTATGAACAGGGAAACGACGAGCAGAGGACGATGACGATGAAAATACAGAGTCAAATCCTGCGAGAAAGAGGCATTTGTAACTGTGGGAGAGTTCTTATGTGTATATTCTCCAAAATCCGTCGATTATTAGTTTTAACCCTTCTTAGTTCTATTAAGAGAAACATGAAATCTTAATAAGACAACAGCTTTTGTATAGAAGGAAACATGCTTCATGGAGAGAGGTCCATGGCTGTGATCCACTTTTCGTTGATGCAATTCATTTTGGTTGATGCGATCCAATTTGGCCGCAAATCCGATCTAGATGCGGTCTGATTGGTTGATTTCGTACAGAAGAGGAATGAGCTGGCACCTAATTTTGACGTGGTTTCAAAAAAAACACGGTTCTTTAGCCGTCGGTCTGATTAGAGACTACGATTTACCAGCCCTGCCAAACCCGTCATCACATTGGCTGGGATCATTGTATACTGCTGGATGTAAGCCAAGCCTCCCGACTTGCAAGGCTTTCTGACCAGCTAGCTTTCATGGCGGTGTGGTATTAATGTGGAGAGAGAATCCACGTGGAAAGACGTCCCGTATGGAGAGAGAATCCACATGGAACAAGATTCCACATGGAGAGAGATTCCATACGGAGTGAGATTCCACATGGAAAGGCATTCTATATGGACAGGGCGGCTGCAATTCAATTTGGATGCAATCCATTCTCGTTGATACGGTCCGATTAGTTGACCTTGATAATCTCCCTGTGAATAGGATCCGCGCTAGGCAATAGACATCGGCTCACACCAGTTGCCAACACTGCTTAACCGCCCAGTTCCGACACTGTATGTTGGTTTAACGGCATGATTCTTGTAATAAGGGTACTTAATTGTTAATCTGTCTATTATTAATGGGCTTTTTGCGCTATTGCGAACATAGGGTGGTTGGTTGTTATTGACCCTTCAAGCAGAGTACTCCACTTATGCTGAAGATAGAGCTGAGCCGCATTCTATATGAGTTGAACATTACTCTTGTCAATCTGATTACACAAGTAGATCAGGGAACATACTCTAAGTACGTGCGACAAGTCAAGGAATCGGATAAATCCAATCTTATGGCAGCTATCGAAAAGTAACCAAAGCTGATAGGAAGAAAGGAAAAGAGGTTGGAAGTTCGCGCAGAGCGCCATATAACAACCTCCAGCCTTAAGATCCTGCCTTAAAACTAACCCTAATACGTACAAATAACATGTGACGCGCAGACCAGCGCTATCACTATATGTGAGAATATCTATTATTCTAAAACAAATGAACGCAAGATGGTAAAACCAATATAGATGAGTGAGTGAGAATGGACAGAGAAGTATAAAGCTTAAGATGCAAAGAGAGAAATCAATGTAGATCCGTTTTGTTTTATAGGTTGCGCATTTAATTTAATAAGAAGAAAAATCTAGCCTTTAAGTTATTATAGATGGATACTGGGTAACTAAGCAAATTCTGGCTCTAATCAAGGACAGCCGTTCTACCAACTTTATTGATAAGCTATTCCTGCTAATCAGCTTTTGTCTAGTAGAGGTGCAGATATAGATCAGTATAATGGGAGTTTGCATATTATAGCAATCAGACTCTCATTACCAGGCCTCCGCTGCTTTCCCAGTACATGCTGTCGCCCAGACCCTTTTGCTGGATATATTAGGCTTTCCAGTTGACCACATTGGGTGTATTGTAACTAATCATGACTTTCTTGTTCGGGTCATAACTGTAACTAGTGATAAGCTGGTTGAGTTCATATACAATAGCGCCTGTCTAAGGCAGGGTCTTATAGTCCTAGACGCTGTCTCTCCTCTCTTATTTGCCAGGGCCAACACTGTTATATGAGGTACCTGGTCCCTCCGTGTTAAGAAATGACCTATCATAGAGAGGTATGCCCAAGTTGATTTTGCTAGGATCGACACCATTAGAAATATAGAAGGCGATGGCCTGGTCGGTGTTAAATGGGGTGCTGGATGGGTCAGAGCTTGATGTGTAGACATTTGCAAGTTTCTCAACAACTGATGACCATTTGAATGTTTGTTAGCTGATCTAGGCTATAACTAGATCAGAAAAGGGCAACGAACAGATCTATTATGGTTGATTTGTTAGCTAAGAGGCCTTTTTAGAGGCTAGAAGAGTATGAACCTGTAATCATAGGCCATTAAGTTCCAGAAATCAATATACTGGTCCATCTCTGCAAGATGTAGGGACTGATAATTGGAGGGACCTATATGATGTTAGTTAGTATAACAGGATAATATCGTGCAGCTGACAATCTGGTGCAAACCTGCCTGCTGGCGACGCAACACTAAGCAAAAGATGGGTGCCATTTACATACTGCGCAAAGTACCTGTCCAGAGCCTAGGGATAAGTATTGTTAGCATTAAGCACTATCTAAGAGGGTTTCATTTAGATATAAATCGATCTCACTTCCCGTAGAAACAGCACCATGTTATTGGCCTCTGTACCACTGCTGGGATACTGTGTAAATACATCTTAAGTAAGCTTAACGGCCTAATAAGTTGATTTTCTGTAGATAGAAAATATGCAAGGGGGTTTTTTTTGTTTTCTTACCTCCTAGTCAATGTCAATGTCATTGAATCTAAGATTCTGGACCATCTAGACAGCGGTTAAGGCAAATATCTGCCTCCCAGCCTGTGTGGTAGTAAAAATTGAGAAGCTAGGGGAGTATGTGTACCCCTTGATAGAATATAGTGTTTTTAGATTCCTCCTTTTTTGTTTGAGCAGGAATAATTGTTTAATATAGCCGTACATATTGTTCCTAGGCTCATCCCAGGAGTCGCCAGGGTAGTGTTTCTGAATATCTGCATATGGGTCGGGAAGTTGTACCTCTCTAATAGTGGGATCAACATTGCCAAAGGCATAAAGAACGTAAATAAGGGTATCAAAAGTTCTGCGGATTAAAGTTATGTGCATAAATTACTTGTAAGCAAATAACAATTAGCAAAAGGGAGATAAAGAACTCAATTATAGAGAGTTTACCATACTAACCTAGTCAATAAAGTATGCCGTGGATCAAAATCCTGCAGAGGAACTCCTTTTCCGGTGCGGCAGATGGAGAAGGTCATTGGTCAAAGGAATGGCAGCGTTGGCCAGCTAACTGAGACCCAAAAACAAAGATAAAGGAAAGCAGTTCGACTGAGAACGCAAGATTGCATATATAGGGTTTCGATATGCTGTGTTACTGCAATCAAGTAGTTCTGCGAGCCGCTTTTGGTGCGCAGGTTGCGTGCCACTCTGGTACGAGTGGTTTCCTTGTCCGAGGGTCGACCTTGTAATAAATGTCGAGTAGCACTTCCTCCGAGAAGATTATATATCCTCTCAGTCTCTATTTTTATCTAATCATAATAGCTCAGATTCTCGCAATCATAATGCGATTTTGTCGGGGTATACGATCCAGATTTTTTTTCCAGGATGAAACTGAAATCGCTTTACATCGAGATCTCTATTATTATTTACTCCTCCTATCTCTCCCAGACAGAAGGCTCGGTGGCTGTATTACCATCGGAAGAACCACCTCCATATTCAGGTAGGTGGGATATCTTAAGGCAGTTAGGCATATAGATAACCAAGTCTTAGAAACTGGAATTGTCTCAATCCATGATTGACACAACTGTGTGTAGATGCGGCTTAAATGGCTTAAATCTATCATATTTGCATTGAGGTGGAAAACGGGACCTTATAATCATTGTCTATATTCTATATGATTGTGAGCTGTCATTTAGATTATAAGAACATGAAGAAGGAAATTCTTCTAACCTTCGTGTATCATAATAAGCGATCCATCTCTGGCATAGCATAACAGCCCCATATATGCTAATGTCATGACATTTCATAATGAATGTGTGATGTTGGAAATAGTTCAAGAGAATGTTGTGGCCCAAAGTCTAGTTCCAACCTAATATATATTGCTCGCGTCTACAGCCTCTATTAAGAAATAAATGGCTTCTCATATTTCTACCCCGTTAATATTCTTATCTAGATTAAGACCCCAGAGATTCAAGTAACATTGTTTGCATTACTACAGGGCTATAGTTGCTTAAGCCAGCACATTTTCCATCATTCTAAATATGTAAAACATGCGCTCTTAGAGGTCTATTAATTCTTGTTTAGACTCCTTATTGTAGATAAGTTCTGCTCTGAGGTAGCTGACTTTATAGGTTAACTCCTCAATCTATTCCTGTAAGTTAGCAGATAGTGTCTTTTTGGATTGCTGAAGGCGGGATAGAAGTCATTTAATATTAGAAGTTGTGCCCCTATTGCAGAGGATTTGATGATTGAGGGGAGTAATTTCCTCAGCAATGGGGAAGAGAGTGTGCCTTGGAAAACGTTCCATATTTAATGAGAGATTTGCATATGAGAAAGACAGACATAAGCAGCCCGCAGTCGCGCAATTTAAGGTATGGAAATGTGGCGAAAATGGACTGTCTCTGCCTGCATGCATCTGCGAGTTACACTTATATGTGGCCCAGGAATCATGTCATTCTCAGCAAAGAATAGTGGCCGGATGTTTCTATGCCGGACTTCATCAACTCCTCCAGGCAGAAGCCTGAAATACTCACCCGTTACAAGTGAGGGATGAAACAAAAAAATGGATCGCAGATTCCAAAACCGGAGACCAGATTGAGCCATTTTCGACGGTGACAGCCGATGGGACACTCTCGCCGAGCCAGGAAGAGCGCGGGGGTGATTATGGGGTGATCTAGATCAACCGGTGGCTGGGACGAGACTCAACTAGCTGATCACTTGTATGACATGTAGCTCTTTTGGGCGTCCTATGCTGAGAGCGACCATCGAACCAATAATTGGGACTTCGTTTTTACCTGTTGGAGGAAGGGGTGAGTAACATCGTGGCGCGCGGCTCAGCAATGTCCAAGGGTGGACCAAGCTGTCGGGCCGAGCCGTCTACTAGGATGTTAACGGCGACAACCCTTTGGGGGCCGGCTGGTGATGGGTGTTAGCCCTGTGACAGATAACCCTTCAAATAACACCCTGATCGGCCCAAGGTTAAGATGGAGTAGCGTCCGATAACCCTATCGCATTGTTCCCACTAAGGCGCTTATGGGACACACAGATACGCGGTAGCTGTGCCGCAATCATGCTCACCCAATTAAAGAGCTCCTCTGTCCGCAGTGAACAGACGTTGATCTCCTTGTCTTTCTTATCCGGTCCCTTTATTCTAACTATGGCTTCCAATTCTTGTATGCGATCCTCCAGCGACCTTGTGCGCTCGGACCCGGAAATCATGCACTCGGAACCACCCACACAAACGAAGTAAGCTCTTCTTCAGTGACCTGAAAATTACATTATATTCTCATCGCCCAATTGCTTGTATGTGTCCTTAAGCTATATATATATATTGCGTATTGCCTGTAACCGTCAAAGAGTCTCTAGAGAACAGAACTCCAATCCGATCTCTTGACGTAGTCCATCCATGTGGTCACAGTAGATTCTGTAACCTAGAGAGAAAAGTTAGAGCCCCGCATCTAGCACAGCACCGATATGCAATTTCTTGACCTACCTCTTCAGGATTCACAATGTCTGCTCCACGTTTCAGGCCGTAATTCTGGAAATAGGAAAACATGTTCCAAACCCCATCGGTGTAAATCGGCATGACTGCTTGCAGCTCTTCCTTGGATGACAGCTCTTGCACCTTTGCTGGCTTGCCAAGAACTAGATTTGTTCAGCAGAAGCAATATAACTGGAAGGATAAGAATTACCTTGTGACCATTGCTTCATCATATCAGCATACGATATGTGCTCGCCAGCGGCAAGTACACGTTTGCCATAAAACTTTGACCCTCCGTCGACTATTCCCTTCACAAATTTTCCCACGTCTTCCTCAGCGTCAATGGCACTAACGACTGTAGAGGGCGCGCAGGGAACTTTGACAGTATAGACGCCGTCACTATCCTAGATAACATTTCAGCATAAACCGTAACAGATTCATCGTCCTGATGGATTTGCCTGGTCGCTTTTGAACACACCTTTTGTATTTTGAGGAATGATCCATCCGATGCGAGGCCGCTCATATAATGACCGACCCAAAGATAGGTTGCATTCAACCCGGTTTCCCGAATGTACTCCTCGACCATGGCCTTGGAGTCACAATGGGGAACTGCAATATTGCCATCGCTCAGTTTTGTCATATGTGGCAACGACGACCAGATGAGATGGTTCACTTTAGCTTCTACCGCAGCATCAGCGATGTTTCGCCCTTGACGATATTCTCGCTCCGCATCGAACGTTTCCACGAAGTTGGTAACCCCGAAGACGGCAGTTGCGCCCTAAAGATGTCAGCGGGCCTTAAACTAAAATATTCCACGGTGTGAGGTATGCATGATTTACCTCAAAGGCAGCAGCCAATGACTTTGGGTCATCGAGATCGCCCTTGACTACCTCGACTCCTCCTTGCTCCAACTGGCGTGCTGCTGGCTTGGAGGGGTCGCGAGTAACAGCTCGAACATGCCAACCGGGAACGGACGAGAAGGCTTTGACTACACTTCCTCCTTGAACCCCTGTCGCCCCGAGGACCACTATGATACTCATTTTCACAAGAAGACACAGAGAGCACTATAGAATTGCTATGGCTGCGAACGATCAGCTTTTTGGCCAGGGAGAAAATAATAAATAATTGGGTGGGATAACAAAGGGTCTTGTATGAGGCCACTCAGTATTGATGTCACGTCTATAACCTGTCCGATTCCAGGAAACTTGTATTGTCTCTTCGGGGTCTCCACACATGTCATTATAAATTAGGACCCTCTTTTGTAAGCTTAACCTATCAATCACACAGCTATGTTCCTTTCCTGTCTCGAATTCTGATGGAACCGTTGGTAGCTTTCGGTTGAAACGTTCCGTTACAGCACGGATTACCGGACTCTCGGGGATCCGACAGGCGAATTCGGACGAAAAATTCCGGTGTGCGGAGTAGATCCATCATCGGTGCATGCAGCATGGCGAAGATCAAGGCGAACGGAAATGGCATGCCCGATATCAGGCAGCAAGGACCTACAGCCACAGGGAGAAGGAAGGTACCAGCAAGCCGTAGAACTTGATCGAGAAGGCTTTCGCCCGCAGCAGTATCAGGATGTGTGTCAACGCCTGGCCCGACGCCATGACCCCGATGGTACCGTGAACAGGCAGGTAAGTTCGCAGTGACACTCCCAGAAGATCCGCGATGAGAGCCGGAGGAGAGCCAGGTTTGTAACGGCTATTCTCGCCGCCCTGGCGCCGGCTTCCGCCATGGAGCTTGCTCCGACGACGTTGCAGACGATATTTAAGGAGCAGTAGACGATCTGCAGAATGGACATGAGTCACAGAGCAGCTGAGACGGCATCAGCTGCTTCTGTAAAAACAAATCCGAGACTCGATTGTCGTAAAGAAACCCGGACAGAAACTGCGACCGCCTTAGCCAAATGAACGATCTGAGAATCTGTCCTAAATAGAAGAGTATCGATTACAACAAATAGCAGAACAAATGGCAGCAGAATTTTGGATACGTTGATACGATACATTTGAAGCTATTTAAAAACTCGGTAAGTTCTACGTGGAGCATGAGAGATTCGACGAGGCAGAACATTATTTCACGAAATTATGGACTATTACCTAGTAGTGTCTTGATTAGAGAAGAGGTTCTTGCAACAATATCGGATTCCAAGCTCTTCATTGATTTATTCTCCTGCTGCAGGAAAAACAACAAGTCGCCAAACTCTATTCGACTTTGACAAAGGACTGTCTCTGGCCATAAGAGAAAATCAGGATGAGCTATTGAGTCTTCTTTTAGATAGGGAGGTGGACATCCATAACTTGATATCCAAGTTATCGATATAGTCAACAGAAGATAGTCAGGATTATTCTCCCAGCGCCCACTACTGCAGTCAATATTTACTGGAGTAGATTTGCCAATCAAGTATCTGCTTGGTCCATAGATGCGGAGATTTGCCGCTGAGTGTATGCCAATTTCCTCCATCTCACCCTTCGCATGACAGCAAATAAGGACATCATGTCCGTTCTACATATAAACACCCCTTAATTCCTCTATACCAAATTGGGGTAGTCATTTGAGCTGCGGGTTGAAACGATTAATCCCTCGGAGATAATAATAATACCACCGCATACCACAGACAAGAAAGCATTCGACATCAGTTGTTATAGTCAAAACAAAGCATCAGAAAGGATAACGCATTCATCTAATAAGTTCTTTTCTGTCTATTCAGTCTTTCTCCCCTACCTGATTGACATCGAAATCTGCTTTCAGTCCGATTGGGAACCTCGCAGTTCGTGATTTCTTGGACTCTAGCTTCAGATGCCTCAGCCCTTGCTCCAAAACTCAACAGCACAATCTTCTCACTCGCTCTCTGCCTTCAATACGGCTTCAATGATACTTAGGATACACCCATCGTTGCCCCACACCTTTTTGATTTGTAGACCTGCTGCTTCCAATAGCTCCTCCCATTGTTTCCGGGTTCGCTCCATGCCAGCGACTGTCAACATGTTGAAGTCAAAAAGTGATGGCAGTAACGGAGGGTTCCTGGCCGGTAGTACAACATCGCCAATTAAAATTCGAGAGTAGCCTGGTTTCAACGCAGATGCAGTGTTTCGCAGGATCTCAATACAACGCACGTCGGGCCAGTCATGTAATACACGACGGAAAAAATATGCTCGAGCCCCTAGATTTTTTCAATTTCCAATCAGCTTTAAGCCCACGTAATGATCCATAACGTGATCAGAAAATATAAATGAGGCATAGGCATGTTTAGACAAGCAAACCTTTCACCGGCTGAGGCTTAAAGAAATCATATTCCATGATCTCTATGCCTGCAGTTTCTACCTTCTCTGGCACTGTCCCTTTCAAATCCTGGAGCACGAATCTCCCTTTCAGACCAGGATGCGCTTTCCTGATCTCTTCAAGTGCCTGGCCCTTACCCCCGCCAACATCAACAATCACCACCTCACTATCAGAGACATCTTGTCCTAGTTCATATTCCCACGGGTACACAGCTGACTGAGACTCCGCAAACGCGTAGCTCTGGACCTGCATAGCGGAATTGAGAACAGCCAGGCGAGCAGGGTCGCGTCTAACATAGTCAAAATAGGGCAGGGTCGTTTTATGATAATGCTGGAAAGGGCCTCGGTGGATGTCAGATGGGTTCCGGAACTGTGTTTCTGTCAAATATTTTGGGAGATCGAAAAGTGGCGGAATCATGTCATCAAAGCTGTAGACCACTTTCACGTTAGGTCCCGTGGCAATTATAATATCTTTAAGGAAAAAAAAAGGAGAAAAGAATAAAATTAAAATTAAAAATCATTTGTTTGTATACCTGTGTTGAAAGGCATCTCGGAAGGCAGGCACCGTGTACAGGGCTGACAACTCTGTATGACTGTACTTCCGCTCCCCGACCTCTTTGACCACGTCTGTGGCCACGAGCACACGCATAATCCGTTCTGACGGCATCTCACGTTGTCAACAAGCTGTAGCTTTCTCTTTTCAGGGGTTCCTCCATATGTGCAAACTTACCGACAAGCACAATGTCTGCTCTTTGTTCCCCCACCCCTTTGGTGAGCAAATCGATATCCACCCCATCACCAACATCATGTTGACTAAGTGCTTCAAAAATGTTCAGATGAATAGCTGCTCTAATGGCCACATTTTGATTAACTTGGAGGGTTATTTGAAGACTCCTGTCTTTTGGATCCTCCAGTATGTTCTTCAAGTCTCGTAATGTCCGGAGCAGCGATAGCCGGACTGCCTCATGTTCTGCTGAAGCCGACGTTTCACCTTTGGGGACTTGAGTGGTGAGCTTCGATGCTGTAATCGCGAGGGTCTGAATGTGAGCCTGTATGGCCGCTGCTTTGCTGGCAATTTGAGCCATTTACAGCTTCTGAGGCAGCAACGTGAAAGGAGGATAACAGTATGCTGCAATGAATCGCAATGTCTCAGGGGGAGACTCTGCTGCAGGATCTCCGCCCGATTTATGATAGTTGAATACAGAAGCGAGAGACACCGCAGATCGATAGCGGAGCGATGTACTGTACTTGAACAGCTTGTTGTCACATATGACAATTAATTTACCCGACGGAACTGTGCTCCATAAGCATCCGAACATTTGCATTTCGGATACCTAAGGTTCCGTAATCCGTCCTGCGTGCAGCATAGTACACTGTACCTTTCGATCGAACGCTATTGAAAGTGGAGAATAGAGACCCATCTTCCAGCGGGGCTAACATGCTCTCAGCCCATATTCTCAACAAGAATGGGTATTAACTAAGGTTATCTCAATGATTAATCAGCAGTGGGACAGTCAAAAGCCCTTTTCAGTACAGATCTTCCCTATTCCGGCATTGATGGTGAGGTCGTATTTTCACCTCAAGAGTCCAGTGTCAATGTCTCTGCACAAATACACGCATCAAGTCTTGTGTACATCTTCGGCTACTTTTCCCTTCTTGCTAGACTGGGAAATACGATCTGAGCAATATCATTTTGCTCATGAAAATGCACATTTTAGTTATTGGAGCTTCCGGTAAGCACTCTTAACCCATCAATCACATTACCAACATTGACATTCTTATCATCTTTCTAGGCCAAACAGGCTTGGAATTTTGCACTGCAGCCTTGAAGCAAGGACACAGACTGACCCTTTATGTGCGGAACCCAAACAAGATTCCCATTGACGTCGCTAGCCATGCAAATGTCACGGTCATCAAAGGTAGCCTCGAAGATGTTTCTGGCTTACAACAGGCTACCGCGTCAGGTGCCACTATCTTTGTCTCCTTTGCTGGGCCTGGAGCGAAGTCGAGAGGCACAGTAAGTCTTTACAGATAACCACTCTCCAACTTCACTCTTCTTCTTGCACCTTTACTCCAAATACAGAACTAACAAACTGTGTAGCCCATCACCAATTCTATGAAACTGATATTTCCCCTTCTGATCGCCAATAATTTCAAAAGGGCCTTGGTTCTTGGCACATGCTCCTTTCAAGCGCCACAAGACAAAGGTGCTCTGAAGTGGAAAGCGTCCATCATCCTTGTTAAGATTATCGGTGGATCCGCCTTTGAGGAGTTCAACGGATTGGGCGCTTTTGTGACATCTCAGGACGTAACACAGCTTAAATGGACCCTTTTCCGCGTCCCTTTTCTCAATAACGGCCCTGAGGCACCGGTGACCGCCACCTTTACAGGGTCAGGTAGGGATGGGATGTTCTTGTCCAGAAAAAGTATAGCAGCCTGGGTTCTGAAAGAGATGAATGAAGAATCTAATTGGATCGGCAAAGCGCCTGTGCTTTCAAATTAATATGTCAAACGCCAATATCTGGATTATCGGTAGTGTCAAATGTTTTGAACAAAGTACCAAAGTTTGTGAAATCTTCAATGAAATCCGCATTAGCCATAGCAAGGGTTGGTTATGAATCTCATCGCGTCAATGCTATCAATTGACAATGCGTATCAAAAGGAATCATTGGATATTACGATTCTTCCTCATTTACAGAGGTGCATCTGGAGATACATGCAGTACATGCGTAATGCATGCCGCCAATGCCTCTTTGAAATTGCTGCACAAACTCCCGTACCTCGGAGAAACTGTTGTACAGAGGAGCCGGGCGCAACTTTAATAACATCAGGCTCTCTCTTATCACAGACAATTCCAGCCTCCTCCAACCTCTGGGCCACCTTATGGAGCAAGCCTGGCTTGAGCAGGAGGCTCAACTGAGCTCCTCGTGCCTGAGGGTCGGAAGGAGTGATGATGCGGAAGTGCCACGACTCCTCCGTGGTACCGAGGGAAAAGTCTGCAAATTTTCCACACTGTCTCCAAGCACCTCTATGAGCAAGGGCTTGTTTGCGGACACAGACTGAAGTACCGCACAGTAGGAAAATAATTGTGCGCTAAGTCTGGAAGGTTCTAAATATAAGCGGACACACAGAGTATTGCAGCATTACATAACATTCAGCATGTTTTCTTAAGAATTAATTATTGATCCTGCATATAAACCTCAGCCTCACCTTTCGGGCCAAGTGTACAGTAGATTGGTCACGGCAGTTGTGAAGAACATAGAGAGGCAAAGAGGATTGTAATAGCAATTCTCAGTGCTGGGAGCGGCAGAGAGCATAACAGGTGCTGAGGGTGAGCTCCATGTCTTTAGCAGGCGAGCAAAGGGGCGGGGGCCTAATATATTTTTTTCTCCTTGCTAATAGTAATTCTACATATATACCTATACCCAGAAGTATACATACTCAGATAATGCCCAAAAACATGTTAACGTCACCGAGTTGTATAGGAGATGAAGAAGAGGATCTTGCTGAAGCTTTGTGTTATGAGCCAACAAAGACCGGGATTGTCCAACACAGCCATGCATGACGAGACAATGCCCCGCAAGGCAGGAAGAAATCACATGACCTCAGAAAGGAAGAATTATGATACGGACGGTATACAAGGCAAAAAGGTATACAATATACCATAGGTATACAAAGACCGTGGGGTACGTGGTATACCAAAGGTATGCGGAGTACCGACAAAGGAAAATATACCAAGAGGGAAGGTTATATAAGGACGCACATTATCCATCATGTATCTAGTTCTCCGTGCTCAATTCCTTCACATCAATCAACATTGTTACTTGGTTATACTGGCAGGTCAGCAGGCTAACCTACCACTCGGTATCTTTGATACTCAGCGGGCGCTCACCTCTGACAAATCGTGTTCTTTATCTTTTGGTTTCCAACCCCTGTTCTCTGTTATCTAGCCAGTTGGGCACCTTGTGTGGTTTCCCCAGTCGAGGCTGTGGATTTCCGAGAACACAACTTGGGATCAGTTAAGGCGGCAGTCAAAGAGGCTGTGCTCAACAGAATCGTGGTCTGTGAGCCGCACTGCAGCTTGCCTACACAACTTTCAAGGTCTGCATGCAGAGGGCTAATGAAGGTTCAATGTCGTGGCCATGTGTGGGCATTTATGAACTGAGACGCTGAGGGTGAGCCATCGCCAGACTAATCACCCAAGTCGCGCGACAATCACCCTCCTCACCCACCCCTCACCCCGATCGCGCGACTCTAGGGCACAGGACAATAGGGGAATGTCTAGCATATGTATTGATTGAGATGGAGCCAGCTTGTAAAATGCTTTGTTGCGTACATGATGTTCTATGTCATCTAGCATGGATATTTCCTTGGCCTGATACAAGAGTATTGTTTGGCTCAACTGTTTCATTAGGATCGCTTGAAGCTTGAGTCGGGCTTCTAGAACCCCCTTGACTCTATACAACACCCACATTCCTGACTGCAATGCCCGTAAACTTGTCTAGTGCTCATCCTGGATCTGCCAGCACTTGGTTCGAAAGTAGGTCCGTAAAGGTTGCTCGCAGCATCCACATAGCCGACTGCAACAGCCCCCGCTAAGCGCGCATCGCTTTGATTCTTCCCACCATGCTAATGGCATCCCATGTTCCTTCCTGATACTGCGCAATAATTCCCACTCGCGTATCCAGGGGCCCTTGGGTGCTTCTCTAGCTAGCTTTGACAATGCCTGTTGATGCAGCCAGTATTCTTGACGGGCTTGGAGCAGCTCTCTTTCACATTTCTCAAGCTCCTCCTGATCATTATTGCTCTTCTCGGACGCTGACTTCTCGTGAAGTTGTTGTAGTAGTAGGAGTGATTTCTTGCGCTGTTCGATGCGAATCTTCTTTTGAAGAGTGGCGATGCCAACAAGCTCTTCATCCTCGTATTTCTTAATCCACTCGAGCTCCTCTTCCCTTCCGAATGGACCAGTGAAAAATTTGTTGAATCCGCGAACAAAGCTTGCTGGAATATGCCAGTGTGAACGGTCCAGGAATTCTTCCAACATTTTTGATTTGTTGTTTGTTTTTTTCGGTGGAGATTGATGGTAGGATAAGCTCTTAGATTGCTGGTATAACAGCTTTTCACTGTTCAGGTGATAGATAAGAGTGTGAGATTTGGGAAGGCTTGAAGCAAGCTCGAGTGATTTATCAGGTACCTATATCTTGTGTAAGGCAGCACCCTGACCCATTGAACAGATCGGTTCTAGTATAATTATTTGAACTTTGCTACAGGTGTTGCCTACAGGATCAATGACGGGCATACTTGATTGATGCTTTTTTTTTCTATTCTCAAGTCATTTTGTAACCACCTATAGGATAGATCAATAATATTGCGAAATTTCAATTCCATTCCGCAGCATTTAAAGGAGAGCGTGAGCAAGCTTGAGAGTTGTCCAACATCAACAATTGTATACCGTGTATACTGCTAGGGAAACACTGTATGTACATAGTCGCCTGGTTAATAATAACTCGGTAAGAAATCTGCGAGCAGGTCCCTCTTGCCTTTCTTGGATGTTGCCGTTTTTAACAGGGTGAGCTAGGTAGGTGCGTCGGGTGAGAAGCCCATCGTAATTCACTCACCACCCATATTCATTTATACTCACCCTCCACTCAACTGTCCTCAGCTGTTTAACAACTTCACCACAAGGGTCATAATGAGTCGAATGCTCGCAAAATCTAGGGCAGCAGCTAAGACTTCTTCTCTTTTCTTCTCATGCGCTGCATGTTTTAACGCTAAATCGTTAAAAATATTTTCAAAAAGACAGTATTTAAAGTGTTTTTTTTGTTAATTCTTTGTATAACCTCTTCCCCCCCCCCCCAAACCCCCCCAACTACTGTCTTCCAATGACAGCATGAATATTGGGGTAAATATTACAGGCGGGGAGGTGTTCAAGGGCATCCTTAAGAAGCTCGGCCTACCATAGACGAGAGGGAATGGAGCCTTTCAGCCTTTCAGAAGACAAGCTGGCTGACTTTTGGGAAGATGGTGCGTTGGAGGACGACATAAATGGCACCGGGATAATACTGCAGAATAAGGTGCCTCTTGTCAGTGAGTTCAAGGCTACCTTGTAAGCATAAAAGCTGGCCAGGAAATAGGAGGTTCCACAGGTAGAGGAGACATCAGACTTGCAATGCCGCCAGAGGTCATTATTAAAGAAGGTAGATGCTAAAGAAACACTACATTCAGCCAGAAAAAAACACTACACCTTGCTAGGAGAATTAATTAAATCGCCCTGGTCAGAGTCCTCGTCTCCTAAAGGGCGGCACTGCTCACCTACTAAAACAAGAAAGATAATTGTCTGGGTGCTCGTACAAGAGTAGATTTTTCCCCGGTAGGTTAGGGAGCTTCAGGATCTCAGGTGCCTCCTAACTCCGGATTTTCAGTTTAATTGGCAGCCATTTAGTTAGGTACTAGCTTCAAGTTTCATCCCCACTTGTAGCTCCCTCCCTGCACACGACACAACTTACAAGTCCACGACTCTAGTATTGTTATTGTTGTTATTTCTTAATAATACCTACTCCGTACTGTCCAGCTATCGCTGTGCGGTGTGGTGCTAGCGTACTTCTCTTGTTCTCCGCCTTTTCCTTTCTGACTACCAATTAATACTTCCTGCGCTTACACACGGACAGCTTTCGATTGTCCTCCTCTCCCTTCTTTCACTCCTCTCCCCTTTTCTTCTTTCTCTACAGCACCACACCGAGATAAGCTTGGAAAGAAATGCCCCTCGAAGCCCGTGTCAAGGCCGTCCTGTCGGGCGACACCCTGCTCCTGTCGCATGTCACCAACCGCAACCAGGAACGCACACTGAGCTTGGCGTACGTGTCGGCACCCCGGCTACGGAGGGAAGGTGATGAAGTATGTGAAGAGATTCTTCTCTCTCTCTTTTTTTTTTAACAATTTGGCCAATTGATTGTTTCATGATTTTTGTTTTTATTCCCTTCCTGTCTCTGATGTTCTCTGATGTGTTTATTTTGTTGGTCGGGGCTCCCTGGTGAGATTATACTTTGAAAGCGGAAAGGTGGCCTTTATGCTTCTCCAAATCCCCGCGGGGTTGAACCTGCGTGCGGCTACGCACAGAACAGCCCACAACATCACAGGCGGGTCTTCTCTGGGTTTTAAATTCCCTATTTTCTTATTTGTGGATATCTTTGCATACTGCATTGTGCCGTGAGCTGACAGTTCTTTGTCAATATAGCCATTTGCCTTCGCGTCCCGTGAGTTCCTCCGTGAACTACTCGTCGGCAAGGTGATCCAATTCCAGGTTCTCTACACCATCCCGACTGGAGTCAAGCGAGAATATGGAATCGTTAAGCTCCCTGGAACCAATGCCACGTTGCCTGAGTTGTGTGTGCAGGAAGGGTGGGCACGGGTCCGTGAGGAGGCTGGCAAGCGGGGTGACGAATCCGATGAGGCATTGGTGTTGCTCGACAACCTGAGGGCATTGGAGGCTCAGGCTAAGGCTAATGGGAAGGGCGTCTGGGCTGGCGCAGAAAAGGGCAGGATTGAAACCGAATATGAGGTGGCGGACCCCAAGGCGTTGGTGGACGAGTACAAGGACCGCCAGATCGATGCGGTCGTGGAGCGTGTGCTCAATGGGGACCGGCTACTTATCCGCCTGTTGCTCGCCCCTGACCGTCATCTGCAGACCTTGATTGCCATCGCAGGCATTCGAGCCCCGGCCGCTAGGCGCGTAGGTGCGGATGGCAAAGAACAGCCGGCAGAGCCCTTTGGGGACGAGGCACACCAGTTCGTCGAAGCCAGGCTGTTGCAGCGTAAGGTAAAGGTGTCCCTACTCGGTGTCACCCCTCAGGGTCAACTGATCGGCACGGTGCTCCATCCCAACGGAAATATCGCCAAATTCTTACTGGAAGCCGGTTTGGCACGCTGCTTTGACCACCACTCCACCCTGCTGGGCGCGGAGATGGCGAGCTTCCGCCAAGCGGAGAAGGTGGCCAAGGATGCCAGGAGAGGACTTTTCACGGGACACGTCGCGTCCAAGGGTCCTGCGGGCACTACAGATACCGATTACGTCGTCAGCCGTATTCTCAACGCCGACACTATCTTCCTGAGAAACAAGGCTGGGGTCGAAAAGAAGGTCAGCCTGAGCAGCATCCGGCAGCCCAAGCCGTCTGATCCCAACCAAGCGCCCTTCGCGGCCGACGCCAAGGAGTTCCTGCGGAAGAAGATAATCGGCAAACACGTCAAAGTCACCATTGATGGTAAGAAGCCGGCAACAGAGGGATATGAAGAAAGAGAGGTGGCCACCGTTATCCAAGGCAACACGAACATCGCCCTCTATCTGGTCGAGGCTGGTTATGCATCAGTCATCCGTCATCGACAAGACGACGAGGACCGGTCTCCCGAGTATGATGCTCTACTGGCAGCGGAGGAAGCAGCCAAGAAGGAGGGCAAGGGTATGTGGTCATCGAAGCCTCCCAAGGTGAAGCAATACCAAGACTACTCCGAGAACCTGCAGAAGGCCAAGTTGGAGGTGTCAATCCTACAGCGGCAAAAGCGGGTTCCTGCCATCGTTGACTTTGTCAAATCGGCCTCTCGTTTCACGCTCCTGATACCGCGGGAAAATGCAAAATTGACCTTTGTTCTCTCGGGAATCCGTGCTCCTAAGTCCGCTCGGAATCCGGGGGAGACGTCAGAGCCCTTCGGACAGGAGGCACACGAGTTTGCGAACCGGAGATGCATGCAACGAGATGTAGAGATCGACGTCGAGACTCTCGACAAGGTTGGCGGCTTCATCGGCACTATGTACGTGAACCGGGAGAACTTCGCCAAGGTCCTGGTCGAGGAAGGTCTGGCCACGGTCCATGCTTACTCTGCTGAGCAATCTGGCCACGCAGCAGAGTTGCTCGCTGCGGAGAGGAAGGCGAAGGAGGCACGGAAGGGACTATGGCATGACTGGGACCCGAGTAAGGACGTCGACGAAGACGAGGAGCTGCCGGCCAACGGCAGCAACGGGGTCGAGGGCAATGGTGATGCAACCGCAACGCGACGCAGGGACTATCGCGATGTGATGATCACGCACATCGACCCGGAAAGCGGCAAGTTGAAGCTGCAGCAGATTGGGGAGGGCACGTCCGCGCTGACGGAGCTGATGAATGCCTTCCGGGCATTCCACCTTAACAAGGCGAACGATAAACCGCTGCCGGGCCCTCCCAAGGCCGGTGATTTGGTGGCAGCACGCTTTACCGAGGACGATGAGTGGTATCGGGCCAAGATCCGGCGGAACGACCGCGAGAAGCAGCAGGCGGAGGTCGTGTATATTGACTACGGCAACTCCGAAGTGATTCCCTGGTCCCGCCTGCGACCTCTCACACAGCCGCAGTTCTCCGTGCAGAAGTTGAAACCCCAGGCCTCGGACGCGGTGTTGTCTTTCTTACAATTCCCCACGTCCGCCGACTATCTCGCAGATGCCGTGCAGTTCATCGGAGAGCAGACCTTTAACCGAGAGCTGGTTGCCAATGTAGACTTCGTGTCTCAGGAAGGGACGCTGCATATCACGCTCCTCGACCCAGCAGTGTCCAAGAGCCTGGAGCAGAGCATCAATGCGGATGTGGTGCGGGAGGGTCTGGCGATGGTGCCGCGGAAGCTCAAGGCGTGGGAGCGAGCCGCTGGCGAAACGCTGGCCCATCTGCGGAAGCTGGAGGAGGAAGCCAAGGAGAACCGCCGTGGCATGTGGGAGTATGGAGACTTGACGGAGGACTGAACCACGGATGGGACCGATTACGCCTGGACATAGTTATGCATGTTTCCTAGCATGTTTCCTGTGGCATGATATCTCGATATCCGCATTCTTTGTTCTAGTAGAGCATCTAGCTACTTGCATGGTCATGCTTTGAGATAAGCGGCTGAAAGGATGGTGCATGGTTACATTTTGCAGGGCACATGATCAATCCACTTGGGCCTCGCTTGTGGCAGTCATGAGGCCTTTGGTTCCCACCAGTGATGCCCATCTTACGAGTCTAACGACCCTTCGACGATAATCAATGAAAATACCGCATACAAACCTATCATGTGCCAGATTTTGGGTGAATCGTAAGAGGTTGTTAGAGGTAATCGGGATAAACAAATAGTGGTTATGAATCCTTCGTGCATAAAGCAAGCATAAGTGGAGCCCCAGCCTTCCCGTTCAACGAATTGTTTCCGTCTGTTGAATTGAATTGTTAGTTCGGAGCTCTTATCAGATCCGTTGCTTTCCATCTGTGCAACTAATATGAATTCGGGTAGCTCTGAGTAGCTCAAGCCAAGCTCGCATTAGATGCAGGAATATTGCTTGGGATCGATCACTTGGCAATAGCAATAACTCGCTGATCCCAGGGACCAATGCTGAGTTGGGAATGATCAACGATCGATCCATCTTCAAAATTACCGGACGCCGGAGTTGGGACGGTATCGTCCGATACGGTATTATTCATCGACACAGTAGAATAAAGAGCAGTACATAGGGAAACAACAATTCAAATTGCTATCGAAGTAATACCATATTTTCTCTGCTCCTGTCTTGCGCTGGCAAAATATTTTGAATTAATAAGGATATTGGCTGGTCGCTAGGGAGCTGCCAGCTTATCGTTGCCATGCAATTACCGGAGCGCGGAGTGAGGTACCTCCCGGGAGCATAATTATTTTCAGCTCCATCACACAGCTACCAAACTCCCTCTACTTCCCCACGAGCTGCTCTTTTGATCTTCTACACACACCACGCCAGGAAACGGCAAAGACAAAAAGGAGAGGCAAACAAAGAAACCGATCTTACCAGCGACCGAGCGAGGAAGAATGGGACTCTGGAAGACCGCCACTGGCCCACAGGACGACACAGACAGCGTCCACACCGCCGATCAGAAGAGCATCCTCGAACGGACTCCCTCCCAGAACGACCCCGTTGCCTCCGCCAACCAGGCTGCCGGCACAGCATGGCTGGCGGGCCATCTGCACCATCTAACCCCCGAGCAAGAGGCGAAGCTGGCCGAATTCAAAACCGTGTGTGAACAGAAGGGTTACTACAAGCCAGAAAAGGACGGGCAACCGGCCAGCCATGACGATGCGACATTGCTGTATGTATTCTTCTTTGTCCCAAAGCAGCTCGATCAAGAGGCCTACATGCGAACGTGTCGCTGACAATATTTTGCTCTGCTTGCTAGGCGCTTCCTGCGTGCGCGCAAGTTCGACGTCAATGGCGCATTCAATCAGTTCAAGGATACGGAGGAATGGCGGAAGAACAACAATATCGAGTCGCTCTACGAGAATATCGATGTGGAGTCTTACGAGGAGTCGAGACGGATGGTCAGTCTTTCGCTAGGGACTCGTATTCAGGAGCAGTCTGTCAGTTCTTGTGGAATATGAAGTCTGACTGTGAGAAATAGTACCCTCAATGGACCGGTCGACGCGATCGTCGTGGCATCCCAGTCTACGTCTTCGTGGTCAAACACTTGAACAGCAAGAACATGGCTGAATATACGTCAAAAGTCTCTTCTTCCGCTCCTGCAGATACGCATAAATCGTCCAAGGTGCCTCCGCGGCTACTGCGCCTCTTTGCACTCTATGAGAACATGCTGCGGTTCGTCCTGCCCCTCTGTTCGAAGCTACCGCGACCGAACCCGGAAACGCCCATTGTCACGTCGACCAACATCGTCGACATCAGCGGAGTGGGACTGAGGCAGTTTTGGAATCTCCGGAGTCACATGCAGGATGCTAGTGTGCTCGCGACGGCACATTACCCTGAGACATTGGACCGCATTTTCGTACGTTCGCAGCACCTCGCGTCTGTAGGTGAATGCTGACTCTGGTAGATCATTGGAGCGCCATCCTTCTTTCCTACGGTCTGGGGCTGGATCAAGCGCTGGTTTGACCCAGTTACGGTGTCCAAGATCTTCATTCTTTCCGACAAAGAAGTGAAGCCTACGTTAGAGTCCTTTATGGATCCATCCAGTTTTCCCAAGCAGTACGGCGGCGAACTGGATTGGGAGTGGGGGGATCCGCCGCTTCTCGATGAGCCTGCCCGTGAACTTGCCGGAGGATTGGAGCTTCCAGCTGGAGAGGGCGAGAAAAGGCCTGGTTTCATCAAAGGGCCGGTCCTCTTCCACGGCGACAAGATTGAGGTGCTGGGCACGGAGAATGGCAAGCCTCGACGAGCCACCATTCCTGTCCCCCAGCCGGAAGAAACCAAGGCGAACGGTGAAGCAGTCACCAAGCCTTCAGATGAGAACGAAAAGACGGCGTTGGAGACGGCCAACGGCGCTGCTCCAGTGTCGAATGAGACGCCAGTTGCATGAGAGAGTTCCCTCCCTCCCTCTCTCTATTTTTTTTAAACTTTTTTTTATTAGAACTATTCCCTTTTAGAATTCTAGATATACATATGCATGCATGTGGATATGGCTTGTTTTTTTTTCCCCGGTTTAGTTTTTTGAACAGAGAACCTTGGGTCTCTCTGGGTTGTGTCAACTTGGGGCCTCTTTTTTTTTTTCAGTGACGGCATGCATATAGTTTCTTTTCTCGGAATGATTTATGGCATTGTCATCATTCATCAGCGTGACTTTATTATATCCATGGTTACAGTTTGTTTTTTTTTTTCTTCATCTCCGTTTCTTCTAAATTTTCGGTCCTGCACCCTTTTTCTTGATCCTTGATTTATTGGGGGCGAGTTATGGACATGACGGTTTTTTTTTCCTATGCTGTTTCCAAGGACATATAGTGGAAAGATAGGTAGTGAGTGCTACGCTACGATCTAGACAATCAATCAATCAATCCATCCATCGATGATCTTGGAGAAATCAATTCAATGACTACCGAGTCGAGACTGAGAAGTGCTCCTCCTTACAAAGCCAAAGTCAATTTGATTGAATGAACTCCATTATTCCATTTCATTTCCTAGATAGATAAAACCCAAATCGGGGAATCAATGCGCCGAGCATGTTAAAAAAAAGGGGAAAAAGATGATTTCCACCCAGGGTATCTATCTAGTCAGAAATCAGGAGGGAGGGAATCAAAATAAAAAAAAAGATCAAGCCTCCAACGCCAATATCCCCCTATTCCCATTCCCATTATCCGATCCGATTCTGACTCCCATCCTGTACCCCTGTAGTAAGTCCTGTAATGAAAACTCCTGCCGCTAATAATTTATGCATGTCAACGTCACGTAACGCCGTTAGCCGTTAGCCGTTAGCCATAAGTTGTTGTCATCCATTAGATGAGGTTCCCCATGTGGTATGGAGTATGGATCGATGCAAAGATGCCTTCTTTCCTTCCTTTAGAGAAAGCTGTGATGAGATAGAAAAGAGTACATGAAGAGTAAGTGACTGAGTGAGTAAGTAAGCGTGGGAAGGAAGACGAAGAATTCTGGATAGATAGATAGAGAGAGATAAAGAGTTGGGTCTTCTTTTCCAGCTTCTTTCTTTCTTTGGCTTCAACTTCGATTTAGTTCTGCGCCGGGGCTAGGACCTCAGCTTGCTCTTGTTCCTGCGCCCTCGCCTTCTCCCTCGCCTTGGCCTCCTTCTGCGCTCGCATCTTCTTCTTGTACTCTTCAATGTCTTCGATCTCCTGAAACGAGACATCATCATCGTCATCGTCATCATCATCGTCATCGTCATCGCCATTGCTGTCCGTGTCGTCAAACTCGTCATATATCTCATCGAGGTCGATTTCCTGGTTGTCGTCGAGCTGCATCTCCGAATCACTGCCGCCAAACGACCTAGCTTCATCATCGTCGCTTTCGGCCCAGAAGTCCGCGTCGTCCTTCTCGACGGCGGCGGGTTTCTTCGTCATGGTCGACTCGTGCGTCGGCATGATGAAGCCCTCTGGGATGTCCATCTTGGAGGCCTCGACGTTCTCGCGCACGATGGCTTTGTATGTCTCGAAATCCTTGCGCAGCATCACGGCTGCGTCCACGTTGGCGGGGGACGAGACCTCTGCGTCGTCTAGGAGGGACAGGATGGAGATCAGGACTGATTCCACGCGCTGAGCGGGCGACCAGCGTTCTGCGGCTAGCTCGCCTGACATCTCGTCCTCGCCTGGAGCGTGGAGAATGGAGATGCACACCGTGCCGTTCTCGTAGATGTTTGGGTGGAAAATGGTGCGCACAAAGCGGAATTCTGAGCCGTGGCCAGTGCATGTTAGTGACTGATTTCACGCAGACTAATTTTTAAGGTATAGTCCAGAACTCACCAGGAGGCGCATAGGGATAGTTCTTTGGGAAAGTAATGGTAGCTTTGAAATAGCCACCGTAGTAGAGTGAGTCTGGGTTCAGGACGATGAGAGCAACGTTCCACTTGAAGATGTCTTCGTTGTTCAGCTGGAAAAGTATGATATTAGTTACGCATTCTGACAAGCTTCTTCATGATAGC